AAAAATTTTTGCCGGTGTATACACGCAGGCGCGATTTAGATCAAGTCTTGTAAAGACAGATAGGTACTTTCACTTACCCGGCAGAACTAATAATATAGAGACGTGTTTTGAGTCTGATGTAGAGATTAGTAACATTAAGACAGGGTAGGATAAAGATCGCATCATTTTCGTACTACTGACTTGAACAAAAAGTTGCAAAAACAGAAGAGATTGCAGCACGAGAGTTTCGCGTATGGTCTCCCACTACACTACTCGGTCTCGCTCTTAGCAGCTTAACTACAGTTGATCGGACGGGAAACGGTGCTTTCTGCTAGATATGGCCGCAACCGAAATGGTAAGTTATTGGGGGGCTTATTAAGACTCAGATATTTATACACTTTTCTAGCTTCTTTTCTTGTTTTTACAAAACTGTTCAAAGTTTGACTACTTGATGCTTTCTTTGTATTTCAAAAATATTCGTTTGGCTATTAGAAATTATAACATTGCGATTTGCTTTGTAAAAGACAGTAAGCAATGTAGAATCATTTCTCTTTAAAAATTACCTATACTCGAATCAGGATTCATGGCAATTTAAATAGTTCATTGGCGTACTAGTTTTTTAAAAAAGGTAAATGATGTCCTGATTTAATATCTAATTATACAATTGCCCGATCCTAGGAAGTCGTAGCTTCCTTGATTCTGGTATATATTTCCCTGATCTTAGCACTAGGAACCTTGACGGGCCAAAATAATGAAGCGTAACTCCACAAATGCTTGCTCAATTTAGGGTTCTGAGGTTCTTGTTTGGAGGCTTCATCAATAAAGTCGCCCACCTTAAGTAACTCAGCCTTCAATACCTTCTTGAAAACCAGTTTGTCCATACCCTTAGATCCCTTGTGAAGAGTCATCAACGATTTAGACACTGGCTTTAAACTCTTTTTACATTTAGCTTCATCCATACTTTCATATTCCAAGTCTTCGTCTGCATGAGAATCATGTTTTTCCAGCTTTATCTTCATCGACTTCTTTTTATTGGCACCTTCAAAGACTTGTTTTTTGGCGCCATTGCTACTACCATTGGCATGATCAGTCTTTCCGGAAGTGGATGCTGAGCCTTCTTTATCTCCTTCACCAACTCTCCTCTTCTTTTTGACTTCGGGGGACTCTGATTTAACTCTCTTTTTAGGTTTTACCTCCTTCTTTGGTTTGGCTTCCTTTTTGACTTCTTTAAGCTTAGGACCATTGTCTTTACTTTCATTGGTATTGTATAATAAGGAGAAAAGGTAATCGATTCTTCTCCCCAAATGAACAGACCCTGGAACCCTGCTTACCATAACCTTCTTTTCAATTTCATTTCCATTCTCATCTTTACTTTTTTCTATCTTTTCGATCTTTTCTTTGTCAAGGAATAACTTGTTTTGTAACCCCAATAAAGGATCATCTCTGATTTGATGCCAAGAACCATAGCCGAACTTCTTAATACCTACTAATACCTTGGAATCATCATCAATAGTCCACTCACAGTCCCATGAGTTAACAGGTTTAGGTTGTTTAGGGATTCTCCAATTAGAGGCATCTTCTGAGATTAATTGGTCGAGCAATTTCATATCTTTTGGTCTATTCAATACCAATTCGGCATTGATGTTCTTGACGCCTTGATATTCAAATAAAACGGCCTTCTTCTCCTTCTTCTTTGCAATCCACCAAGCAGTACCATCGTTTAACTTGCTGTTGGTCACTTGCAGTTCTAATTCGCTTAAGGCCTTTTCTCTTCTGGCTTCTTCCTCTTTAACCAATTTTTTAGAAATATTGATGATCTCGTTATATGCGTTCTTGATGAGAACGGGGTTTTTATTGGAAATACTTCCTTCTTCAACCAATTGATCCCATTTACCACTCAAATCACCCAATTTCAAGATAGCTCTATAAATACCCCTAACTTCCTTTTCACTCAAGTCGTGACTAGGAGCATCGGATTCTTCATCAATATCATCATGTTCAGTTAATTGTTTAAAGGCTGCCCTTCTCCGGGAAACCAACTCAATTTGCTGTTGTAGGAACTCATCGTCTGCCTTTCTCTTTTCTTCACTCTTCAATTTTTCTAACTCTTCTTGAGGAATGATATCATCCCATTCTATGTCAGCCTTATAATCTGTCACCTCAAACTGTCTTAAGAATTCTTCTGAGCCCAAATTAGATTCTCCTAAGTCTGGCGTAGTTACATGATCTTGAGCATTGTCCAAAACTTCGTCCAAATTTAATTCTTCCAATTTCTTCTGGTTATCGTTTTCTTTGAACATATTTCCAGCACCAAACTTTAAGATTTGACTTAACTCGTTAGAACTTGGGTTGTTTTCACCCTTCTTCTTCGTGTTGTTCGGGTCCGTGATTCCTAAAGAGATAATTGCATATTCCAATATCATCTTTTTTCTTGCCCTCTCTAAGATTTCTTCTTCAACAGTGTCCTTACTAACAAATCTGTAAACACTTACATGCTTTGTCTGACCAATTCTATGAGCACGGGCCATGGCCTGCAAATCAGCTTGTGGATTCCAATCGGAATCAAAAATAATAACAGTATCTGCTGTCATCAAATTGATACCCAAACCACCAGCTCTTGTACTCAATAAAAAGATAAAATCTTTGGACCCAGGAGCATTGAAATGATCAATGGAAATCTTTCGTTGAGCACTTGGAACTCCACCATCAAGTCTTTGGAATTGGTAACCCTTGATGGACAAGTAGTCTCCCAAGATATCCAAGATTCTTACCATTTGGGAGAAGATTAATACTCTATGTCCTTCTTTCTTCAATCTCGTCAAAAGCTGTTCTAATAAAACCATCTTTCCCAGAGACATAATCATACCTCTCAAAATCAGATCCCTTGTAGTAGAACCATAATTTCTCAAAACTTTGTCTTCCACTCCATCGAATAAATATGGATGATTTGAAGCCTTTTTTAATTCGTTCATCACATTCAACAAGCTAATTTGACTGTTCTTGCCACCAGTCCCTGTATTCAAAGCAGAATAATTCTTGGTAATGATGTTACGGTAGTATTCAGTTTGCAAATCAGATAATTCAACTCTCAAAATTCTTTCTGTCTTAGAAGGTAACGACTTTTCAACATCCTTTTTCAATCTTCTTAAGATAAATGGCATAATACTCTTCTGTAAGTCTTTGATGTATTGCTCCTGTTCGTCATTAGGAGTTTCAAAGTCAATTTCTTGCTCTATGTCGAACTTTCCAGGCATCAAAAAGTTACACAATGCACTCAATTCCTTGATATTATTTTGTAAGGGAGTACCGGTAATCAATAATCTATTCGTGACTTTGAAAGATATTAATGATTCATATAAAGAACTTTCACTGTTCTTCAATCTATGAGCTTCATCAACAGCTAAGAACTGCCATTTAATACCTCCTAATTCAATTCTATCCTTGAGAATATACTCATATGTGGTTAAAAGGATGTTGAATTTGAATTTGTTGTTGTCGTTATAGAACTCGTAGTCTCTTATTACTCGTCTGGAAGCCGAATTCCCCACATAGTAAATGCAGTTCAAGTCAGGGGCCCACTTTTCAAATGTCTCTTGCCAAGCAGGCATGGTTGATAGTGGCACAACAATTATATGAGGCCCATTTTGTCTTCTGGCGTAGATCAACCAGCTTAAGAAAGCAACTGTTTGAACAGTCTTACCTAATCCCATTTCATCTGCCAAAATACCATTTTCATTACGAGACCAAAGGAAGGCCATCCAATTAAGACCCGTGAGCTGGAAATCTCTCAACTCACCATTCTTAATGAAAACTGGTTGCTTTACTAGTTTCTCAAACCGAGGGCGCTGAGAAGAAGGGTAATTAGCCGAAAGGTTTGGCAAGATCTTAGAGTTGAGTCGGGCTTGGTACTTATTCACATGAGAAGGAGCGATCTTGGCAATCTCTTCAGCATCTTCCCAAGTATTACCATCATAGTATAATCTCTTCCACTTTACAAAGTATTGTAATTTACTCTGTCCATCAGAGTCAGTAAACCTTTTACTGTCAACAATTCTATCAACATGGCGGTACTCTTCGAGTTCATCCAATCTCCGTTCTTGTTCAATATACATGCTTTCAATGTCTTCTTTCGTAGTGAAAGGGTCATTTTTAAATTCTTCAACCATTATCACGTATTGTTTGATGTAGTTATCGACTTTTCTAAACCCTTTATAAGTTTTTAAATCAGCGTATGAATGCCAGGTATTATGCAAATGAGATATGCCCACCCACTTGATCAAAAATAAGAAATCAAGTTTGGGCTCATTTGTGATTTCTGCATTATCTTCGTTAAGCTTATGATTCACTACAGAATCAATAGCATCTTCAGGTTCGGTTGATTCATTGTCATAATATTCATATGCATTACCGTCGTAATCATCTTCACCCCCTGATGCTAGAAGATCATCATTGTCTTCTTCATCCACTGCGTAATTCACGGATCTACTATTTCTTGAAGAAAACCGAACTTCATTTGTACTGACAGACAGAGAAGTGGCTTTAGGGCGTCTTTTTCTTTTTGGCTTAGGTTTGTTTGGATTTATTTGGAATTCACCATCAGAGTCGGATTCCAGTAACTCAAACAGAGGCACTGTGATCGATTTTGGAGTTGTTGAGCCCCTTGTTGATGTATTCTTTGATTTGGCAGTCGATTTGGATTTCTTGGTCTTTCTCCGGGACGATCCACCATATTCGCCGTCTTCGTCGTCGTCATCATCCAGAGAGCCATCTTCCATACCGTAATCATAATTCTCACCGTTGCCTTCATCGCCATCTGAATCCTTATCGATATCCATACCCTCTAATGCCTGTTTTCTATCACGGCCAGACCTTCTCAATCCGTACAACTCAGGAAACTGCTCTGCCTCTTTAGGAATGAATTGTTTGGCCATTGTAAAATCAATTTTATACTAGAATTACCTTGCCAAGTCGATAGTTGTTAAACAATGCAATTCAAGTAAACGAATTTGGGTCAAAAAGCCTGAATAGTAAAACAATCCAAGTTAGTTGAGGTTGAGTTTACTTAAAATTTTTCTCACTGGAAAATTCGCGCGAGCATAATCGGACAGCAGCATATATTCGGAAAAGGTGCCTGGGTGGGCACAGAAGGTATCCAAGAAGCATATATGAGAGGATGATAGTAAAAGAGATCATGGAATTAAAGTTACTTGAAATCCAATTTTTTCCAAGCTGTCGGCTCACTTTATGAATCTTTCAATGCATTGACACGCATCGGTTTATGCATGAGGGCTGTTAGTAGGGTTCGAGTGTGTGCACTGGGGCAGCTCACGAAAAAACAGTTTGTATAATTCCGATATCCTTTATCACTGCAATCATTCTTAGTGTGTAATAAATAGTACGAATATCTTCTTGTTTAGACGATAAGCCAGAAGTCACCAGTTTATGTATTAGGTTGGCATATTTAGCTTTGTTTGTAGATACTTTTAATACCCATGGATTAACTGTTTATGGACATTGGTAATGTCTCAGTCGATAACCACATTATTACTGATTTTCGCGATTACTATTTATTGTATCATTAGAGTGTTGCATTCTATCGAAACCATAAAAGAAGCACAGTAGTTACACTAGACCTTTGCTACTCGTTCTTGTTGTTCTCTTCACTTTACCTTGTACCTTGAGAGGTATACATGCTTCTGGTCTACTTAGTAAATGATGCTGTGGAGTCGTCCAGGTACCAGGTTTTATCTAAGAACCGAATGAAATCACTAGATTCCAAAACGGTGAAACAACAGGTAAAAACAACCAAATTTAACCCAAAGTTCACCCAAATGTATACGGTGGATTACACATATGTCTGAGTACAACTTGGAAGGAAACACCAGGCAAATTTGGTGGTTGAAATTCTCACTAGCCAATAAGATTCAGAGCATTTCTAATATTGGGTATGAGGCATACACCTACAGTCGCGCTCACTTTGCACCAAACAACGCGCACTTGCCGTCTAAATTATGGCACAGTCTACTTAAATGTAGCCCGGGTCTGTCGCAGCAGTTTTCAGAACATCATAATTTTTTTTAACCTCATTGATTGAGATGAATAAAAAATTTTATGTTAATTTCTAAACACTAAACATGAGCAGTAAAAATACCAGAATCGCTATAATCTCCTCAGACAAGTGCAAACCGAAGAAGTGTAGACAAGAATGTCGGAAAGGATGTCCTGTTGTGAAGACCGGAAAATTGTGTATTGAAGTTACACCCACTTCCAAAATTGCTTTCATCTCAGAAAACTTGTGTATTGGATGTGGTATTTGCGTGAAGAAATGTCCTTTTGATGCCATTAACATTATTAATTTGCCCACAAATTTGGATGCTGAGACCACTCATAGGTATTCTGCCAACTCCTTCAAGTTACACAGATTACCAACTCCTAGACCAGGTCAAGTGTTAGGTTTAGTGGGAACCAATGGTATTGGCAAATCTACCGCTCTAAAGATTTTGGCTGGTAAGCAAAAGCCTAACTTGGGAAGATATGACGACCCCCCAGACTGGCAAGAAATATTGAAGAACTTCAGAGGTTCTGAATTGCAAAACTACTTCACAAAGGTTTTGGAAGACAACATCAAGGCCATTATCAAGCCGCAATACGTGGATAACATTCCCAGGGCTTTGGCTAAGTCCCCCATTAAAACAGTACTGGGTATTCTTGAGTCAAGATTGGAGAGAAAAGACAAATACGAGTATATCTTGAAGGTGCTTGAGTTGAACGGTGTTTTAAATCGTGAAGTGGAAAATTTGTCAGGTGGTGAATTACAAAGATTTGCTTTGGGTATGACTTGTGTTCAACAAGCTAATGTATATATGTTTGATGAGCCTTCGTCCTACTTGGATGTCAAACAGAGATTGAGAGCTGCTGAAATCATCAGAAGTCTCTTGGATACTACTACTTATGTCATCTGTGTGGAGCATGATTTGTCGGTGTTGGATTATTTGTCTGATTTTGTGTGTATATTATATGGGGCCCCATCGGTTTATGGGGTGGTAACGTTACCAAACAGTGTCAGAGAAGGAATCAACATCTTTTTGGATGGTTTCATTCCAACTGAAAACATGAAATTCAGAAGTGAATCATTACAGTTTAGATTGGCCGATGCGGCTGACGGATTGATCTTGGACAAGTCCCAGGCTTTACAATATCCTAAAATGCAAAAAAGTCAAGGTGATTTCAAGTTGACAGTGGAGGAAGGTGATTTCACCAACTCGGAAATCCTCGTTATGATGGGTGAAAATGGTACTGGTAAGACCACCTTTTGTAAATTATTGGCCGGTTTGACAAAGCCAGATAACAACCAAGATATCCCCAAATTAAACATTAGTTTGAAACCTCAAAAGATTGCTCCTAAATTCCCAGGTACTGTTCGTCAATTATTTTTCAAGAAGATCAGAGCCTCATTTTTGCACCCACAATTCCAAACCGATGTGGTAAAGCCATTGAAAATAGATAATATTATCGATCAGGAAGTGACTACTTTGTCTGGTGGTGAATTACAAAGAGTGGCTATTGTGTTAGCCTTGGGTGTACCCGCTGACATCTATTTGATTGACGAGCCATCTGCATACTTGGATTCTGAACAGAGAATTGTTTGTTCCAAGGTTATCAGACGATTTATTTTGCACTCCAAAAAGACAGCGTTTGTGGTGGAGCATGATTTTATTATGGCTACCTACTTGGCTGACAGAGTTATTGTGTTTGAAGGACAACCATCCAAGAACTCATTGGCCAAAGCCCCAGAGTCGTTATTGACTGGTTGTAACAGATTCTTGAAGAACTTGAATGTGACATTCAGAAGGGATCCTAATTCTTTCAGACCAAGAATCAACAAGTTGGACTCCCAAATGGATAAGGAACAAAAGGCAGCTGGAAACTACTTTTTCTTGGATAACTCCGACTTATGATCTCTTTTATTATATTATATTGCATTGTATTATAGAGTTTATAATATAACTTAATTACCCTAACTATTTTTTATTACATCTTCTCAATTTTGTGTAATCAATTTTGTATAGAAAAACAGTAGAAAAAAAGCGAGAGCGATGAGATGAAGTGAAAAATTCAAGCTACTATGAATCAATTAGCTGTGCACAAAGATGACGAAAATCGTCTTTTGAAGACGAAAAATGTCGTAGATGATATTGTTTTAGACAAGTATCGTACTGCTGGTCATATTGCTGAAACTGGAATGAGTTATGCCATCGATTTGATCAACCAAATGTACCATTTACAATCGCAGCCCATAAAGCCCATCTCCCAAATCTGTTTAATGGTTGACTCTTTAATGGCCAAAGCATTACAAAGAGTATACACAAAAAGCGAAAATAATATATCCAAACCTACCTGTTTCAACGTCAATGAAATCTTGTCAAATTATTCCCCTGAATTGGATGATCCTATTGAAGTCTTCAAAGAAGGTGATGTGATCACAATTTCTTTAGGTGTAAGTGTTGATGGATATGTTGCTGATCTGTCCCACACCCTAGTTATATATCCTGCTGGCAAGAAACCGGTTGGACCATTATTGGGTCCAAAGGCTGATGCTATCGTCGCCAACCATTACATAAAGCAGGTTGTTACCTCGTTACTCGGGTTGAGCTTAGTTCCAGAAAAAATCCCAGTTGAAATTCAAAACGACTACGGCAGACAAGTGTCGAGTAAACTCTTGAAAACGGTGGTGGAATCTATTGCAGAAGCATTCAACTGTCGTGTTGTACCTGGTAGTGAAATTAGAGTAATTAGAAGATTTTTGTCAGGACAGAACGAGTTTCTCCAAGAAAAAGGATACAAGGGTATCAAATGGACAGAAGCTGATCAAGAAGCTTTGATTTTAAGCAAATTGGGCCTCGAAGATACTACCAACACCAACATTAAACCGGCTGAGTTTTTTGTAGCTCCAGGAGAAGTTTACCAAGTCAATGTAACAGTTGCCAGCATCGATGAATTTAGTGAGTTAGGTCTTGTCACCACCGAAGAGCTCAACAAGTATACGGGTTTGAATAACAAGAGTAGTGACCTGAATATGAATATGGATCCACATATCTTTGTGAGAGACTTTATTATAAATTACCATTTGAAACTTAAAAGCTCAAGATCCATGTTAGGTAAAATTGACAAGGCATTTTCTGTTTTCCCATTCAAGTTGAGCTTTCTTTCTGAAAGGTTTCCTCTCCAAGACAATACAGAAGAAGAAATCGAAGCTGTTAAAAAGTCCTTCACTGAAAGCAAATTCGGTCTTAGTGAGGTGTTGAATCACAACTTAATCAATGGTAAACCAATTAAGATTTTGAAATATTTACCAGTCAAGAGCATTTTAGGAGAAAGCAGTATCAGATTCAATGATGTTAACGCCTTGAAGTTAATTAAACACGAATCCATTGTTCCAACGAAATCTACCGAGAGTTTTTCAGTTGTTCTCCATGAAGCTAATAACGAGGTTGTGCAGTTGACAGGCTCTCAAGGCCCAGTATTTTGCCAATCATCATACCAGTTACAGAACGTTGTCATTGACCAATTAATTCGCCTCTTGGGAGACAAATATGGGGTTAAATTGAAAACAGTTAGAGCAGGTGCCGTGGTGAGCGACTTGAGAATGGAGGTGAAAATGGAAACTGATTAAATGCTGTACAATTTTTTTTAAGAATACTAGGAACAATTCGCTTCTAGTGACAATGCCTTACCCAGTAGAAGTCTCTCATGTTTGTATTCGTAATAAATACACAAAATGTCTAATTGCGGTTGCTCGTGCAGCGTGAGATCATCAAAATGACATGCGCAGCCTGTACACACCTGTCGTGTCCCTCCCAAATGGAATCTTGCTCACTCATTTTCCAAACTTTGTGAGGAATTTCAACGAATTTTTTTAAAGGTGTTACTCCCTAAAGTCATTTGGAATAAAACTCTTTAAGGTATGTGATTATATTATGAGAATTGCTAACTTCATCCCGTTGCTATAACCGTGAAGAATATTTCTTTACGTGTCGTTTTGATTGATTGCTTGTTCAGCCAATTGTCCTTCGTCATTTCTGCTTTGTTCCATGGATATTTATTTGAGTTTACATTTGTTAATTCGTGATCTATCGACTTCAAATCACTAAAAACCCAATACCACGAGTTCATGAACTTATATAGTAGTGGAAAGTGGATTCTGACAGACATGCAGAGCTAAATTGATTGTCCTGGTAATGTTGGCAAATATGTATATTTTCGGGTGATGCGTGTATTGGGCTTATTTTTATCGAATATGTCAGTTGTTTTCTAGTGGTGATGATCATATTAACTGGTTCTCAGTTCACCCAGAGAACACGCGTCGTTCTCCCAGTATTTGCACCGTTTGCCATTGATCAAATATAGCACAAAAACAAAGCAGGTGCCAAAAAGTGGTGCGGGTTGGAAGTGTTTTTTTTTTCTCCATAGTGTTGTTGACTTTTTCCAAGGCTTGTTACTAACAATTGATTTCTAGAACCTCAAAAGTAAAAATGTCTGCTTCTCGTGAAGATTCCGTATACTTGGCCAAATTGGCTGAACAAGCTGAAAGATACGAAGAAATGGTTGAAAACATGAAGGCTGTTGCTTGTTCTGGTCAAGAATTGTCCGTCGAAGAAAGAAACTTATTATCAGTTGCTTATAAGAACGTGATTGGAGCCAGAAGAGCCAGTTGGAGAATTGTAAGTTCTATTGAACAAAAGGAAGAAGCAAAGGGTAACAAGTCCCAGGTTAACTTGATCAGAGAATACAGAAGCAATATCGAAACTGAATTGTCCAAGATTTGTGAAGACATTTTGGATGTGTTAACCAACCACTTGATCAATTCTGCTCAAAGTGGTGAATCTAAGGTCTTCTATTACAAGATGAAGGGTGATTACCACCGTTACTTGGCTGAATTCACCATCAGTGAAAAGAGAAAGGAAGCTGCTGATTTATCCTTGGAAAGTTACAAGGCTGCCAGCGATGTTGCTGTTACTGAATTGTCTCCTACCCACCCAATCAGATTAGGTTTAGCATTGAATTTCTCCGTGTTTTACTATGAAATCTTAAATTCTCCTGACAGAGCCTGTCATTTGGCTAAGCAAGCTTTTGACGATGCTGTCGCTGACTTGGAAACTTTATCAGAAGATTCTTACAAGGATTCTACTTTGATTATGCAATTATTAAAGGATAACTTAACCTTGTGGACTGACTTATCTGAAGCCCCAGTTCAATCTGAAGAACAACAACAAGATTTAAAGAATGATGAGGAATAAATGTGTTTGTAAATGCCCCAAGTTTTTTGGTTTGTTTACTAGTACATTTCTTCTGTAACTAAATTATGCTATATAATTATTTCTTTTTATTGTTTGTTATGTTTTATTAGTTGTTGAGAAGCTAGAAACCTGAATATATATCAAGGTGAAAATTGTCCAGTAGAAGTAGTGTAACTGACCTCGCCTCCATTGAGATGAAAACAGCGAATGCTCTCCTGAAAATTAGTGCACCAACCAATTCTCTTACGCGTCAATCGTCAAACCCGAAATAAACAACGTTGAAATAAATCCCAACTTAGTTCATATAGCACTAATTGATTAAATCTTAAGATGGTCGAGCTCGTGGGAATTTCCAACTTACCTAACCAAAGATATAAGATTATTTCTAATGAAGGTGCCACGTTCACCTTAATGGTTTGTGGTGAAAGTGGATTAGGAAAGACCACCTTTATTAACACTTTGTTTCAAACCAATTTAAAACCTCATTTAGATCCTAATGAAAGGCATAACAAATTCACAACCCCTCACCAGACTGTGGACATTGATATTATAAGAGCGGTATTGGAAGAGAAGAACTTCAAAATTAGATTGAACGTTATTGACACCCCTGGTTTTGGATCGAACGTGAACAACCACGATAGCTGGACTCCCATTGTTGATTTCATTGACGACCAGCACGAAAACTATATGAAGCAAGAACAGCAACCAAGTAGAGAAGCAAAGAAGGATTTGAGAGTTCATGCTTGTCTTTATTTCATTAGACCCACTGGCCACAGTTTAAAGCCTTTGGATATTGAGATTATGAAGAGATTAAGTACCAGAGTTAACTTGATTCCAGTTATTGCTAAGAGTGATACCATGAGTCCTGTTGAGTTGGACAATTTCAAGAGCAGAATAAGAGATATAATTGAGGCCCAGGATATCAACATTTATACTCCTCCATTGGATTTAGATGATCCAGCTAGTGCTGAACATTCCAAGCAATTGATTGAAGCTATGCCATTTGCTGTTATTGGATCCGAACAAGAATATGAAGTTTCTAAGGGTAACTTTGTTAAAGGTAGAAAGTATCCATGGGGTTTTGTCGAGGTTGAAAATGAAAATCACTGTGACTTCAAGAAGTTAAGATCCTTATTGTTGAGAACTAATATGTTGGATTTGGTGTTATCGACCAACGAATTACACTTTGAAACCTTTAGAAGTATCAAGTTGGGCAATGATGAGAATAATGACGAAATTGTGAATGAGAATGGCGAGGTTATCAAGAAGTCATCGATCAAGAAACCAAGAAGATTCCATAACCCAAAGTTCAAGGAAGAAGAAGACGCATTAAAGAAGTATTTTACTGAGCAAGTAAAAGCTGAAGAGCAAAGATTTAGACAATGGGAAACCAATATTGTCAACGAAAGATACAGATTGAACCTGGATTTGGAAGAGATGCAAGCCAAATTAAAAGCTTTGGAGGAGCTGGTGAAAAAGTTGCAATTGGGTAAGAGATAAGTATGTGTTAGCTTTAGTTTAGTGTATTTTGCTAGGATTATTGTATAAGAAGTATTTACACCCTTTTGAAACAGAGCGTTTTTTGAATGTGCGACTGGAAAAAAATCCTGGTACGGCTATTGACGGCATTTATCTCATCAAAAATGGACTCACCAGAAAAAGGATATAGTGACATCAGTAGGAGCTCTCAAAGCCCACAGGATGATAGTGATAGGTCAAAGACCAAGTTTAGAAGAAATTATCGGGCTTGCTTAAATTGCCGGCTCCGAAAGGTGAAGTGTGATTTGGGGTCCGTGGATAATCCTGTTGAAGGAAAGTGTGCTAGGTGCCGCAGAGAACGTAAAGACTGTGTGTTTGTGGAATCAAAGAGGGGAGGAACCAAAGTCCAAGTTGCTCAGCAGCGGTTTTTGAAATCAGACTCGTTGGAGAAGAACTCGCGTCCAGGTGCTTATGAACCTCCATCATCTCTTCCTTCGGTGTCGAATATTCTAAACCATAATATGGCTATACCACAAACCGTATCACGCCAACAAAGCAATGGGCCAGAACCATCACCATCAACATACAGAGATCCATCTTCTAGAAAAGAAGAGGGCCATTTTTCAACCATGGAAGGTGCTTTGGTGTACCTTGCTAAAGCTGCTGGAACTATTGCAAAAGCTGATGAACGTGACAACATTGATGCAGGAAAGAGGCATCAGCAGCTTGAAGATGATATGCACAATAAGCCCGTTGACAATAAGTATCGTAAACTCATTGCTGATGATGAAGAGTCTCAAATAAAGGTTCCCAAGCATATTCAAGATCAGTCAAACTACTTGAGTATTCCTATCACTGATGAATTTTCTATACGGCCCAAGGGAGGAAACAAGCTTTCGAGTATCGATTACATTGGAGAAAATGGGCTCTTGACTGAGTTCGAAGCAGAAATGCTTGTCAACTTATTCTTCACCACTATGCATCCATACTTTCCTCACATCCCCAACTTTCTTCATAAACCCCAAGTACTTGCTGGTTATCCCATTCTTCTTTGTGCCATTTTAACTATTTCTTCTCGATACCACTCATTGGATGCTAATCCTAATAACACTACAACAGGAAATGTAAATGGGGTTCCTAGAAACATTGAGATTCATGATAAGTTATGGTTATATGTACAGAGGTTGATTTCCCAGACTGTGTGGGCCGAAGCCAGCACTAGATCCGTGGGAACTGTTTTTGCATTTCTTCTCTTAACCGAGTGGAATCCCAGAGCTATCCATTGGAGATGGACTGATTATGCCAATCGCCCTGAAGACAAAAACCAAGCGGAGGAAAGACCCCGACAAGATCAAAACCTTGCTGGATTGGGAGCTGTTCGCCGGAGTTATCGTATGGCTTGGATGTTGATTGGTTCTGCGGTTCGTTTAGCACAGGATATGGGGTTTATGGAAGTAAGTCCAAAAACATTTTTGGCAACTCATATCAGCGAAATAAACAGTGTTATGAACATTAGTAGACGACTGATGCTCAGCCATTCCTTATCTGAGCTTGAAATAGATGAAGATGTTAACATGGACGATTTAGATGAAGATACCGACTATGATTATGACCACACGATCCAGAATATGACTGAGGAGGAGATTAAGGGCAAGTCCCGAGAGCCCATTCGATTCAGCTTCCGCCAGAGAGCAAAAATAGAACTCTTACAGATCATGTCTTTAAGTCATGAGTCGTTGTATGGATATAAAGCTCAGCTTGGTCTGCTCACTCAACGCCAAAACTTGGCAGTATTGAATATTATAAGCCCTCTCATCAACAACTGGGAAAACAAGTATAAAAGACTCATGAAACCTTCAAATTACAGACAATATAACTTGAACAATACCAACTTGCTCTTGGACCAAACCTCGAAATTGGCACGTGAGTTATATGATTGCATTGAACATGAGTGTTCTATCTTTGAGTTCAATTATGCAAAGTTGTATGTGTTTTCTTTGGCACTATCCTCATCTTCCGATTCAAAGCCTGACAACACCGGGCGTAAAAACAGTAGACAAAGAGTCAATTTGAAATTAGATGAAATATCCAAGTCTGCAAAGTACATCGAGCAGGCATTTTTGGCTGCCAACGAAATGTTAGCAGTAGCACATAGAGTTCACAAATTGAAGATGCTTAGGTTTATGCCAGTAAGATGGGTTACTCGTATAGTAAGAGCTGTGGCGTTCATTGTTAAATGCTATCTAACAATTACTGCCCACAAAAAACTGACGTCTGGACCTGAAGCCAATGTTGCCAACAGTACAAACTTTGATGCAATGATTTTATCACTTTCGTTGATTCCTGTTGACGAAATCATGACTAGTATTCAAAGAGCAGCGATTACTTTGAGGGACTGTTCACCCGACGAGTTACATTTATGTACCAGATACTCCAATGTGTTGATGTATTTGTGCTCTGAAATGAAGACCACCTCAAAAGGACCTTCTGATAGTTATGTGCAACCAGATTTGAACCTATATAGAGGGTTCGATGGTGAAGGAATTACATCAGAACTACCCGTGAACCTTCAAACGTCAAATCCTCAAACATCAAATCCAACTACAAATGTTGATATGGAAGCAGAAACCCCTTTGCAAAATTTGATGGGGGATAGTGAGGTGATGGACTGGTTTATCACTAACAAGAATGTGGGTCTTGATTTTGTCGGTCCTTGGACAGAGATGATTGAACAACAGTTGAACTCTAATGATCAGTTCAACTTTGATGACGCTATGACATAGAACAGAGAGCGAATTAGAATAAGTTGGATAATACATTATTGTACGTTAATTTCGTAATTTCAGGATCGGGTTTTAAAAATTTATGTAGTCTTGACTCTGAAGATTGTTCATCATGGTGAGAAGAGTATTTTGTGATGCTCCACTCAAATTAGACACTCTATTGTTGGTGAAAACATCTGGTGAAAGCTCATCATAATTATAATTGTAGAACGAGTTTGATTGTCCATAATCATTTTCTCTTATATTTGGTGGAGCAACCGACTCATTTACAGGAACAGATGAGGCGAAAAACGCCGGGGGATTGGCTTCTTCATCACCAGCCAGGGCAGCCGATTCTTCTATACGTGATTGAATTTGATGGTTTTTAAGCTCTGTGTTTGGGTTAAGCATTTGTACTCGAAGTGAAGCAGGTCTTTCAATTATTGGGGGAGTAGGTTTATAAATCTTGAAATTTGCTAATGATGAACACGAAAAATCTTCATAGGGATTATAGTAATGGGATTGAATATCAAAAGACTTAGAAACAGGTACCATATCACGAATATCCAAATCTAAGTTCAAGGAAAAGTCTATTTCTGGGGTTTTAGATAAAAAATCATTCACCTGTGCCAACTTCTTCATAGCATTCTTAGCATTAATATTACCACTGTTCGCCATGTGCCTAAGCAAGGCAATAGCTTTGTTGACAATTTCAAGGCAATGCCGGTCCGTAATGGATGACATAATGATAATTAGGAGTCCAGTGAACAAATATTGACTGTCGAAAAACCCAATTGTAAAAAGTCTATCAACCTCGTAAAGTTTGATTAAAAGGTTGATGTTTGCAATTGAGGAAGCGATGGCTCTATTGACAATAATTTCTACTTCTGCAGGCTCATCAAAGATACTTGTATGGGAAGTGTTAAAAATCAACAGAATCAACGGCTTGGAAATCATAGCAATTAATAGATTAAACCGCAAGAATAGATTGACCAATTTACGTCCCAACTGTTCAATAACATTACAGTTTTTGTACTGGAACAAGTAAGGTACTTCAAAGTCTTTGACGACTTCCTTGAAGCAAGTCATAACACTTTGAATCTGTGTTTTCCGGGTGAACTGGTCGGTATTAATATAATTTACTGAAAATGTTCTCATATTGGCACCATATATTTTTTCGACCGATTTGGAAATATGCTTGGCTAACTGAACATTGACATCCAAAAGGTTAAGTTCAAACCCATCGGCAAGATCAATAGAATTCTCACCAGGTAAATCGACATCCGTTTCACTATAATCAATCTGTGATGGAAGATTCAATTTTGCTGTCCAAGTAGCATCAGTGACATAAACTGTCCACCAGAGTCTTTTCAGTTTCTCATTGCGGACCAACAAGTCAGGATCAGTAGATAGTGAATGGGTAGGTTGGCGGTGGAACCCTTGAGAAATGGCCGATCTAATTGCTACCCCAAAGTAGTTATAAACTGTGTTATAACGATTTAAGTTGGCTGAATATAATGCCAATAAAATGGAGGCTTGAATGAACTCAAAACCGACAACCTCATGGGTCAAGTTGAGTAACTCCGAGCCCAACATGTAAAATTGCATTCCAGGAATTGCATCGTGTGATGTTATCAGATTTGAAATTTGTTCACCATAGGCTATCAAGCTGAAGAAATAGCATAAATGATAGCGCTTGACCTTGGAATTAAGGCGACGTGCAATTGTTTCTTGTTTGTTATTGATGGCATCAAGCAACATATAGACATTATCCACAATTTCCGGATAAGCAGTCTGATCCACTAAGTAGAATTCGTTGGCATAATTATCAACAACTGTATGAATGAGACGTTGGGTGACATCTCTTGAAGGAATTCGTTCACTTATAAAAGTGAGTAGTTTCCACTTGATGGTCTCATTGGCATCATCAGATACAAGGTAGTCTTCTAGACCCTGACTATTGAACAAAAACTCCTTTGTTTCCTCATTCAACCGTTCTTGGATAATATTGTTTGCTCTGCTTGGCTCAATATCTGCAAATGAGTCGGGCCTTTGACCTCCTGTGGTGCCCCCTGAAAATACGGTTTCCCAATACTTAACTTGATCATGGAGCTTGTTGAGATCACTCTCCATTATGACGATTTTTCGATCTCTTGTAGGGTAAATACAACTCTCGGCCCGGTTGAGGTTCTTACAGTTGGAGCAAGGATGACCACCGGAGCATTTGGTCTTTGATGATTTACAATGTGTACAAGCATAATGAGCTCTTCCATACACCTTCAACGGCCGAGGCTTAGATACTGTGCTCATGGTGTTGTAATTTACCAACAACAGTTAAAAATTGGATGGATATTTAAGCTTTTAGATTGAATCACCTACAGGAAATCTCAAAATGCGGATGCGTCCAGCTGCCTTCTTGTGATCAAGAGGGCACCGAATTCACTACCAAAGGGTTGAAACTGGTGCATATGCCTATTACCTATAGAAAACTGGCACCTAAATGATGGTAGCACCCTCATTACCACAGTTCATAGCGAACCTTCCTAATACCAGAAATAGCGTCATGCCATCTAAGCCCTGTACTTCTCGAATCGCGAGCTGGTTGCGAAAAAACTAAAATTTCATTACAATACATAAAATACAACCATGATCTATATACATCTAAGCGGAGAAAACCTCGATCTTGGCGTTGGCCTTGTCTTGGACAGTGACAACACAGTAAGAGGCACCCAAAGAGTTAGAGCCAGATCCAGATATTTGGTTGAAGTTGGATGGGTCAATTTCACACTTTAATCCATTACACTTGGATTCGTCTTCACAAGTAATACGAATACCAAAACTTGGAGTCTTGTTGTTGAAATCTTCCACATACTTGGGGTTCCAACCAATCTTGACAAAAGTGTTTCCTGAGTCGTCCATGTTGGCACCAGCAACGTAAGGAGCCCAATTACCCTTAGGTTCACTGGAATCACCCCAGACACAAGCTTCCTTGGTAGAGTAGCCTGGGCTGTTGACATAATAGTGGGCGGCGGTACCAGCGTAGTAGTTTGGACCAGGGACAGCCAAGTCATTTTCGGTGGAAGCTTTAACTTTAGTTGGAATGAGCATAGCTTCGTTACCTGGCAAAACCGTTTGACAGAAAGCAACTTCTTTATCGGCGGTGTTTTTGGCCTTCAAGGTACCTTCACCATCTTGGCAGTAATCGTTATCGCTCATAGGCTTGGTGAGAGTTCCGTCTGCTTCACACTTGATACCTCCATTCATGGAAGAAGGATAAGAGTATCCAGTGGCAGATGGATCCCATTGAGCCATCAATTGTCCAGCAGGACAAGCGTAAGGACAGTAAGAACCAGCAGTACATTCTTGATCTGGGGACATGGCCCAACCACCATTGCTTTTACTTGGAGTAACGGCAATCAATCCTTGGTCGGTAGGAAATTTGCAAGTGTTAGACCTTTTCTCAACAGGAACGGCAGCGGTCAAAACTGCCAATGATAAAGTAGCGATTTGGGTGAACAACATAAAGAGTGTGATTTATAAGGAATGTGATAAATAAAAGGAATGAAAAAATGAAAGGACTAAGAGTCTAACACTGACAAAGCAAGGAATGAATGAACGTTGTTAAAGAAAAGGTCAAATATCATGGTCTCTTGAAACCCTTTATATACCTTGACATTCTGACTGTTGGCTGCAAAGGTGAAAATTTTTTTCTGGTGCCAAATCCGGTTCTAGACCTAAGGTTCCTATTCATGCATGCTAAAATGCCTATGCCCACAACAGGCAATCTTATGAGCTAAACCAAGCTACGAAAAAACCTAGACCACCAAATGGGAATGCCTAACCGTTAGCGAAAAAGAAATTCGGGGCACAATTCGGGGTACCGGTAGATCTTAGATTTCGCCTGTCCCTCCGGCCTGTCTCGAATGCAGGTTAACAAAGAGGCGTTGCCGGTACAATGTTCATACCATCGGAAATCCTATTCATTTAACCATATTAGGAAATCTAAGTGGATATCGGTCTAGATTCAGTTGCTATGTGACAGTTGAGTTGTATTCTAGATTACCTTCCTATGGTAGAAAATTTCATTGTCGGACACACCCGCTTTCATGTTATTCACGAAGTCTAACCACTGCAACCTCAAGCATGTCGGAATGGGTGGTTGGCCCCTTTTTAGGTGACTATTTCAGTTCAAACCCCGGTCGTGCACGCGGCCCATCAGATTTTTCACCTCATCGCAGCCTTCAAACTCTGACAAATTTGTTTGAAGTACTACACCGGAAACAGAATACAGATGTCATCTGGATCCCTAGGACATCGGGTGAAACAGAATCTAGAGTACCACAATTTATGGTCAGACGTACAGACTTTCGTCATTGGTTCTGGTCCATCAATTGTTGACATATTGTATGCGGCACCACCAAACAATCCATCCACTACCAATCCCACAGATTTAGAGTTGGACGGTGGCAAACAATGGATTATTCCACAGGCAGTTGATTCCCAAAAAAATCTTTCGGTCAAGCAGATAAATACTTGGTTTGTAGAGATTGGTAAAATCTCGGGTCAGAGACCTAAGAGTATTCTCATTGCCCTTGTTAATGATGATTCTACGGTGGTGTACTATAAAATTCACGATGGAGTAGCTACCCCAAAACAGTAATTAAGGTTACTGTATTAATGTCTATAATGCTAATGAAAGTTTGGAAGGGGGAGGGAACCCTCGGGAATTTGAATACTTGATATGTAGTACTTGATGAATGGGCCACTCCTATCAGTCATCGTCACTTTACTCTTACTCTTCATCATTGTCTATGTCGTCATCATCCAGAGAGCTGGAAAGCAGAAGTTTGATTTTCCGTCTAGGAGACCTCAGCCGTTTGGGGGATCTCAGTCGATGAAATTCCAAGTCAAGAACTCTTCCGGGTGATGGCAGGCGGGATCTAGTAGATGAGTCAGGAATAGGAGGAGATAACTTGAATTGGAAAGGTGGGGGGTTCTGGATTGGTTCTGAAGGTTCAGTTCCAGTCGCAGAGCCACTGACGTCCAAAGTATAATCTCCAAAGGAGTGACGGGGTTTACGAATGGTGCTTGGGCCTATAACGGACTCTGTATCTTCATGTAGGCCAGAAGTGAAAGAAGACCTGGACCTGCCAATGTCTTTACTAATATCCAATTTGTGTTTAATCACAGAGCTTTTACTATCCGAGCTTGATGTATGATGTCTTAAGAGCGACCCATGACTGACACTTGAAAATTTTCTTCTTATGACGGACCCTACTGTTTCTGTAGATTCTGAGGGCCCCACCAAATTTGACCGCGTCTGGGCCTGGCTTGAATAGGAATAGCGGGCAGGTCTAGGGCGAGGAAGTTCGAACTCAGACTCTGTATCCGAGTAAGCGTAGCTATATGCCTCTCTGTCTGAATCGTAGTCCATGACACCAATGTCATCATCTTGATGATAGTTGGGTTTGCTTCTTCTGACCCCGGAGAACGGTCCGTAATATTTGTAGAAAATGTCTCCTAAACGTTCAAATCCAACCATGAATTCTACCATTTCTCTTTCTTCAATCAATTCTTTACCGAATCGAAATTGTTCATACAACCGCACCACTCGGTTGATATCACCAAACTCTGAAGGGTTTACGTAGTGTTTTTCAACCAAATTCTGGGCCATAAAAATCAAAATCTGCCCCACCGTAAACGATTTGGGTAATTTCAATGATGATTTGAACCCGTCATGGAAGTTTAATCGATCTCCAAAACTCCGTACTATATCATCGTACATCAAATTAGGAGGTAGCTTTCCATTGCTGTTGATATATGAGGGAGGAGAAAGGCCAGGGTGGTTGATCACTTGGTTCTTATTTGCCAAAGGACCCGCCTTAACTTTGATTTCTTGACATTCTCGAAGCTTTTGTTCAAGCACAGTATAAAGTGGCCGGGGTAAGTCATTCTTCCCGAGAACGTACACCGACTTAGAAGGAATGTCATTCATTGCAACCCGATGTTGGAAAATTCTTGAAAAGTATAGCACAAAGCTTACTACAAGAAAGAGCACACACACAATGATGACAATGAAAAGTTTGAAACCACTGGAGGAAGCAGATGTTGTTTGGACGATGACATCAATGGGGACAACTGAAATGAGCAAGAGCATTAATGTCACTAAGATCATCAAAGAAACCGAGTAGAGCCATCTGAACAACCTCCTAGGTAAATTGAAAGAAGGGAGTTGCGGTCCTAGTTCGGCAGTCATGGGTCGTATTCGAGTGGAGGAAGTCCCAGGAACTGGTCTGGCAGTTTTGGAGGACGATATTTGTTGCATATCCTTTTGCAGCCAGGGTAGCGCATAATACTGCATTGTCACCACCTGTTTTGATGCGATAGTGATGCGATATTGATGTTTATGATGCGACAATTTTGAAGTCGCGCACTGAAGGGCTGACTGCAAAAGAATTATGTTGTTGCAAATACACAACAGCAATGAAAAAGAGTGACATGAGGAGACTAGATTGAATGAAACTGAATGTTATTTGTTCAATACACTAAAATTTTGTACAAGTTTAACATTTTATAGACAAAGACTGCTGAAATACCCATTCAATTGGTTCAAAATAATCGAAATTCCTCCAAAAAGTCACCAATAGGAAATATTAACATATTGAATACATTCCACACCACTTAGACACCTATAAATAACTGATTTAAGTGCTACCTTCATTTGTCCATGCTTCAGAAACATTTTCACAGAGGAGATTTCAGATGCGCGATAAATCGCTCAGTCGTTATCTGCTTACGCAATTCAGGATAAACCTAGATATCCTTTATTATATGTGGGAAAAACACCCTAATATACCGCAGGGATCTCGAAGAGTAACCCTCCGGTCGTGGGTACTCGGGATTATGACATTGATGGTAATTTTTGTTGTTTTTCAAACATCCTTAATCTTCCCTAGATACAGCTATGACGATAAGAACCTTCATGAGCTTCTTCATGACATCCGACTTGCCAATGCAGAGGTCACAAGATGTCCTACTTTGAATCCCAGTACAGATCACCTCCACATTGGGCGCCATGCTATGGTCAGCAGTGACGTTGATTTGTGTTCTACTATGGGTAAGGAGATCTTATTGAGAGGAGGAAATGCCGCCGATGCCAGTGTAACTGTTGCATTATGTGTTGGAAGTATCAATTCTGGTTCTTCTGGTATTGGTGGCGGTGGATTCATTGTCAGCTCACTGAACTCAACCAAGAAAGTGCTCAGCATCGACGCCCGTGAAATGGCCCCTGGTATGGCATACTCAAGTATGTTTGAAAAGAACCCAGTACTTTCAGTAGTGGGAGGATTGAGCAACGGTATTCCCGGAGAGCTAAAGGGGTTAGATGTGTTGTTTCATACCCACGGATCCGGAAATTTGACCTGGGCTGAAGTGATTGAGCCAGTTATTAGATTGAATAGAGATGGCTTTGAATGTACTCTCTCTCTCGAGGTCACAATTCAGGCACTACATGATCGGTACTTTACCAAGATCCCTGATTTGGCCAAATCATGGGACTTTATTTATAACGAAGATGGAAGTCTTAAGAAAGTTGGTCAATTGGTTCAAAGGCAAAATTTAGCTAGGACCTTGGAATTGGTTGCTCAAAACGGGTCACTGGCAATTTTCTACGACCCAAATGGTCCAATTGTACCCCATTTAATTGAGGCAAATAACAAATGGGGTGGGCTATTTACATCCAAAGACTTTGCATTGTATGAAACCAAAGTTGAAGATGCCCTTTCATACAAATTTGGCGACTTGGAAGTGTACACCACCAGTGGTATAAGTTCTGGAATCGTGCTCATAGCCGGATTAAATCTATATCTGAAGTTACAAAAGGCTACTGATGCTCTGTATCTTCAAATCCACAAATTCATAGAAACCATGAAATGGATGGCATCTGCCAGAACTCGCCTTGGTGATACCAGGACCTCAGAAGAGTATCAAGAAATTGTACTGAACTATACTTCAGATAGTTGGAGTGAAGATATCAGAGACAACAAGTACTTTGACACCCAAACCTTCCATTGGTCTCACTACGATCCTTTATTCCAGACCAGCGAATCTCATGGAACCACACATTTTTCAGTCCTAGACGACCAGGATAATGGAGTAGGAATGACCAGCACCGTCAATTTGTTGTTTGGGTCTATTGTATATGACCCCATAACCGGAGTTATCTTGAATAATGAGATGGATGACTTTCTGACCAAGTCCTACAACAACTCATTTCAGCTCCAGCCTTCGAAATTCAACACTGTTCAACCATATAATAGACCTTTATCATCAGCTGCCCCCACTATCATTATGGAGAATGGAATTCCTATTTTCCTCGTTGGAGCCGCTGGAGGCTCACGAATCACCACTGCTGTTTTACAAGCAATAATGCGAGTGTTCAATTTCAATTCAGACCTCCTTCTGGCCATAGCTAACCCTCGTTTGCATCATCAACTTCTCCCGAATTACGTGCTCCTTGAGAACATCACATTAACCAGTGAGGAGCTTGGATACGGAGTACTTGAACAACTTGAAGGCTTGGGCCATACGTTCCAGGAGACGGGAGTTGAGACCACAATGAATGCTATTCACCGGGTACGGGACACTATCCACGGTGTGGCTGACTTTTGGAGAAAGTTTGGTGAAGCTGATGGGTATTAGGATTTTTTTTTGCACTATGGCAAACACCGAAAACTCAATGCGGGACTATCAATATACTTCAATCGACCAAAGGACATGTCTTTGACCAATCAGGCAACATATAGTCTTTATGCACGATAGAACCAGTAGTTACCTGAGAGCTCCGGCTTATTAAATAAGGTGGTTCCGTTTATCCTTATCTGATGGTTCCTTTGGACCATTGCGGATATCGCCTGGATAAATAATATGGAGATTAGAGTTGACCGGAGTCAAAAATACAACACGAGATTTTGCCACTTCCCGAGATACGTGGCACTCACCTGATATATATAATAGCTGGAGTTACAATTGTAGGTATATGTCCCCACAATACACGTAAATATCCCATAGGGTGTAAGGGCTTCATCCCTTACAATCTATCTCGCCCCCACAAAAATTGCCTCATTGGAATGCGCACCTGCATTCCATTTTGGCGGCTCTCGGAGTTTAAATGCGATCATTACTGACGCAATTTATAAACCCAATCGGATCCCCCTGTTTTGTTTTTCCACCACCATCCACTGGAATGACCTATCAGTATCAGGATCAATTACAAAAGTTACCCATTCCCGACTTACATCAAACATGTACCAACTATTTGCGGGTATTGAAGCCCCTTCAAACTGAGAAAGAGTATGAAAAAACCATGGAGGCAGTAGCCAAGTTTTTGAAGTCAGGGACCGGGAAATACCTTGACGAGCAACTCCGTGAATATAGCAAGAACAGAAACAGCTATATTGAGCAGTTCTGGTACGATTCATACTTGAACTACGATTCTCCTGTGGTGTTGAACTTGAACCCGTTTTTCCTTTTGGAAGATGATCCTTTTAACAACGAATCAAATTCAATTAACCCCCAAGTTAAAAGAGCTGCATCTTTGACATTGTCTTCATTGAAGTTCATTAGGGCATTGAAGAACGAAACCTTGCCTCCTGACAGATTGAAAAATGATCAGGTTTTGGACATGTATCAATACTCCAAGTTATTTGGGTCAGCAAGAATTCCCACCGACGAAGGATGCGTGATGCAAAGTGACCAAAATTCAAATCATATTGTGGTGTTGTCCAAGTCTCAATTCTATTGGTTTGATGTATTGAACGGCAACAACGACTTGATTTTGTCGGAATCCGACTTGATCATTAACTTCAATTCTATCATCAAAGACTCTTTAGACACAAACGCAGACGCAGTAGCCAAATCGTCATTCGGGATTTTGACTACTGAAAACAGAAGAGTCTGGGCTAAGTTGAGAAACACAAACTTGAGCAATAACTCTTCCAACAGAGAAATCTTATCCATTATTGATTCGGCATTGTTTATTTTGTGTTTGGACGATATTAAATTATATGACTTGTCTGACTTGGCCAAGAACATGTTATGTGGGTTGTCGATATTGGATAGAGGTGTTCAGGTAGGTACTTGTACGAACAGATGGTACGATAAGTTACAAATCATCATTACTCAAAATGGTAAGGCTGGTATCAATTTCGAGCATACTGGTGTAGATGGCCACACTGTCTTAAGGTTTGTTTCTGATATTTACACCGACTCAATTTTGTCATTTGCTCATCAAATCAACGCCAATTCTCCGAACTTATGGGGTGATGAGGGCAAGAAAGCTAGTATCGACAATTCTGAAAACTTGATTACTATTCCTCGAAAGTTGGAATGGGATTTAACTCCTGACTTATCGTTAGCCTTGAGGTTTGCCGAAACAAGATTGAGTGATTTAATCAATCAAAATGAGTTCAAACATTTGGAGTTCAAGAACTATGGTTCTTCTACTATCAAAAACATGAAGTTTTCTCCTGATGCTTTCATCCAAATGGCTTTTCAAGCAACATACTATGCTTTGTATGGGAAAGTTGAATGTACTTATGAACCAGCAATGACCAAACAGTTCTTACACGGTAGAACTGAAGCTATCAGGCCCGTGAGCCAGGAATCAAACCTTTTTGTGAGGAAGTTTTTTGACTCTTCTGTTCCTAATAAGACCAAGTTGGAATTTCTTTCTATTGCATGTCAGTCTCATTCCAAGCAAACACGGCTAGCCTCCAATGGAGAAGGGGTTGACAGACACTTGTTTGCTTTGTTCTGTATTTGGAAACGCTATATCGAAGATGAAGCCAATGAAGCCAATGAGAATGATGATAGCAACTCAGACCGTACTCTTGGTAACGAAATTCAGTTCACAGGGCCAGATAAGTCCAGTTTACAAGAAATCCCTTCGCTTTTTGCTGACTCTGGCTGGGACAAATTGAACAACACTATTTTATCTACTTCAAACTGTGGAAATCCTTCGTTGAGGTTGTTTGGTTTTGGGCCTGTTAGTGCTAATGGATTTGGAATTGGTTACATTATCAAGGATGATTCCGTATCTATTTGTGCCTCCTCTAAACATAGGCAAACATCCAGATTCTTGGCCACTTTGGAATCATATTTGAACGAAATTTATCGAATCTTTAAAGAGGTTAACAGTCCCACAAATGAGTTTTTATCTTCCCCAGTAGAGACCAAGCACACTCATTCTCCTGCCAGTACTCCAATTTATATTGAGAATCCCAAACCTGCTGCATACAATGGTTTATCCAACTTGTTGGGAGGCTACGGCTATTTCGATATGGGTGATGACGATATAAAGTCTAGAGGGCCAAGTCCTGAACCTCCATTCTTGAATAGACATAACAGTGGATTCTCCATCAAAGAAATCGGGAAAAAGTTAAGATTATCAGAATATTGAGTGTGGACTCTATAATGTGTGTTGGCTAGCACATACGTTTATGATTTATTTATTTATTTATTATATTTATTATATTTATTAGTTGAACTGGAAAAGGTTTCGACATATTTCTTTATGTATTAACAAATATATATAGAAAATTAGTATTCGCTCAACGCAACAGCAGTGGCCTGAAAGTCATCGTGTGAGATGGAAACACTCACATTCTTGACACCAGCCTTCTCAGCAGCAGCTTTAGCAGCTCCAACCAAGTTGACTTTTGGTGCACCAGTAGCACTACGAACAACTTGGATATCAACCAAAGCTGCACCAGCACCTTGGGACTTTACACCCAAAGCTTTGAACACAGCTTCTTTAGCAGACCAGGTTCCCGTGAAAGAGGCTCTAGGGTCAGGAGACTTGAGACAGTACTCTTGCTCGCCTTTAGTAAAGTTTCTTTCGATGAAAGTTTCATTTTCCAAGTTCAAAGAACTCAAGAGTTCAACATCAACACCAACACCTTTGTTAGACTTGTTCAAAGTACTCAAAGCTTTGGCAATGTTGTTAGAAGACTCACTAATATAGCTAGCAGAAGCTTGAATAGTCTTATTGGCAAACTTGAGGTCCTTTCCTTCACTAACACGAGCCAATGGGTCCAAGTATACTTGTTTTTCCAAGTCGTCGACGTATGGAGCATCATTCTTTTGAACAAACATGGTGTTTCTGGTAATGGCATTGTGCATGTAACGGTAGGTTTTCTTGTTTCTAGAAACAACCTTAGCAGCATATTCCTCATAGGAAGCTTGATCCAAAACAGCGTATAAGTAGTCTGGGTGAATAACGATAGCTTGAGCACCCTTTTGACCAAAACCAAAAGAAGTGACCGAAACAGCCTTAATACCATCAGTTTGAATGGATCTAGATGGGAACATAACATAATCAAATTCTTGCAAGATTTGATCCACGTTATCAGCATTTCTATTACCAGGAACAAGACCAGTTTGCAAGATTTGTAAAGCCCCGTTCAACATCCAAGCACCAGCAGCACCCTTTGGATGACCAGTCAAGAACTTTTGAAACACACCATACACTGGGTTACCTTCAGTTCTACCTAAGTGCTTCATCATCGAATGAACAGTCAAAGTTTCGTTCTTGTCATTAGCCTTGGTGGAAGTACCGTGGAAAGAGGCAACACCCAAGTCATCAATGGTCAAACCGAAAGTAGCCATAGCTCCTCTCAATGGAGCAATTCTTGGGTCAGACTTGTAGAAGTCGTTACCCCATTGTCTCTTAGCATCAGCAATTTGGCGTTTGGCTTCTCTGTCAATTTCTTCAGAACGTTCAGCTAAAAATTCTTCAACAACAAATTCTTCTTCGAAGTCATTGTAAGATTCCTTAGCAAGTTCTGCTTCTTCGTACAAGTAGTCGATCTCGGATTCTCTCCAAGATTCAATTTGAGCGAGCCTGTTCTTCAATTGTCTAGCTCTGTACTTGATGTTCAACTTGGATGATGGGAACTTCAAGTCGCCGTGATATTCTCTAGCGGTGGTCAAAATTCCTTTACCAGGAGCTGGAACTGATTTTCCAATCTTGTCTGAAGCAGTGGCACTCATAGCCAAGATACCGTAAATTGGAACACCCATTTTGATGGCCAAATCGGCACTCATGACAACTTGAACACCAGAACCTTGAGATTCCATGAAACCACTTCTAGTTGTAGTGGTTGGTCTGGACATTTCAGCTGGAGTTCTTCCATGATCAAATTCATCATAAGTGTTGGAAGTAGCATTCATGTTAGCGAATTCATGGGAACTTTCTTCTTGGAAGTCATCTAAACCACCTACAACACAAATCTTGGCTTTCTTGGCCAATATAGTTTCAATACCAAGTTCAACTGATTCAATAGCAGTAGCACACGCACCAACCGGGGTTCTAATAGGACCAGATGATGATAACAACAACATATTGATCCAAGCAGGCATGGTATTGATAAAGGATTCTTGCAAGATATCATTTTGCACTTGCTTCTCTTCGTATCTGTCTTTAAAGATACCCTTTAAAGCAGTCATACCACCCATACCAGAACCAATACAGTTACCAAGTTCGGAAAGATGAATATACTTGTAGAATTCGTAAGGGTCGGTAACACCAGAAGCTAACAAAGCTTCTACAGTTGCAACCAAAGCGAACAAAGTAACTGGATCAACTTGAGAAATAATGTCATCGTCAATACCATAAGTTTTAGCATTCCAACCGGTTGGAATTTGACCAGCAACGAGACGGTCAAATTTCAAGGCCTTTGGAATGTACAAAGTAGCACCAGTCAAAATCTTGATAGAATATTCACCAGATTCTTCATCTTCGAATATCTCACACTTATCACCATGTTGAAGCTTGTATTGCTCGGCAACTTCTTTGGAAGCTTCGAATGGTTCCAAGTCATGTTGAACCACAACTTCTTGAATTAACTTCTTCTTGTTTGGATCATAACCTCCGAACAATTCTGGTTCAACTAAACGGATACCCGAGTGTTCTAGAATATGCTCTTCATATTTGGCCTTGATTTCGTGATCTTCAACCGGAGCTTGGGTCTTAGCATCAACCCAACCAGAGTATGGTTTACCCTTCAACTTACCATTGTGGTATTTGATCAAACCCATAATCCAAGCCATTTCAATGGCTCCTTCAATAGAGAATTCACCATTTGCTTCCATTTCCCATCTGGTTCTGGAGTTACCCCATGGCCCAACTTCGGAGAAACCAGTGACCACAACAACGCTTTCTAAATCTAACATTCCTTCCAAGTCCGGAGCAATTTCCTTGATCTCCTTGTAGGATTTCATTCCTGGGAAATCGAACTTCATATTAGATCTAGCTTGAACTTTGACTTTAGCATAGTTGTTGTCGACATTTTCTCCATTGACAACTCTTTGTTCAATGCTGGATTCTAAAGAGACAGCACGCTTAACATCAGCAGTTTCCAAGAGATCAGTTCTCAACTTAGTGGTGACATCCTTCAAGTTGTCGATGTATTGGAATCCACCGTTCAAGTCAGCCAAAATTGGTTCTTCTTGACAAAGTTGAGTAAGTTCTGGAGTCATCAATCCCAAAATGTTAAAGGCCATTTCCTTTTGACTAAAAGTTCTAACCCCCAACTTTTCGAATCCTTCAGCAATGATGTTGTTGGCACTCATCAAACCAGTACCTCTGGTCCAACCAATGACGGCACCACAGATGGTTAATCTGGTTCCCCAATCTTCGGAGTACCATCTATTGAACAAAGTTTCTAAGGAAATCTTGGATTCAGAATATAAACCATCGAAACCGAAAGTTCCGTGGTTTGGAGACAATGGCAAGATGACTTGAGCTGGTCTGGTGTCAGTACTCTTTTTAGACTTAACACCACCCAAAAGTCTCAACACATTAGTCAACATAATTCTATGAGCGAGCTCAGATTTAGAGTCGATGTTGTCCAAACCGTTACCGTTTTCTGGAATGGCAGCAAATGGAACGATGATGTCCAAATCCCAACCAAGACCACCTTGCTTAGGATCGTTGTAGATGTAATCAACCAAAGCATTGACGTCTTTAACAGAACCTTGGTTGAATGGAACAACAATCAAGGTTGAGCCAGCAGCACCGTATCTGGAATACATGGTTTGGTAGTATTCGGTGGTCTTCTTGGAAAATCTAGAAGTAGTTACAATAACTTTAGCACCACCACTAATCAAACCTTGAAGAACTTCGGCACCAATAGATCCAGCACCAGCACCAGTAACCAAAACATGTTTGTCCTTGAAAGTCAAACCGTTAATAGCACACGATTCCAAGCCATCCAAATAAGTTGAAGAGAGCTTGTGATCGTATTCCCAACCTTCACGAGTCTTTCTCTGGATGTGCAAGAAAGGAATGGTTTCTTGGGGGATTGTGGAAGAAACTGGTTGCAAAATAGAGGTCTTGTCAGGTAAAGAAGCAATTTCATCGTCCGAAGTAGCAGGTGAAGAAAGGATATCTTCGGCTTCTTCAACTGGAGTTGCAGTACCAGTAGCTATGGCCCTATTGTCAATTTCCTTAGAACTGTCAATGTAGTCAATCAACTGAGTGTACAAGGACTGGAAATCCAACTTGGTGTCCGCAGACAAGTTTTGTTGTTTAACAATGGCTTTGTAAACTCTGGCCAAATCGTCCTTGATAGTTGGCTTGGACTTTTGCTTGGTTATCTCTCCACCTTGAGCCATTTCGTAAACGTATTGTTCAAACTTTCTAACAGATGGGCTTTCAATTTCGTTGTAGTCAATTTGACCTCTAGCATCGATATTGGTGTGAGGTTTGGTGATCTTACTGACATCCTTGAAAGCTGGATCAACATCCAAAACTTGCTTACAGTTGTCAATCAACTGTTGACCAAGTTTCTTAGCCAACTGATAGGTTTCACCCTTGTATTCTGGAGTATGATCAATGTGGTATTGCATAAACTTAATCAAGGTTGGATTAGAACGGTTCATGATCTGGATACATTGGTTGATGGTTTCTCTGTCAACAGAAGTCAATTTACCAAAAATGATATCGAAGTACATGGACAACACATCCTGTCTAGCCCAGTTCCAGTAAGAATCGTAAGTTCTTGCTTTCAATGGTGAGAAAATAGGCTTGATACCCTTGGCATAGAATTCTCCGTGCTCTTCTTCCCATAAATCCAATTCTTTTTGCAACACAGCTGAAGCTTCCTTTTCTTTAACAAAGGACTTCGCTCCCTTGTTTAAATCAACCTTCAAGTACCTGGCCAAAGTTTCTAATTGCTGCTTTGCCAAGTTCTTGTTTTCGGCAGTAACGGCGTCTAAAGCAGCACTGTCAATGACTGCACCAGCAGCACCACCCGCACCACCGGCAGCTTCAGCACCAGAGTTCAAGGAAATACCGGCCATAGAAGCATGTTTCTGGGCCATTCCATCCAAGAACAGCTTGGCATCATTTTCAGATCCCAACCGATTGGCAGGTTCATTCACCAAGGCTAATAACAATACTGAATCTTGTCTTCCAGCAGCAAACCCATAACGGGAGTCTAAGTACTTTCTAGCAGAAGTGACAGAAAAACCACCAGGCATCTTGGAAGACATCAATCTACCGACCAAACCCGAGGTAGTCTTACCTAATTGCCCACTGAATGAATCTTGGAACTGTTCGGCCAACTCTTGCAAAGGAGTATCTTCGGGTTTTTCAGGAGTGGAGCCAAATTCCTTACCTAAATCACCCAAAATTTCGTTCTGAACGGTGGATTTACCGTTAACAAGATCCTTGATGGCCTTGGACATGGGAACGGCGTCCAAAGGTTTCTTTAACTTTTGGGCCACCAACACTTGCACAATCAACCCAGCGGAAACAGCCTCATCGGCCACCGAAGCCACAGGACCACTAGGAGCTGGAACGGGAGCTGGAGCTTGAGCTGGAACGGGAGCAGCGGGGGAAGCGGCAGGTGCACTCTCAGTAGCAGTAGCAGCTGGAGTGTCAGCTTTGTTGGCATTCAAAGATTTGGTGATACTTGGCTTATCGGATTCTAAGTCTGCTGGATCAGGGGTGTAATAAATCTGGTTAGCATCCTTGGAGTAACACAAGACTTGACGTTGCAAGGACAAAGCGGCATCAAAAGACTCGTATTTGGCCTTAATAGTTCTGGAAGCCATACCAGCCAAGGTTGGAGATGGACCAATTTCCACCACTCTTTCAGTCTTGTTGTCCTTCAAGAACACATCTTGGGTTTCAATCCATCTGACGGGAGAAGCAAACTGGTAAGCTAACAACTCGGTCAACAAGGTATGCGAGAGTTCTTGTTCGATCTCAGGACGCATGGTTAAAGAAATTTAATTAGTGATTTGTGAGATGAGGGCGTTTAATCGCTTATATATTTTGGCAACCAACAATTTTTATAAACAGTTTTTTTTGGATTTTGCGAGTACTCAACAAGTTGCAAATGGTTTGTGCAGGCCAGGTGTTTCGGTGGGTATTTGTCGCGCCCTGCCACGGACAAATGTCGCGGTCTGTCGACGAGATTTTTGGCGCATCGATGGTGAAGGATTTTTTTTCTCATCGACAACTAGACATAGTGCAGTGTATGGGGGTTAATTCACGTTCGGCACAGGCAAAAGACGATAGATATTGTTTTTGCAAGTGCGGATTCTGTGGATATACCCAGACACGCTAACCGTCTTTTTTCCCAACACGATGCCTTCTCGTTGACCCTGATTATATTCGTTTATTTTCAGTCTAAAGTGGTGAATGAGAACACTTTCGTAGTTGGAAAATCAAATCCTTGATCTATTCCACCCTATCTTGATTTCTTTGTGGTATCACTATGGGACTAATCAACTGATCAACAATCACGTAATATATGTAAATTAATAACTAGATGGTCTCTAAGTCTCTACTTTCTTTCCACTACAAAACTCGCAATTGATGAGGTTACCAGCAATGTCATATCCAAAGGCATCTTGTCTCCCTGTGTATCCCACAAATAACGCGTTCATGCTTGGAGGGAACTTGTTTGGGTCAAGCTGGTTCAGATTGATCTTGTTGGCAGACACATCAATTTCAAAAAGCACATTATGTTGGATCACCTCGGTGATTCCCAAATTGTCAGGTGAAAACTTGGATAATCGGTTGCTTGACAAATTGACACTTGTGAGCAGTGTAGTGTTATTTGTCAAAAGCGATTTGTCGTAACTTAGGTGAAAACTTACAATTTTGTTGCAGGAGAAATCTACAAATCGTAGATTTGGGTGCAAACGGAGTTTGACTTGTCGAAGCGAGTTATGAGAAACAGACAATCGATCCACTCCCGAAAGATGAGCAAACGCATCAAAATCAATGGTTGATATCTCATTGAAGCTTAGGTCAAGGGTTTTCAAAGACACCGGGAGTCCTTGTGGAAGTGTTCTTAAATTATTGTTACCCATATTGAGAATCGAAAGCGAGGTTCCGAACTTCAGGTTTCGGATTGAGTTCATATTACAACCACACACACTTAACTCAATTAGGTCTTTAAAGTCGATGTTTTTCAAGGTAGAAATATTATTCCCATCAAGATTTAGCACTTTCAAAGACGAACCGAACGTAAAGCCCGTTAAATCTTGTATAGAATTATGATTCAAGTACAAGGAAAATATGTTCAATTTTTCACCCCTGGCATTTACCTCAAAGTTAACTGGGTTTGACACAAAGTTTTCTGTTAGATGCAAGATTGCCAACGTAGGGGGCAAGTAGTGATTCTGGATTTTGTTGATTCTATTAGACCCGATTCCCAAACTTCTGAGACGAGGAGGGAATTTAAAGTCATCAATTGTGGTAAGAAGGTTTACTTCTAATGATAAGATGGTCAATCCTCTAGGAAGAACCAAATAATTTAGCTTTCTCAACCCGGTATTTCTTAGTTCAAGGGTAGTCAACCTAGGAGGGAATGCAATCGGGTAACTCCATTCAATGGGGTTATAAGACAAGTCCAAGGACTCCAAGAATGGTGGGAATATCAATTCACCCAAAGAGTCAATGTCACAATTTTCCAATCTCAAGGACACCAAGGACTTGAATACGTCAGCAAAGTTTGTCATCACAAAGGGCTTGCTGATATCTATCGATTTCAAGTTTGAAAGGTATACTAGACTTTGAACATCAGATCCTGTGGTTGGATATTGATCAGGACTCACCGAAAGATTATTCAAAACAGGACAACACTTTTGAATTAATATATGCAATTCTTGGTTATTCTCTGGAGTAAGACCATCCAACTTTTGCAACCGTAAATCCTTCAACACTTTGGAGTTTACATTTGCCTTCAATAGGCCACAAAAGAACTTTCCATGTGATAAGTCTTTGACAGACTCAAGGTCAAGTTTGACCAACTTCAGGGGATATTGATACTTTAAAACCTCTCTGCTGATAGTAACATGATTCAACGTAAGAGTGGTTAATGTCAGCGGGAGTCCCGTCTTCAATACAATAGACATATTGTTGATGTTTCCAAAAGGGTCGGGACACATAAATGAGTCTGTGATCTTTGTTTGGGTAAGATAACTATCGTCCATAGCATGTAAGTTTGAGTTAACCAACCATATTCGCTTCAAGTTGGGAAAATCATGGTAATCTATGAGGCAATAAGGTACGTAATTTGTTATGAGCATACTAGTAATAAACCGTCCGAAATTGGATGTTTTGAACATGGAGATGATGTAGGATAAATCCATCACCGCCAACATTGCTGGGTCAAATTCTAACTCGATGTTGAAGGTGAAGTTCATCGACTGGAAATCTCTGCCAAGTTCATATACAACATCTCTGAAATCCACGAGATCAGATAATTCCTTGACATAATACGTCAAGGTGACTTCATTGGTTAGCTGGTCACCAGCCCATTTGCAAAACCGCATCATCAGAAGTAACAGCTCTTGACTCTTAACGAGATCCAAGTCTTTCTTCGAGATATAGGAAGGAGTCAATATATAGAGACCCAATATCGTGTAGTTGGAAAGCCTGTTTGTGTAACATATGTTGCAATGGGCAATATATCGTAGTACTTGGTTGGTAAGGTTAGATAATGAAGCTGTTGGTTTCTCAGATAAATTTCTGATTTGATTAGCCAAAAATGATACTTCGCTGATATCAAGATAGCTAAGGATATGTTCAATCACTTCGCCTGGAAGCGTGCTTATTTTGTGGTATTCCATAAGCCGTATGCCGTACAACTCTAGTTGAAGAAATCGTGATGAACTTTTGAATTACTCAAGCTGTTTTTATATCCACCGTAAATGTATGGTCTTCGCGAATGGCTTCAGCTCAAATATAGCGATACGGATTCCACATGATTTATGCAAGCTGAACAATGGGCGTTGTTTACAAAATATATGGAACTCGCCTGAAGGCTGTGATGGAACCCCAGTCCAGCCAATTGACATAAAAGGGCCTTACTTACGTGCCTATCAGTTGTCATGGGTTAGGAGTCTCTGTTCCAGAAACAACCGTCATTTTCACGTCAGGGCCATACGATAGCCGAAACGGAATTGGGTCTGAAAGTTCGGAGATAAAGCCCCGCCAGACTCTGCCACACCATGATGGTCTTCTAGTAGTTTATGATCTATTCCGGGCCCTTCTTTACCAGGAGGGTCCTGAATTGATTCCAATGTAACTGCCAGTCGGTTGGTGGCCCCTGCACACAGACATGCTTTTCTTTATCAGGCGCGCAGGTTTATCTTTAGCAGCATCTCAACAAAAATACCCTCATCCGCTTAACCCACTCAATTCAAAAGCATCTCAACCTTGTACCTCCGGAGATACTAAACCCACTTTCATTGCATAGGTCGTCTCCATCATCAGCCCTGTGAGCTCCCTTGTTTTCTCCGCGCTTGCCACCTCACTGGTGTATATTTTTTTGCCCTGATTGTGTACACCCATGCCCCTGATGACACAATACAACAATCAATTGAAAATCAATAAAGTCCATACTTCTACCCAAAGAGGGTACAAGTTGGGGTCTACCAATGCCACGTGGAAGAAGCTCAAACAGGTGGCCAATGTCGCTTCTGATGAATCATTTCCTGTTGTTGATGACGATGAACAGGAAGAACCTATTATCCAACAAGGACCGGCAGGCGAGGTGTTTATTATTTATCCCGTCTCCACCATTGTTGAAGTATGGTACTGGATTCCACCAGAGGTGGAAGGTGATGTGGTTGCACAGGACTTTAGTGGCGATACGTTGTACTTTTACTCCCAGATTAAGTTGACTCATAATCCCAAAAACGTGAACTCCAATATCAATAATAGCGAGGAATCATCGCTTAAACCTGTAATCGACTCACTAAGTATTATTGATGGCAGTTTAAGCAAGGGCTACAATATTCTAGTGGTGTACAAGTATCCCAAGTTCTCCATCCAAACACGTACTTTACTGGTACTGGAATCAAGTTCCCTGATAATTCAACATTTGAATTTGCCTGACTTCTTCGTTAATAACCCAGGTACTGAGTTGGTAGTCAAGTGCAATTCTAATTTTGTTGTGGTAAGTAATAATGAAGGGTTCCTATACGTGTTTAATTGGGATCCGGTGTTGCTGAGGTATGTGAGAGCCAACTCCAACCAGAGCTTGAAAGACTTGAAGAAGTCCACTACCTTGCCTATTTTGAGAAGCTTTAATTTAGTTTCTCAGGTTTCAGATGATGAGGTATTGTTCAAAACGAGCTGTTCTGACAAGAAGGCAATCTTTGATTTGAATAACAACTGGTTGGTTTATTCCCCCACAAAGGTTGAATACAATCAGATTAAAATCAACCAGAACTCTTTTACCCCGGTGAAGTTGCCAACGTCTAAACCTTTATTGAACAAGGTCTTGGAGAACTTGTCAAACACTGCGTTGGACCTGTTGTTTAGGCTTTCAAAGTTCTCCACCAAGAAATTGAACGAGTACATGAAGAATAGGAACAACCAGGACGTAAGTATGAAAGCTGTTGGTAATCCCTTGGCCAAGTTATTGAACCAAACTCTTCATTCTCTCAATGAAACGAAGGCAAGTTTTCAAATCAATGATAATCAAATCATCAAGATTGTGGATTTGTCCAATGACAAAACCTTGACGATTTTTAAAACTCCAGATGGAATTTCCAACTTGTCATTCAACCCTTACGATTTACAACTTGTCAATTCCAACCTAAGGGGCGACAGTTTTTTCATTTGGGATCTCCTTAAACTTCCTGGCGAAGTATCCTTGATGGGGAAATTCTCGAGAGGAAAAACATCCGGAATTATTGATGATTTTTTTTGGTTTATCAATAATAATGAAGATGACCCACAATTATCAGATGAAATATTAAAGGGAACCAACTCAGGATTTGGGTGTATCAATTCCAAATCTGGCACTGTCCATTGGTATAATATCAATTATTTGCTTTCTAATTTAAGCAATAACCTTCCCAATTATTTGGGCAAAGAGTTCCCTATTAACCTTGAGACTTCCAATAAGGAATTCTTGAATGATTGGATTTTATCGTCTAGCTCTGGAAAGTATAAGCAGTTCTTGAAGGTACCAAATTTGTTGAATTTGTCTCCCAAGAATCTTTGTGATTTGAATCAACTAGCGATTTTAGACAGTGAGAATAACTTGAAACTTGTTAATCCATTGAATGGTGACAATTGTTTCAAGTTTGAATTACCAACGTCGATGGTAGACTCAAAATTGGCGAACAGAAGCAAAATTATCTTCAATGATCATTTAAAGAAAAAGGATAATTTGATTCCTTTATCACAGATTGAAATTGAAACTTGCAAGCCATTCATGAATCTCACTAACTACAGAAATATTGAGATTTCTTGTTATGACTATCCGGCTGAAGATACAGAAGGTCGGACTGACTTTGATAATATCTACGAATCTTACTCAACTATGACAAACCACAAAGTTCCAATAAAAAGAATAAAAATAGAAAATACTAAAGAAATGGATGAAGAAATTGATTTCATTGATCAGCTAGTTGACGACTTGATTCTCAACGACTGATCATTATTTATGTTAATGTATCAAATTTACGACCTTGAAGTCTAATTATCACCAATAGTTTAACTGCAATAATCGCCATAACTACTACAAGCTCTTACAGTTTCTTCGTCTCCTGATACAGGGGGTGTTTTTGTTGCAGATCTGCCTGCGTGGCGTAATGGTTAGCGCATTTGACTTCTAATCAAAAGATTCCGGGTTCGAGTCCCGGCGTGGGTTTGGTGATGCGGATTTAGCTCAGTTGGGAGAGCGTCAGACTGAAGTTATACTTTAGTCCCAGTTAATCTGAAGGTCCTGTGTTCGATCCACAGAATTCGCATATTTTTTGGCTTAGAATACTTCTAGCGTAATAATTGTTCATTAAAAGGTATATAGAAGATATCATGAAGTCTTGTCATCAATATTCTCTTTAACAAATGTCCGTAATTGAGAAAAACTCTTTAAATAGTGGTTCAAACTATCCTCATTGACCACCAAGCGGAAGTTACATAAGAACAAGAACCCTACTTCGATTTTGAAGAGTTCCTTCTGAGAAACACCTCCAACAGTCGCAAATGTCTTTTGTTTTTGGTAAATATCTTCAAGGATCTTTGTCAGACACCTAATCAGAGCCAATATAAGCCTGTAAACGTTACAAGGAGTCAACACGATTATCTTATGAAGAAATGCCAATTTATACACCAAGAAGGCAGCATGGATGTAGCAGGAAACTGAAATGGCAGAAGAATATGTTCTTATTCTTTGAAGAAATTGCTCAATAGACAATTTGGGTGGGGCTACCAAGTCAAACACCTTAACAACAAGTTTATTTTGACTCTTGACCATGGGATCTTGGTAGTATGTGATCTCTGATTTGACGTCCTGGAAGTCAACATAGTTAGATAACGTCAAATTAGTTGTATCTATTAAGTGTTGGAGGTCTATGACTTCAATGTCCTCATTGTCAGTCGAATCTACAAGTGAGTCCGGGGTAGTTTCCTTAAGAACTGCATCATAATCTCCTCCGACGTGGTTGTTGGTGCTGGAATCAACTTTCATGATCTTGGAAGGTGGAGGGCTGGGAGTTGGAGATGTTCGTACTTTGATATCTGATTCAAGCGAATCTACGCTGGGGTTGAGCAACTTGAGGTCCACTTCACTTTGTTGCAACAGTCGAGCTCGAAACTGCTCAAACAATTCTGGGTCACTCTGAAGTTTCATTATATCTTCCAAAGTGTACAAAAGCACTGCTATGGCTTCACATGCAAAAAACTTGTTAATGTCTTTTGTATTGCCGTCAATGTCAATAACCAAGTCGTGAATGTTAACGTCGCTGATTTCCTTGGGTTCGTCCACAAACGTCTCCTGGGGCATTTTCAACGGAATCTCGTGGGTGTCTGACATGGTTATGGAGAGTTCAAGGCGTTTATGGTTGCGATGTAAAATATTTTTGGTTAAACAAGTCAGGGAAAAAACGTAACATTGCAACTGTTTCTGCGCATGTAGATTATCGCGTGGGAGCGCGACCCCAAGTCTAGCCATACCCCGGTAATTGAACAAGAGTCTTATCTTACTGTGCATTAGATACTATATGCGATTAATTTCTTAACGATGCTGTCTCTTACCAAAAGCATTGTGGTTATCCTCACTGGCTGATAATGCTCTCTTGTTTCCAGATTTGGAAAAGTACTCCTTTTTACGTTCCTTTTGCTTCTCTTTCTTTGCTTCTTCACGCTTTGCAATCTCCTTAAGCCTGTCTTTAAACTTCACATCCTTCTTGGTCTTTCTCTTGGTTTCCTTCTCTTTCCTCACAGTTGCAATTTTTTGCATCAAGTCACGAGCCTTCTTCTCTTCACCTCCCAACACCACCGCTCTCTTACTCATATAGGTTTTCTTGCTCTGAGGCTTCATTTCATGAATTTGAGACTTAAAAGGCAAGGCACTCTTAATAGATTTGGGAACTCTCAAGGGGTTGAACTTTCTCTCTTGTCTATCAATCTTTTTGTAGGCTGAATCTGCATTCATAGGAGTAGCAATATCTCTCTCGGCTCTGACCTGTCCAGTCAATTTCATTCCTCTCCATTCGGAATGGTTTCTTAACAATAAGGAAGTAACCGGGTTATAAAAGTGCTTGATGTTCACAGGATACCAGGTCTTCAAGAAAATGGTATCGGACATTAAGATTTTGTCTTCAAAAGTGGCTCTGAAATGTCCTTCGGGTTTTGATAATGCTCTTTTGATTTCACCTCTGATTCCCGAAACAGTACGAAGAGAAGCACCTTCGAACTTGGCCACTTCCAACGAGTTGGCAAACATGTCTTTGATGAATGCCGTATTTCTGAATATCTTGTAGGCATGTCCAATTAATTTCAATTTCTTGACAATCTCCACCGTAGAATTCAACTCTTCAACCACACCAGTGGCAGCAATCCTGAACGACCCGGTGGTACTTTCGTTATCCACCAAATTGAAACCCACAAACGTGGTATTAGGAGCGACTAAAGGTCCGTAGAATGATGCAAAACAGTAGGCGTGTTCTGGTGTATACTTCAACATTCTGTTACGAGTTCTCGAATCTGAAGTGGTGTAGATAGGAATGGTTTGGAATCTTCTCCAACCAAGCGACAAAATCAAAGGATCTGACGACTTCAAGATTTTCTTGTGCCAACGGTGTCTTCTAATTCTGACGCTCATGACTCCAAATCTTGATTCGGTAGCCAATAACCCTCCCAAAACAATTGGATAACTGGGATCCAAGTTATTGACAAACTCACAAGGTATTTTCTCAAACACAAGTTTAACATACGATCCAGCTTTGTAACCTTCAACCCTGAGTCTGGTGGCTTCGTCCATTTGGGAAAACTCAGCTTTGTTGATTTCCAATTGCTTGGCCATCTTGTTCTTTTGCATATCGTACCAAGTATCAGCTTCGGTTCTTCCTTCTGGATCATCAGCTCCGAACCCTTCACCTTCTTCGGCTTCAAATTGCAATTTCAACTTGGCCTTTTGTTCGGCATTAAGCTGCCTCTGCTCTTCAATAGTTAATTCCTCTGGCTTCTCATTATCTTCCTCAGCTTCGAAGTCTGCAAAATCGTCGTTAGAGTTATCGGACTCCTCTTCATTATCATGGTCGTCGTTATCCTCTTCGACATCATCAGCTTCCAAGTCTTCGAAATCCCCATATGCCTCTTCATCTTCTTCATCCTCGTTCCCATTTTTCTTATCGTCATCCAACTTTGGAGCTAACCAAAACTTAGACTTCAAGATACGGTAACCATTTTCGTACTCGTCGTCACTGTCATCTATTCTAGAAGCATCAAACTTGTCCTTCAATTGTTCAAGAGAAGGATATTGGTAGTTTTCCTCGACATCTTTTACGACACTGATATCTTTTTTCTTGAAGAAATCTTCATCATCTTCTTCGATATCTTCTTCACTTTCATCATCTACACTTTGCTGTTTCCATCTTCTAATAGCTTCAGCTGGTTCAATGTTTGACAAATAAAGCAACTTGTTTATATCCCACTTTCTTTGAATACTGCCTTGTAACTTTTTCGCCGTACTTCTATAGTAGTCTCCTGCATCATCCGACGACAATTGTGAGTCTTCAGCCAATTCAACTTCGTCTTCGTTATATCTGTTGTCAAAGTCAAACTTAATCATTTTTGGTTGGCCTTCTTCATCTGAATAGTTATCTTCATCTTCACCATCAGAAAGGTCTTCACCTTCATCTGCTTCTTGTACAGACTTTCCATAAATTCGAGGTCTTCTTAAAGACTTTCTTCCAGAGTCTTTTACCACTTCCTCTTCTTCTTCCACTTCTTCGAGTTCCAGGTCTGACTCTACTTCTTTGATTTGTTTGGAGGAGGAGAATAACTGTAAACCAGGTCCTTGTTCAAACCTTTCAGTCATTGTCTGTTGAACCTCTTGTAAATCGGTAACTAATCGTTCACCTTCACCCATGTCCTCAGACTTTTTGAAGCTCTCATTGTCTCCCATGTCAATGTAAACGGCATCTTTATCAACAAGAACACCACCCACATCAGACATTGGAGCATAAATAATCTTCTGTTTATCCTCCAATCTCTTTCTTCTTCTGATAGTCTTAGCTACTGGTTCACCATTTTCAGCCATTTGTTTAGCTTTTTCCCTCTCAATCTCCTCGAGCTTTTGTTCAAAATAAGGTGTAGGACAAGGATCCGGTAACTTTTCTACCAGACTGACGTGATAGTCTCCCATCCCAGCAATATGGATATGTGCGTTTGAAGCTGGTAAGGGGGTCCCATGCAAATAACCATAAATGGCCACTTTCCTGTCACATTTTGGATGCTCAGCGATTTCTTGAGGATGGGTCAAGTCAGTGATTCTATCAGCCAATAAGTAAGGATGTTCGTTTCTCCATTTCAAAGGCCTGAACTTCATCACAGAAATAAATCTGGTCAAGTTGAGGATTTCTCTATCAGGATATCTTCCGTTTAAAACACCAGACAAGTAAAACAACTTGGCACCTTGATACACTTCTGTCCAAAATCTGTTTTTCAATCTTTTCTTGGACTGTCTCAATGTAGAAGGAGACTTGAACAAGTCTAAATGGGTGGAGACACCAAGAACTCTAGGCATACCATGGTGCTGAGCGATATTCAAGAACTCCATCGTCTCCATCTCCAATCCAAAATTCCCATCGATCATTAATAATACCAAGTCGGCGATTTTGGCAGAATCTACCATAGAATTCATGTCATTGCTGACTTCTATGAAGGTGAGTCTTCTTCTCTTTCCACTGACAACAGTTACAGGACCTTTAACTTCGGTTAAGGTGGTTTTGGCAAGCCTTTTCACTAACGACTTGATCAATGTGGTTTTTCCGGTTCCAGGAGGACCAACGACCGCAACAATAATTGGAGGTGGGTCGTCGTCGGGAGTTCTGTCGACCATAGGAACATGCAATCTTTTCTCGTTCACATCTTGGGATCTCATAGCCATTCTCTGTAGCTTTCCGGGAGCATTAACAGCAAATGCCTTAGCATTCTGGCCATTCATGTGCAACTTCTTCTTGGCAGTGTTCTTTCGACCATCACCTCGGTGTGGCTTGTTTGACTGTTGCGTGGAGTCCATTTTTTTGGTCCGTTCAAATCAAGTGGAAATGCGATGAGCGATAGATTAAATTTGTTAGTCTTCTCTGCGCATCGCACTGAAAAAATTTGTGTAGATGTATTTTGCCTGTGCGCTTTTGTACTTTTGGCTGCCAAACGGTTTGTGCCATGCTTTTGTTCAGATTCTTATTCGCTTGGTTATCTTTTGTGGGTTTTGGGGTAAGTGACAAGATATGTGGAGGACTGACGCTCATACCTTTTTCAGGATTTAAGATTGTCCGTCAATACAAGCTATCAATTTCTGGAATGAAGCCCTCGTCCCAGCAGTTTATAAGCTTAGTTCATTGTTCAGCAGGTAAAGCCGACTATCAAAAGACCATCAAAGTGGACTCAATTACACAGATTGATTGGAAGAAGCCATTTTGCATTTACAAGCCCAGATTGGGATCTTATAATCCCGATCATCCACATGATACCGTGAGAAACTTGGCTGCAAAAATGATGCCTGGAGGTTTGAACACACTGATGGAAACACAAACACTGGCTTCTACTACAGGAACAGTATTTGGATACCTCAGAGACAAGTTTGACAAGATCCTAGAGAGAGTCACTGGTAATAACAAGATTGTTCAGTATACGGGAGAGAGAACAAACAGACATATTCAAGATATAGAGGGAGCTACCCTTCAAGCATCTATGGAGTGGGAGTCTCGCAACCTTGTTTGTTACAAGTTAGCAAGACGTCGAAAGTACTCAAAACTAGACTTGAGCTTTTATGTACCCCTGACATTTGTTGGAGGTCTCTTTGAATGTGGAGTGTCGCCTGAGCAGAAGAGAAAGATGTTCCAGGAGTTCAAGATGCCAAATACCGTTCGAAGCTTTGACGTTGAATGTGAGCCTGAAATATCCCGGCCTTTGATGCCTTTGATTGCAGACTACAGCACGAACCAATGGTGGGATGTTAGTAAGAATATATTCAGTCCTTCTGCATTTCAGAATATTCCATACTTGACAACTTCAGATCGATTTGATTTGAGATTTTCTGTTTATGGATCACCAGACACATCCTCAGCTAACTGGGCATCCAAAATCAGGGTCAACGAAGATTATGACTATAGTGGCTTGGATCCACATCTATTTTCGGAAGTGGTAGCATCAACTTCAGATTTCATTTTTAAGGCTTTAAAACCCATTGATTTTACTACTTTGATCAAGCAAAATGAGGAGTTGACAAACTATAAAATTGCCGGAAAGCCAATAGCTGAAAGTGACCTTATCATCAATGCCTTAAAGAAATTAAATTTGGATCAAAAAATGGGGATTTTACTTAGTCTTCAGCCTTCCAAATTTCTTGAAATCCTTCAAAGATTGCAGAACAAATGGGATTCTTTATTCAAGCATGATGAGTAAGGTATATAATTCAGGAGAGATGAGACACAAACAAACCTTCCATTTATTTAAGAGCCTAATATACAAATTAATTAAGAAGTGGGTATAAATCATACAACGTTTCTCTTGTCAGTTGGGTTATTGACAAAGTCTGAGTAGTTTGACTGGTTTCTCTGGTGGGAAATAGTTGGTTCCGGATGAGAGAAACTGTCCTCATGCATCAAGGTATCACTTAATCTGGTTAAGTTTCCATCATTTGCATTATTATCTGTTTTCTTCTTCTTTGACAAAGACCTTGACAAACTCTTCAATCGAGCACCCAAAAAGCTTTGAGGTTCATCAATCGACTCAGTACTATTGTGTTGTTCGGTTTCTTCAAAATCAACCTCACTTGATTTTTCATGCCCAAGTTCTGGGGTTAAAATGTCTTTATCACTGGAAGGTTGAGCGGTACCTGCTGAAACGTTACCTAACTTATACATTTCTTGTTCCCAGTTGGTGGTATGATCTTGCGCAGCCACACCCAACGCCATCAATTCATTGGCACTATGGTGAGCAGTCTTTTCCTCGGAGTATTGAGAATTCCGCTTTATGGACGACATTCTTTGGAAAGAGGTTCTGTCATCTTTTGCTGGAGCAAAACGAGCATCAGGGTTCTTAGAAAGAACGCTTAAAGCACTGAAAACAATGATGAAAAGCAACAAAATCAACGAAAATGCAGCATTCAAAATGAAGAACACCCAGGCCATAATGGAAGCTACCGGAGCAGGTTGGCCAAACAAGTCCGAAAAGAACATGAAAAGGAATGAGTTGATGGTGATGACAATCGCCATAATATAATTGATAATGTTTGTCGGCTTATTCAAGTAGGGTGCTTGAGTGAACAAGTAAATGGTGTAAGCTAAATCAAGCACGAACACCACCACCACAGAAACCTTGGCAGCCGGTTGGCACAAACTAATGAAAATACCTTTGATGAGGTTGTAAGCCACAATCACAGTACCAAACCAATATTTTGAGGCATTGAACATGGTATAGCAGAAACCATACTTATTCAATATGGTTTCATCACCATACAACAAAGCCGCTGGATTGTTGAACTGTTGGATAGAAGCCTTACCCACTCTGAAAGTTCTGTAAAGAGACCAACCAATCACGGCAAAAACCATCAACAAAGATAAGACTGACAACACAATCATGGCTGGAGAATCGTTTTGGGTGAACTCCCACAACGACAAAATCACCAACTGAGTGAAACCAATGTAAATGTATCTTAAAGTGGTACCCTTGATAATGGTGCCGAAAGATCTCCTAAAGTAGTTAAAGCTATTAGGATTCAATTTCTTGGTTTGAATCAACAAGTCTACAATCTGCTTGAGGATGAACAAAATGAATATCAACAAGTACCCAATCAACACAAAAAACGTAAAGCCAGTTGCGACTATGGAGGTAGGTTCAATGTGACTATCATAACCGATTCTCTTGATTCCTCTCAACACAATCAAATTGGAGTTTGAATGAAGAGAGTATTCAAGACCTCTTTTCACATACGAATGTAAATTCTCCAAGTAGTCATACGCTCTTTGCACCAAGATCTGTTTGGTGGTACCCATAAAATAGGTGGTGGGAGTTCCACCAGTACTTTGGACATACCATCTGAAGATATCTTGCATGAACTTGACTCTGATCAATCCCATAGACCAGGCCAAGTTCTCTGCCCACGCCGAAGCAATTGGTGGTAATCTGTCGACACTTTGCATACTAACAACTACAACAGATTGGAAGTACAAGAACAAGGAAACGGCATTGGCAGAAACGTTGGAAGCGGCGTTGGAGTTTCCAAAAGTCGACAAAAAGGCGGCAATCAACAACCCCAACCCAGCAATAACGGCAGTTGCCCACTTGGCTCCCACCTGAGACACGGTCTTCCCATTGGAAAAACTTGATTGCAAACAACTGAGGGTTTCTCCCGAATCTCTATCCACCACGTACACCTTCACAATGGCATCGATGTCAGGAACCTGGTAGGCAATTCCGGGAAGAAGTGCCGCAGTCTTCTTGCTGATATACTGGATACTGTCGATTTGCAAAGAACCTGGGTACACCGGACAAAACTGTTTCCATCCCAAGCTACACAAGTCGATTTTATCTTCGATTAGCAAAAACCCATAGGCGTACACATACACATGACCGATGACATATCCACTGATGTCAGTGGTCAAGTCGATGTTGTACCGCAAAGAAAGATCATCAGGATTGAAAGTAACATTGAAGTAAGATGGAGTAATTAATGATTTTTCAGAACATGTAACTAACGAGGTTGCCATAAGCGACCGGGTAGCAAGGGTAATGTTGGCCCACAAGAGGAGGGTCCACATATGGAACAACATATCGGAGTTTTCAAAAAAATTTGGTAGATACAAGTAAATCTGTGGTTGTTTATAATCGGATCACAGGGATCACTGTGAAAAGTCTGGGCTCGAAAGGGTCTTGAGAAATAGGTCTGGAAACAAGAACAAACACTAGAAAAAGGGTATCACGGGGCGTACAGATCAAGGACACACGCTATTCCTCGGGAGTATTGCTAAAACGAAGGTATTTCACCAGATGTATCAAGCGCAAAGAACAGATTTCTCACCTCTTGCCTAAGAATAGATAAAAATTTTTTGCTTTCTGCTCGTTGTTTTTTTGCCAGTGCGCCTTCGCAACTGCAGGTTAGGGGTTAGCGCGACAGGAGCGCGAGTTTTTGCATCTTAAAATAGAGCTCATTTACGCGGCGCATGGGCTAGTAAGTTGAGTGTATGGCATAATATATACTGCTAAATATGATACTCCACGAGCCGGGTGGGTTCTTTGATGACGTCCTCACCCCAGACCACTGACACCACGTCCCAAAACTCGCGGGCGTAGAAGAGCTGAATCCCATATTTATCGAAAAAGTATGTTTCTGGCTCAACGTTCTGGTAGTATTTCTTGTCGTTATCCGCCAAGAGCGCATTCAATTTCGAATCGTCATTAATGGCCTTTACGTACTCTTCAATTATATCCTTTCTGTTCTCTCTGGGAGCAATGACACGTTTTATCCCACTCAAGTTGGCACCCAAGATTTTTTCTTTGAGTCCTCCAATTGGTAAAACCATTCCTCGGAGGGTGATTTCTCCCGTCATGGCCAAATCCTGAGGAACGGGTCTCTCCAATATTAACGACAAGAACAGTAAGGCCATGGTAATACCGGCCGAAGGTCCATCTTTCTGGATAGATCCCATGGGAACATGCAAGTGGATTTCCAAGTTTTTGAATTTGGTGATCAACAGATCCATTTCCTCAGTGGGTAAGCTCAACGCATTATTGTAGATGATCAGCTTGATGAAAGTGAGCCCGATTTTGGCACTTTCCATCAACACTTCGCCGAGACGACCTGTCATGTTCAACGAGCCTCCTTTTTCGGGGTTGCTGAAACCTATACTCTCAAACGTTAACACTGAGCCGCTTCCCTCACCATTGTAAGATAACCCATTGACGATACCAATTTGGTTGGGGGTGCTGTAGATCTCCATCGACATGTTGGGATAGGGCACTCCCAAGTACTTGGGCAAGTCGTATTCATCGATCTTGGCATTGTACATACCTTCTGTCAATGACTTGGAATATTCAACTGCCTTGTATCTGCAAATGGTTCCCAACTTTCTCTCCAAGTTTCTGACACCGGCTTCCCGTGTATAGCCATTGATGATTTTGGTCAACACATCATCGGAGATGTCAATGAGATCCTGGGTTGGTAACCCATTTCTGGTGATTTGTCGGGGGAGCAAATACTTTTGGCCAATCACCAACTTCTCAAAGTAGTCGTATGCTGTCAACTCGATCATTTCCAACCGGTCCAACAAAGGCCTGGATAAGTTGTGAGGTTCATTGGCAGTACAAATAAAGATTACTTGAGACAAGTCAATAGGGAATCCAAGGTAATGGTCTGTAAACGAAGTGTTCTGCTCGGGGTCCAACACTTCCAATAAAGCGGCTGAAGGGTCTCCATTGAACTTGTTGGCAGCGTTGGAAGAGCCACCAATAACCTTATCGATTTCGTCCAACAAGATGACGGGGTTCATTGATCTGGCCTTTCTAAGACTTTGAACAATTACCCCCGGCATAGCTCCAACGTAGGTCCTTCTGTGTCCTCTGATTTCAGATTCGTCTTTTATACCTCCCAAAGATACCCTTTGGAAGTTCCTTCCCAAACTTGAAGCAATAGACTTGGCCAAAGACGTTTTACCAATTCCGGGAGGACCTGCCAACATGATAATGGGGGACTTATTGTTCTTACTAACGATAATATTCTTTTCGTTTGTGTCCTTGTCAATTGACAATTGTTTCGACTTTTCATTTTGTAAAATAGCTTCCCTACGAGCTTTGGCAGTCTCATCACTGTTTTCAATCATTATGGCTTGGTCATTGTTAGCACCAACGGACTTGGCGGTATCTTGTTGTTTTTGGGCTACCACCTCGAATTCTTTAGCGGCATTTGATCCCAAGAGTTTCAACACTACCAAATATTGGATCAATCTTCTCTTGACGTTCTCTAATCCATAATGGTCTTTATCAAGTTGGGCTTTCGCTGCATTGATGTCGATGTCTTGGTTAGATTGGAACTTCGATACAAACTTGTCCCAAGGTAAATCGGTTACAATGTCTAGATAGTTTCTGATCACATGATAGTCAGCGTTACCAGGACTGGAAGACTTAATCCGCTTAAAATCCTTTACAATTAACCTCTTTGTGTCACTGGACAAACTTGAAATCTGGGGTAATTTATTCTTGATGAAGGTCGTGATTGCACCCAAGTCATCGTCATCCTCTTCATCTTCATCATTAGGGGGTTGACTACCATCTCCCAAAGATCCACTAGTACTGGGTCTCTTACGAACAAGCTGTTTCTTGTCTTTGGCTGAATTCTTGCTCATACTTTCCAAAACCATTCTTATTGACTTCAACTGATTGGCAACCACAGTGGCTCTTTGAATATTAGAAGCTTCGTTGAAAAACCAGTGATTAACGAAACTGCTATTGCTGAATAGGTTATTGAAGACTTCGTTTAAGGACGACACCATATTATTGATCTCCAGAATCCGGTCGTTGACTTTGAATTTATTCAATAGCATCAACTTATGGTGGTTGGGGAACGGGATAATAGCACAAGTTAGGTCAATAAGTCTCAAAAAGGTCGTGTGATCGAACTTGGTAGGATCGCTAGACATGTTAGCTTCAAACGACTGGAATAGTTTCTGTAAGCTTTGATAGGCCTTATTGAAGTCCTTGGATCCCGACAACTGCAAATACAAAGCATTTGCCAAAGGGTTCAAAGCAAGTAAATCTCTGGTGGCATCAGTTTTAGACTTGAGCAACGCTTGACGATACTCAATGAGGAATTTATCGATGTTACTAAACAATTCCTGGACGTTTCTGTTCAACTTCTTATGGTTTTTAAAGACGTTGTCGACGTGCAAATTGGAGTCCACTTTAACAACACTCTCGTTCTTTTTAGCAACAAAAGCATTCTTGACAACACTCCCTCTGCTTAACGCCTGAAGTGTCAAGCGTACATTGCTGGCATCGTCGGTGATACCAATGACTTTGGCCACAGTAACGACATCAGATTTGATCTCCTCATTTGATTTCTTAATCTTCTCCAAGTTTGGGATAACCGCCAACACAAGCCAGTCAAATTCTTTAAGATTGTCAGTTCCATGTTCATACTTGCAGAAGCTGCTGATTCCATCGACGGCTTCTTGTGATAGGTAGTCGTCTTTATCGAATTCATATTCATTGAGAAGATTCTTAATGAGCGAGATATCTGCAATCTTATCTTTATAACGTGACAATAAGGCAGCGGCTTTGAACCGAGAGAATGTCACGTTGTAGATGATTCCAGGCAACAACACCAAGTTGGAATCTAGCCTATACGTTGGTAACGTTAAGTTCATGGTTTTGGGGGTTGAAAGTAAGTTGCCACTTCTTTTAGGGGAGATCTAGTTATGAGAACGTGATTTTTGGTGCGAATCCGAGGACCACTTCAGACTGTGGGGCTGTTTGAAAAGATATTAAGAATACGGGGCTGTTTGATAAGATATCAATAATATGTGATCGAGACAGGTGCAAATTAGATAGGTAGAAGAAACTGGATCATACCAGTGGGTTGAATTACTAGCAGAAGCAGCCAAAAATTGACAGTTTTCAATATACTCAGGTGGGAGGTCGAAGGTCGTCCCGAACTAGGCCCACTTCGCGGTAGATGAAGCCGGAAAATTGACTGAAGTTATATTTATATATACAAGATGCAGACTATGAAATCTATGATATTCATTACAAGTCGGTGAAGGCCGGAAGAAATTCTATAATATGTCCTTCAAGTTCACCTGGCCACTGCCTCTGGGCAACGGTTGGGGCTGGTTTTCACTCTTCTTCCACCCAATCATGAAAATCACACTGAAAGTAACTGGCAAAGTCACAGTTCCATCGGGGCCTTTCTCTCCATGTAACGCCTTGTAAATCTCGTTGGCCGCAAGTAAAAGATCTCTATCCAAATATCCCGACCGACTCAACACAGCGTTTTGTTCTCCCATGAGTTGCAAATCATTACATACCGACACAATATCAGGAAACCCACCCACCACAATTTCCTCGGTGTCAATCGTGAGCATGTTGAACCCGGCTCGGTTCAATAACGTCCCCACGTCGTTGAGTTCCACTAGAGGACTTACACGGGGAGAAAGACCTCCTTTTCTCTCCAATTCTGCCAATTGCAACGCCGTCCTCAACTCATAGAGAGTGTCACCCCCAAAAAGCGTTCCCAAAAACAACCCGTCTGGCTTCAACACCCGGTTGATGTTGGCCAAGGTTCCTGGTAAGTCATTGATCCAATGCAAAGAAAGGTTTGAGATCACCGAGTCAAAGTAGTCGGACTTCAACACCGGATGGTTGAATTTCTCTTCATCTCCCACCACCCGATCGGTGGTGCCAGCAAATGCATCCCAATACGACTCATGGACGTCCCGGTGGAGAATTTCCTGGGAGGAATCGAACATTGTGTAATTGGAAATCCGGTTGCGTATGGTGAGTTTGTCTTTATTGAGTTGGGTCAAATGCTGGCTCATCTCTGTGGAGGCATCGGGCGGGATGACAGTGGGGATACAGAGATTCTTCAACAAGTTGCCGCCATTGGACCCGAAGTCAAGGGTATTTGTCAAGTCTCTGGTGATAAATGCTAGTCTCTCGATGGTCTTGGTGGCCACCTCATCTCGAAGGTACTCAACTTTTTTGGATTCCTGGGGGTTGATTTTGGGAAACCGGCTCCGTTGTGCAAGTTTGGCCACTCGGTCAAATACATTAAACTGGTGGTTCGGGGCGTTTGTGGCTAATGTTCTTCTCAACATCGCTGTGAGCAAGATTATTTTTTTGCCATACCGATATATTCGCGATGCGGGAACTGAGCACAATGGACCCCACCTTCGTCGGCGCCCCCACTATTGGAGAAACATATACGGGGATCGGAAGCAGATCGGTGAGCCCACGGACAGTTGGCACCGATTGGAGGGTGGAGGTAAATAGGTTGGGTCAGGCACGGCGGCGGAAAGCAGACGGCGGTTACTGCCATTCTTGTTTTGGTGCAACGCAAAAGCTTCCGGACGTGACCCGAACATTGCTGGTAATGTAACGGGACGACACAGGGGCGGACAAGCGTGACCTGTACCAAGACGACCACAATTTCTTTGCGTTTCAAAGCCCCATTAGTGTTATCCGTCCAGCTGTCAGTTGTTGGAGCCTCCGTGGCCCCTCCTCTCCGGTCCCAGCCCAAGCTATCAAAGAATAATCTCAAGCTGATCAATTTCTGGACATGGAAAATAATCCAGGGAACCCAGTTTATCGGGCCACTATATCTGATTAGGAAATAATTGCAGGGGGAACCGAAGAGGGGGGGACCGACGAAGAGCAAAGGGAGTGCTGACGCGCCTTAAACTGGCAGGTTTCCCGGAAATTTAGGTTACTTTTGTCGAGTTTGTTATGATCAGCCTCGTAAAAAGGGCCATATATTGTGGGGTAATCCTGTACTTGAGCCAATTGTCTGAATATCCAAAACAACCTGAGATTGCGGAGGAAAGAGGGACTTTCGGAGGGCTTGGCTTGGTTTTTGTGAATGCTTGTAGCCTACAAACAATATGGGTCGATGGATACTGGCTACTTCAACAGCTGTGAAACTACTACAAAATGCCGGAAATATATGAGAGGTTTTGTGACTCAGGGATTTTGTGTCCTTATTTTCACACCTGTTATTCTTGGCTACTATTTTGCGGCTGCAATTCATCGGTGTGAGCTTAAGATATCTCGGAAAGAATGCAAAGATAGAATTAGAATGTGGGGGGATGGAGTATTTTCCTTTTTTTGAATCATTTTGCATTCAACCATTCGCTCATAAGCTGGGGTATCGATTTGCAGCTAACCGGAGAGATATAAAGCTCCGTGTATGTCACTGTAATTTTTTTGGTCAAAGAATTCCACTATTACAATGAGCGCTTCTAGCATTGACAAACAGCCTCATTACACTGAAGATGCACCTATTAATCTTGAAGATGATCGGGTCGAAAACTATATCAAGCAAGACTTGAAGTGGTGGAAACAATCCCACTTGATTAAGTTGAACTTTTTATTATTTCTTTGTACTTTGGCCAGTACCAACAATGGGTATGATGGGTCGATGTTGAACGGTTTACAAAGTTTGGAGTCCTGGAACAAAAAAATCAACCCTAGTGGTGATTCAGTGAAGTTGGGGGCTTTGTCAAATGGTACTATTTTTGGAAGTATCATTGGTCTTCCTATAGTTCCCTACATTGTGGACAGATGGGGAAGAAGAGTGGGGATTTTTAGTGGCCAGCTTTTGTGTTTGATTGGAGCCATTTTACAGGGGGTTAGTACCAACTACGCTTTCTTCCTTTCGGCAAGAATGGTTTTAGGTCTTGGTAATGCATTCATGGTGGTTAGTGCTCCCGCTCTTATTTCTGAAATCGCTTTCCCATCCCACAGAGAAGCTGCTACTGGGTTCTATAATACTTGTTGGTACTTGGGAGCTTTCCTCGCTGCATGGATTACTTATGGTACTAACAAACTTGGTACTGAAAATAACTGGGCCTGGAGAATTCCAAGTTTCTTGCAAGGTTTCATGCCACTCGTGCAAGTACTTACTATCTTCTTTGTTCCTGAAAGTCCTCGTTTTCATGTTTCAAAGGGACAGTTTGATAAGGCTGAAGCTATGTTGAGAAAACATCATATTGGAGGATCTAACGACCCAATGGACTTGGCGTTGATAGACTTTGAAATGAAAGAAATCCAATTGGCTATTGAGTTGGAGAAGTTGAACACTGAATCTTCCTACTGGGATTTCATCAAATTGAAGAACTTTAGAAAAAGAACCTTTTTGGTGTTTTACACTCCATGCATTATGCAGTTGTCCGGAAATGGTTTGGTGTCCTACTATTTGAATAAGGTATTGAACTCCATTGGTATCACCGACTCCGATAGGCAATTGCAAATAAATGGATTCCTTATGATGTACAATATGTTCCTTTCTATGGGAGTGGCATTTGTGTTCAAGTACTTCAAGAGAAGAAAAATGTTTTTATTCTCCATTGCATCCATGTTAATTTGTTACATCTTGTGGACCATTTTATCGGCATTGGCTGTGAAAAGACACTATCCTACGTCTTTATCCAACGGGGTTTTGGCTTTCATCTTCCTTTTCTATGCGTCGTATGATATCGGTCTTAATGGTTTACCCATCTTGTATATCACTGAAATCTTACCTTACACCCACCGTGCTAAAGGTTTGAACTTGTTCCAGTTTGGTCAAACTTGTACTTTAATTTTCAACGGGTATGTTAATCCTGTGGCCATGGACGCGATCGAGTGGAAATACTACATCGTCTGGTGTTGCAACTTGGCGGTCGAATTGGTGGTTGTGTACTTCTTCTACCCAGAAACAAACTTACACAAGGACACGACTTTGGAAGAAATCGGGCAAATCTTTGGAGACCCCATTTCCGACAGCCGTCTTATGTCTATTTCTCATGAGGAAAAGCTTGAAGTTGAACACAGTGCTTAAGCCATGGGAAATACCTTTAATTCTTTTGTTATTAATAACCTTTAAGTAGCTTTTATATTGAATGTATCAGTCTACTACTGAGAAACTCCCGATACATGCAGGAATGGATATGTGTAGCCCATGGCAGCTATAAACTGTAAAAAAACTTGGCCCCTCTTCCCCAATTGATACAGGCATGGAGAATGGCCCTTCCGTTGAACCTGTAAAAGGTCACGTGCTCTTTCCCGGATTAGTGCATGGCTGGAGTTGTCTCATCCGCAAACTATTAGGGCGACAGTGAACCTGAAAGTTTCGCTAACAGGCGAGCGACTGCGAGAGGAGGAAACACCCATATAATAGCCCCGATGCCCCTAGTTTTTTTGTATTCTGAATCGACAATGACGGTGGATAAATATTTGGCCTCTGACATAGACATGTTGGCTCAAAGGGTACTTAAACTTGGTGAAGCTTATGACGGTACCAATCGTATCATTATCACTATTTCTGGGATTCCGGGGTCAGGGAAATCCACCGTGGCTGCGAAATTGATGCTCCAACTAAACAAACTTACCAGCGATGTGGTGATGTTACTGCAGGACGGTTTCCATTACTACCGCGCCGAATTACATCTGATGCCCAATCCCCTGGAGGCCATCGCTAGAAGAGGAGCTGCATTCACTTTCAACGTTGTTCGGTTTGTGGAGCTTGTTCGCAAAATCAAGTACGATTTGAACAGTACCATCTATGCACCTGACTTCAGTCACACGTTAAAAGACCCTGAGGAAAACAAGATACCAATTCACCCGCATCATAAAGTGGTGATTTTAGAAGGAAACTACGTGAATATCGCCCATGGAGATTGGAAATTTATTGGTGAAGTGGCTACAGAAAGATGGATGGTAACAGCAGACCCAAGCCTCGTCCGAGACAGGGTTATTGCTCGTCACTTGAAGGCTGGCATCTCCAAGACATACAAGGATGCGTGCCATCGCGTTGACACCAACGATTTGGTCAACGCTTACTTCATTCTTCAAAACTCTCCAACCCCGGATGTCGAAATCCAAAACTGACAAAAATGCGAACGAGTAATCAATATAAAAAACCCGATCATCCTCATACGTACTTTTAATTTTACCGGGAACCCATTCCTTCTTTAACGTAGAATACATGGAGTTAGTGCCGAAGCGTACAAATAGCAGCAATAGCCAGCTGCATCAGCAGGCATGTGACTCGTGCAGGATGAGAAAATTGAAATGTTCCAAAGACTATCCCACATGTGTGAAATGCAAAGAGCACAACTGGAAATGTATATACTCTCCCAAAAGTATTCGTTCCCCGTTGACGAGAGCCTACCTTACACAAGTAGAAAGCAGAGCTACTACCCTCGAGAAAATCCTAAGGCGAATGCTACCAGAGGATGTGGAGGTACAAGATCTCTTGAGAATAGCTGAAAATGAGGATGACGACAATGAGCTTGAAAATATCCACAACAACTTCTTCAAACAAATCAACCTCACCCTGAAAGAATTGAGTAAAGCTCCCGTGACCTTGAAATCGATCAACGATTTGAGTGCAAAAATGGCCAAAGATGAATCTCCCAATATTAAACCAGGTAAGAGCCTAGAGTTCCAGCCCGAGGACTACTTAATAAACATTAAAAATAGTGATCTCAACTTATTTGATGAGCGAGAGGACTTCAACACCTCGGCAAACGTCTATGACTCCAGTATAGACGGAATGGCTGCATTATCTAATGACACTGGTTTGAGGTTTGACTTGGATGCTTCAAATGGATACTTTGGGATAAATTCAAGTAATGGATTATTGAAGTTTTTACAGTTGAAGTCGGAGAGAAACGGGAACAGCATTATTGAACTTAATTTGAACGGGTTAAGTAATACAGAAGAGTTGGAAGAGGAGACTGAATATGTGCTACATGATGAGATCAACATAATATGGAAAAGCTTAAATTCCACTAGGCTTGAAGATCTATTGGATAATCTGGAGTTTCAATCTCTCATGGTGGAAAACTTCTTCGAGCAGTATTATCAAGTGTATCCTATCATCAATCAAAAGCGGTTCTTCAAGAATTATAATCGATTCAAAGAAACTGCCAATGTTAATTTTGAAGATCACAAAATGATATCTTTCATGATTCTTCTAAACACCATATTAGCCCTTGGTGTGTGGTGTAAGTTTGGAGAATATTCCAAGATTCACACCTATTATTATCAGAAAGTTAAAGAGTTCTCTCTGAAAATCAATATGTTTGAGTACAGTGACACTCAATTGTTGGACAGTTTTGTGTTGTTGAGCAACTACGTTCAGAAAACAAACAAACCAAACACTGGATGGAGTTATCTAGGCTTGGCCACCCGAGTTGCCACAAGTTTGGGTTTACACAAAGAGGTGAGAACCGATAAACTAACAAATAACAATCTTCAAGTTTTTGAAGAACTTGAAATAAGAAAAAGACAGTGGTGGGGAATGTATTTCTTCGATGTGGGGACCACTCTTACTTTTGGAAGACCTTTGGCCATACCACCGTTGAGTACCATCGACTTAGAGCCTGTTTCTAATATTGATGATTCCTTGTTGCAACAAAATTACTCGATAGACCAGGTTAAGGTGTCATATCCCACGATATACACCACACTAATTTACGAGTCTGAGTTGACAAAGATATCCACTAGAATCTATAACTACAACTGTACCGTGTTAAAGTTAAAAAACGACAAATCAAAGATGATTGGACTTCTAGATATGAACGACATCCTAGAAGCTTTTGTTAAAACCCTACCAGCGTTTTACGATCCAGATGAGTTTGTGGCTAAAAATGCATATCTCACTCAACGTCGAGAAGGTGGTTATAATGAAACTGAAGTGCCGAAATGGTTCTCCTTGTCTAGACTTCGATTGATCTCCAGGTATAATAATCTTCAAATTTTGATTTTTAGATACATATTATGGGAGACAAGCGACTCCGCCAAGGATGTCACCCATATGGGGCTTGTACGGAGGTGTAAAAGCGTATGTTTTGATGCCTCGATTAAAACTGTGTTTGTTGTCCACAGCTTCATTGAGAATAACGAGCTAGACTATCTTTGCTCTTGGTATGCTACTTATTTCCTTTTCCAAGCCATTCTAATCCCTATTTTGAAGATTGTAATTGACCAAAATGTCAATTATAATGAAACATCTTCGGAGGGGCAGAATCATAATGAAGAACTCTTCAAGTATGTGGAGAAGGCCATAGAATGCTTCAACAAACTCAAGAAATACAATAAATTGGCTGGTAAATTTATTCGGTTGATCAATGTACTTCTCTACGGAAAACCAGATCCAAACAAGACCCTATGGAATGATTTGAGCAAGAACAATTTTGAGATGTTCAATGACTTTGATGATTTCTTCGATTCCAATTTGTTAGATATCAATATTTAGTACTATTCTGTAATAATAGCGCGAACTAAAAAAACTCGATGCGATAACCATGTACCGACTAATACGAAGATACTCCACAAATGTTCATAGTATCAAAAGTGCCATGATCCTGAAGGATTTTAAAGTAGCTGCTGAGTTGGTGACTAAATCGGTCCTTTCAACCACCGAGTGTACCTCTTTACTCAAACAATGCAGAGACACCAACGACTCAGCAGTTGCAAGCATAGCTTTAGAACTCGGAAAGAGATCCTTCAAGAAGAACCACCAGAATACTTACTTCATGTTGATGTCCTTTATAAACTGCAATGATCTCGGTACGCTTCGTAACTTGAAGCAATTTTGGGATAAAAGTGTACGAGGTAACTGGAAAATTGAGTCTTCGCCTATCAAAGCTTTGTACTACTCCATATTTGTACACACATATTCCAATTTGAACCAGCCAGTGTTGGCTTTGGAGTGGTATGTTCGGACCTTTTTATCTATTTCAAAGACCAACGAGATTGCTTCCAGCAGACTACCTACAGTCAAGCTTCTTTGTCTATTACTTGATGTAAGAGACTGCGATGGTGTTAGCCAAGTATTGAATATGGTACACGAAGAAGAAACAAAAAAGCACACCAACTCGACACAAACTAGTGTTGTAACCAAAGCAACATGGCTCAATTGCTTGTCTATGGCAGCTGAGGAAAACAATTACGAATTGATGAGAACCATTTACGACTTATACTTAATGAAAGACTTCAAAAATGAAGGCATAAGTGATACTGACATCCTATTCCGGTCCGGTTTATCTGAATATTTGGAGAACAAGGGTGTCACCAAACAGCTGGTTGATATTATTTTGGGAATATTAGCTTCGAATGGTGATATCGAGAGAACTTTAGAGTTAATCGAATTTTACCATACTCACCTGGTGTTCAAGGGAGAATCTGCTTCTCCCGGTGAACTGTTCATTTTTGCCTTAGAGGCATTTTGCATGGAGACAGGTCCCAGTGATTGGGAGGATGCTCCAAAGGATTATGAGAATTATCATGATACAAGTGTGGAGAAGATCTTGGATCTTATTGGAATCTACACTGCCAGATCTGTTGATAGCAAACTTGACTACAAGGATATATCTAATTTCATGTCCAACAAGTTCACTCACTTCAAAGCATACGATCACCATATCGAAGCCAAACTACAACAAAAAGAGAGTTTTAGGCTTCATAAAGAGCTTGAACTTGTGCAGCACCCCAGTGTGCAGACTTCGCCATTTGGAAACATTATGGCCAACATGAATATCCTCAAGTCATTTGTGAGTTCCCACGTCAAGTTCGTTCAATCTCGTGAATATCCAGCAGAAACCGTGACTTTGTTCATAAACTGCGTGTTGAATCACATCAACGTCACTCTGAACTTCTCAGGTATTATTCAAGCCTTGATTGAATTGCAAAATTTGAATGCAAATTTCAGTGAATGGCTAGACCAGGACCTGTACGATATTATTTTGAACAGCTTAGCACAATCAGGCTTAAAAATGGTCTCCTTGCATTTATTCAAGTACTTGAGATCCCGTACCAAATTGACCCATGAACACTATGCGTGTTTCATTTCTAGCATTTTAAGGGGTGATTTCCATTCCCAACTTCATTACTACATGTATTATTACTCCAAGGACTATGATGGACATATCGGTCCCAAAACCAAGCATCTATTAGAAAGTCTCCCAGCGACTGTGACGAAAGAAAACAGTGATACTGAGCGAATAATCATGAACTTGGACAATCTATACTTCACTATACCCGAACCAGATGATCCCAAGACCACAAAGTCCCTGCTCCCGGGATTTAACAGAACCTACCATTTCGAGTATGACTCAAGGGACTTATCGTACATTTCGTATTTATTTAAGTAGAGTAATTCTTACGCTATAGAGGCTTGTGTTCAAAAGTTCAAACCCTCGAGAATGGCTTGTTTTGCTTCTTTATCGAAAAAATCTTTCCCGGTGTTCTCAGCCATGAACGAGTTGGAGAAACTCGATGAGAAACTCGAGTTGAAAGTAGATCCCAACATTGTAGAATCCACTGCCATTCTCATAATATTGTCAGCATGACATGCGAGATGGTCGTAGTCCGAATCTTCTTGGTCATTTGTGAAACTCTCATCCTTGAACTTATTATCGTTGTGAAACCATAACAGCAGGCTCATTGGAGGTTGAGGCTTTGTCATATTCACTAAAGAAGCCAGGTCCATCTTTAACAATTTTTGTTTGAGATTCATGGAACTCTTTCTTTTGGAAACAGGAGTAGAGACTATCTTACCCTTTCCAGAAGGAGAAAAGAATATGGTTTTGTTGGTAATGGGGGTGGTTCTTCCAACCTCTTGTCTCTTTGAGATGGTGATGGAATTGGTCTTGATTGGAGGAGGAACTGGTTTTATGTTCTGTGAGTTTTGGATATATCTTTCAATTTTAGCCCTACTGAATTGTAAAAGGTCCAGCAAAGGATTCTCGAAATCAGAACCGTCCTTTGAACTAAGGACATTGTTCAAAGGTATGTTACTCCTAATAGGATGTGAAATCGGTACTGTTCTTTCTAGTCTCAAAGAGTGGCTGAGAAGCAAGTCTTTGGGAATCTGAGGATTGGCTTCGACAGTGCTGTCATACACAGGGAAAGTATATTGGGAAGAAGTCAAGTAGCCGGTAACTGAGGCCGACATGGTATATGTATGGGTCGTCTATGATGCAAATGAATGAAGAACGAAGTAAAAATAATACCACGTCAACGAAGAAAAATCCTTAGTTTTTGAAAGTAGGCTGCCAAGTACTTCTTTATAAGGATCTTATAGCTGCAAACATGTTAAAACATTTGTACCTCTCACTGTCTTTTCCCGATCGGGAGCTATAATTGTTTGTATTTATATTTGCAACCATTTAGGTATTTTTGAGGGTGACCTGCATGGTGATTATAATCCTTTAGCCTGTAGTAAAGTTCTGCCCAAATAAAAAGAACACATAAAACTTCCGCTTCGGTAGCACCCGAGGGTAAACAATAGGATTATGGCTAATATTTTCCATATATACAAGTAAATGGTTTGCCAAATGAGGCAATTGTGTTCTCATAACAATTACATCTCGGAGTTTACATCGTTTATGATGCAAAATAATTTTGTAGGGTTGTACTTGATAAGGGTGGGATGTTTTTTAGGGTCGTTTTGACTTGCCCCTCTTTCACTACTATAAGCTTATCTTCGAGTGAAGCGTGCCTTTGCAAAGATTTTACGGGTGTCCTAATGGATGGTGTTTGTTTACTAAACAGAGAAGATCTTGGAAACATAAACAAGCTGGAGTGGCTGTCTACATGATAGAATGGTTTTGGCCACCTTTGTAGTCATTGAGTTCTTGTCCTGATTACGACCAATAAATATATTATCGGTGGTAATTTTCAAGTAGAGAAGATTTAATTACAATTATTCAAGATTCGTGAAAAGCACAGATTTAGCACATAAGCCATAAACGTTGTGTTCATCAAGTCATACAACAAGGTCTACACCTTGGATCTGGGCATGAATATGTACATTAAGCCTGTAAACGACTTCGTATGTGTGAAACACTTCTATTATACATGGATGACTGCGCCTAAGGTATAGTTCATCAAGACGTTAAATATGCAATTAGCCTAGGTGTAGGCAGGAGTTGAGAAAAGTAGTTTAGTACGCCTCTTGGTAGGAATGGGGTCTGTCTGAAGTAGTTGGATGCATGCACCGTGGTATGTGATGATGAGACTTGGTAGTAGACCCATTGTCGCCATTCCTTCTTAATCTTCCTGAGACCTTTCAGGCTGCTGAGAGTATTTATATGGAGCCAAATGTTTCTGTTGATTTTTTAATTTGGGATCGAGGTTGGAATCATTGTTATAGTTAGTGTCCACAGGACAAGGAAGTAACGAGTTGGCTGCAACCAAAGTAAAACACACGGCAAAGGTCGAAGAAAATAGGTTTTTAGGAACTCCCTTCACAGCGAAATACATTTTCTCTTATTGGATGAATAAATATGGATGACACAAACTGATTGGAAACTGTTTGTGAAAGGATAAAAACAGGACAGTACCTATTACACGTGAATATGTGGTATATCTATGAGGAGAATAGGTTGTTTATAATCTACTTGATGTAGTTAGACTAGAAATGTATCTGGTGATGTTTGTATAATTTTCAAGAATTATTTTTCCACCATCGTGAGAAGCGAGCATCCATGAACCAATCAGAGGTGTGTTTTTAGTAGTGATAGACATACGTGATTTACACGTTTTATAGAAGTATATGTGACCTGATAGAAGCTAGGGGCGATTCCTAAAGACAGTAGGACTTGGATCTATGCTTTAGTTTAGTAGAATCGGAGTCCCATGCCTTTATTGAGCTAAGATGAGCTTCAACAACATCGTATTTAAAGAGGGTCTTGTCTGATCGGAGTAAATCACCATAATTCCATATATCAGGACTATTCACTTCAATATAAGGTGGAAGTCGTCCATAAAGATTAAAACCAAGATCCTCAGTCACCAAAACGCTTCTAAGGAGACCAATCTACATCCAAAACATACTTATTTCCTTGTATTAAACCCGTATATACAAACGGTGTCCCCGGGAAGTTGACACCCGTCTCTAAAACCTTATGCAATCATGTATTTCTTAGTTTCTTTCACTCATACTTGTTAACAGCTTCACCTTTTTGAATTTGGAATCCTTTAGGAAACTTTCTTTCTTGAGCCACTTGCGCCGGCGTCTTAGCTTCGTCTACCAACTCGACTTTCACCAATTCTTTCACTTTAATCAATCTATGGGCAGTCGAAGGGGAAACTTTCTGGTATTTAATTTGGTATCTTTTGGTCAACCCCAAAGCCTCCATGTTCTTACGCACCACGGGAGGCATTCCTATGGTAGAACGAAGCTGGGTGATCTTGTAGAACATACTCTTCGCAGCGTTTGAAGCAGATGACATGTTGGGAAAGTCTCACTATTCACACACTCGAGAGTTTTCAATGTTCGCAAATTTTTTTCTTCCCGTGCTTTTCATTAAAAGTCGTGTCTCCGTGTAACTAGATGAAAGGAACATACATTTATGGAACTAGATGAATATGAGTCGGACGACTTGTTGAATGCTTTGAGCAGGCAGTCGGATCAATTGATACTACAGATCACAAACAAGGTCCAGAGGCTCCCCCTAGACCATAGTCATATTGTGGTAGACTCAATCGTCAACCTTATCAATGAGTTTGAGATGGGCCCCAATCTTTTGGATTCGGTTTTGACACCAATTATTGAGTCACTAATCCAATTCTACATCAACGAATGGGATAAGACAAACTTTCCCAACGAGATGACGCGTGCAATTGGAGTGGTGGTCTACAATTTGGCAAAAGTACGAGGGTTTAAACCCATTTCCAATTTCTTCCCCAGTGATGTCTACATGGTGATAAAGATCCTTGCCATGCTCCAAAGAAATGACCTTGACGAGAATGAAACTTTCTTCAACCTTCTTTGGCTCACAAACTTGGTTCTTGTTCCATTTTCTTTCGAGAAGCATATGATTAATAACTTCTTCGATATTTCGTTGTTCCATCTTAAGAAACACTCAAATGGATCCAAAAACCAGCAGTGTTCACTGATTTTGATGTCGAGGTTCTTAAGCAGACCCGATCTCATCCAATTGGGATACCTTGATGAGTATCTTTGTGGATTGTTTGAAAACTGGGATGAGACAATCGAGTCTGAGAAATTGGGTCACTTTATGGTGATTAATAAATTACTCAAAATATGCCCTAAATCTTCAATTTTGACGTATACGAATAAGATATATGATCAGATAATCCAGCTTGAGCTAATGAACTTGAAGATTGGGAGAATGAACAAATTGAATCTACTGTTTATAATCAAAATACTTTGCAAATTGGCAGAAGATTTTGCAGCCGAGAACCAGTACAGCCTCATCGAGAAAATCATGGATAATTTGATAAACGATGTTCTCAAGTTCTTCAATGAATCATTAGAAACGAACTTAAGATACAAATTGTCCAAAAGCTTGAGCGGAATCAGTAAAAGCCTTGTTCGGGTGGTGAATTATCATGAGCAGATATTAATCTATTTAATACAGCAATTGGATTTGAGCATTGATATATCAGAACCCTCTGATTACAGTTCTATTTCGATGTCTACCTTTCTTGATGTGGACATTGATTTTGATCAAATATCGATTGCAACTTACCACACCATATTGTTGTACTTGGGGTATATGGCATTGAATAGAATCCTTCCTTTACATATATACCCTGCTGCGTTGAGCATTGTGCACAAGACACTATTCACACACCAAAGGAGATACAGCAACAATGTTGGAAATCAATTGAAGGATTCTTCTTGTTTTATACTTTGGTCTATCATGAAATCATTGAGTACATCCGACTATGAACAACTCGAGTCTACCAATCCAACTATGTTTATGCAGCTTTTCATTGATCTCATAGAAGTTTCCATTTTCGATAAAGATTTGATAATCAGAAGATGTGGTGTTTCTGTGCTTCAAGAGGTTGTAGGAAGAATTGGAAACAGATTGATCAAAACTGAGGATAGAATGCTTAAAGGACAGCAGACAATCCTTTTCGTTGAGATATTTGCGTCCAACAACGTGAGTACAGTATCAGAATCTTTCAAAAGTTTGGATAAGCTTCTTGGAATGGGACTTGATAAGGGATTACTTGTGGAAATGATCATACGAAACATCCTAAAAAACGACGATGATTTTGAGTATCAGAAGCTTCTCTCTTCCAAGCTCATTCAGTTTATGAAAACCAGCTCAGAAGCGAACTTGCCATTGAGTATTTCGAGACCTGTTCCTGATTATATGGCCATTTCTAATACATTTGCCGAAATGAATCATTCCTTGTACCTCCAAAGTGAATTGTGGAGAAACTTTGAAGACACCAATGAACATACTAAGATAGTGGATATAAAAGATTTCAGCGATGGAAAAGCAGAAGATTTCATCGAATTTGTGGCATACCGTTGTAATGCAGGCTGTGTTGATGATCTAGAGCATTTCTTTGAAAAAATTGTTCATACGAAGAGGGATACCAGTGACAGGCTTGTGAAACTCTTTACATTGATGTCCAAAAAGAGAATAGGGATTTCAGACAATGTCTTCAAAACCGTAGCTCATTATTTGCCGGCATCATTCACCAAAAGCATCTTTTACCTTGAAACACTTACACAACCGCAAATTCAACGTCTTCTTTTGATCGTGCACTCAGCTCACCTTGATTATGAGATCCGATTCAACTTGATAGTTTGCTTGCATAAGGTTTATTCCTCTTCAAAGCTCATAAATGCTAATCAGCTCAATCACTTGATTGAACTATTGAATGACTATACCACTACAGAGCAAGGTGATGTCGGAAGCAAGATTAGGGAAGCTCTACTCAATTTCATACAAGACTTTTTACCGGCTTTCATAGCTTCAGCTTCTACTTTAACTGAGTCACTTTGGAGAATATCGGGAGAACCGATAGGGAAATTGAGGACCAAAGCTTTCAGCATTCTTCTTAAACTAAATGGAGTTGACTTTTCTTTAGAAACCATGTCGGAATACTCCTACTACAAGCATCTATTTCAATTCTACGATTCAAATGCCAGCACTCAGGAAGAAGTCACTCAGTTTTGGAAAGGCATAATTCTCAGCATCGGAGGTCTTACAGGAGAAACCACTAATATCAAAGCGTCTTTCAAGCAGTTCATTTTGTACTTAGATATGAAGGACCAAGATGGAAAGAATAGCATATTCAAAGAAATTTTGTCTCTTATTACCAAGAAAAATATTGAGCTGCAAAAAACCTTAAAAGAGTACATGCATGGATTAAACTTAATGGTGAAAATGTTTGAATCCAACTCTTATGTTCCTACAGAATATCTATCATCCTTATATGTAAAGGCTTATAATCTCCAGATCAATTGTTCAAATTTGATTAGGATCAAATTAAGTCTTCGGGTGATGATGTGGCTCTGTATTCAGGGTCAAGACAAAAAAACCGCCACTATTAGCATCAAAAGAATCATAAATGTGATTAAAACACACAGAGTCCTGCCCATACGAACATACTGTATGGAGCTTTTTTATGAAATACTTTTGGAGAGACATGACCCAAAACATGAAGAGTTAGAGACCCTTGACATTGATGACAAACAGCTGGTTGATCACATCACCAAATATTTATTGACATTATATACGTAAATATCGTTACAATCCAACAATCAAGTTGTCAGAAGAGCTGAGGAATTTCTGGTTTCTCTTTTTCAAATCTTCCTGTTGAACGTTAAAAAGGCTTTTGTTCATGGGGAGTGACTGAATTATAGGGGACTTAACTGAGTTCTGTCCTTCATTAGCAGATACAGGCTTGGAGACAGTTTGTTGTTGGGACTCAGGAAGTTGGGTGGGTGTCACGGAAACATTAGGATTGGAGAGTCTTCTGAGAAATTGGTAAACCATAATACTTCAAGATGAAAATTAGTTTTTTTGTTTGATTTGGGCAGATAATTGGGGTTTTATAGGCCAAAAATGTGGGGAGCATGAAACGTGCAGGAGCGTGCCTGAGATAAGTCAAAAAAAAAAGATTGGAGATATGGCGCAACATGACGCAAAAAGATAACGCAATAATTTATTGAATACATATGACACAAATTGCGACATCCAGATTATACGGGTGTGCCATTCATCTGAAAACACTGTACACAAAAATGAGCTGATCTAGTGGGGAGATGTGTTGGTGCTAGCCCCTGATTTCCTATAACTTTCTAGACCAGTAGGTGACCCATGCCCATTTTTGAGGCTCATCAAGTCATTCACGGCTAATTGTTCACGCTTCACCAAATCGTCGTCTCTTTTTGATGGCGCAATCACATAATCCTTGGATTTGGTAAAGTTCCCAGCAATGGTGTGAGTAGGGAAGTTATCTTCCGGGAGAAGATAATCAAGCTTGGAAATGGAAGGGATTTTGGGTAAATTTGGTGGGTATTTTGGAGGATTGGAACTGGTGTAGAAATTATGAATTGATGGAGGTGGACTGAACTGAACAGTGGGTTCTGGTTTGACGGTAGCTTTAGTGGTTTTTGGTGTTTCGTCTACTGGAGTATGCAATTTGTGCTTCAACTTCTGTCTTCTTTTTGCCAACTCTTTGATTTGGTTCATCTTATATTTGATGAACTTCAAGATTTTCAAAATCTTCAAATCTTCATCCATTTCCTCGTCATCCCAGTCTATTTCAGAGATCTGGTTGAAACCAGAAAAGTAGTCTGTGTTTTCAAACTCAAGCTGGTAGTCGACATAATCTTCTTCATTTTCTTCTTCTTCGATTCTTTGTTCTCTCAAAATTTGGTCCTTTAACTCGTCGTTCATTAACTTGTTGTAGAGCTCATCTTCCTTTAACTTGGAGATTCCAGTACTATTCTTTTTCTTTGAATTCAACTGATAGTTCACAAATACCTTGATAAAAACATCCACACTCACATTCACTAAGTCGTTCAACGAGGAGTCAATTTGGTTGTTCTTTTTGATGGACTTGATGGAGCAAATGAGAATATAAAGCATTTGCAAAAGAATAGTTTTCTTGAGGTTGATAACCGTCATCGACAACCCATTGAGCATGAAGTTGAACGGAGATGAAGGAAGCGTCTTACTCTTAAAGCTGAAACTGGGTGCTTGGTTGCTGGTTCTTCTTCGCTTTGCCAGAAAATCATTAATGACAAACCCATCTTCGTCAACATCGATACCCAAACTATCCAAAATCACTGGGTTTGTACCAGTACTATGTGGATTATGATGAATGAAACTTTTAGATACAGTCAAAGCGGGGTCACTTGCCCCATCAACAGCCTGTGTAACATGAGAGAAGATCACCACAAAGTATCCCAAGAGTTCCTTAGAAATCTCCACAATCTTACTATAGTAATGAGCAGATAATTCTTTATCGACAATGAAGTTGAGGTAGTTCAGACTTCTTATCACAAGATAATGGAAGTTCAATTGAATCTGGATCATTTTAACAGTTGTACTGATATCAGGAAGTCCATTCTCCAAGTAATAATTCATCTCCTCTTCCGTTATACCGGTGTTTGCAAGATCCGTCAAATTGTTGATCTTAATGGAATGATACAAACTGGTATCTCCATAGTCGTATGATATCTTAGATAGATTCATTTTGTACTCTAAAGGCACCAAATTCAACGTCTTAGTTTTCAAAGATTCTCTCCATGCTGCTAAATTGTTATCAATGGTGACAAACTGGTTGAAATTATAATTCAAATTTCCATCATTACCATCACCATCATCATCGTTTAAGATCCAGTCAAGATTTTTGGGATGATGTTGCTGACTCTTTTTGTTGGAGTGATTACTGCCCTTCAAGTACTGGTAATAGTTAGGAGAAAAAGACGAAGGGATGATGATATTGACTAAGTTCAAAAACTCGATGCTGGGTTTCAAGAGCGTTTTGAATAACTCATCAACATGTTCATCATCATCTTCAGTAGGTGCAATTTCACTTTCCAACAACAGACTTAATTTTTCTGGAGTTAATTGGAAATATCTGTCAATGGTTACTGGATTGATAACTGTGGTGTTCAAGCTTGGCTTGAAACCAAACTTCAAGTTGAAACATTTCAAAAGAACCTTGAAAACCCAGAAAATTTTGACTCTGTCTCTCCTTTGCTGAATATCCAATGATAAATCATTGAAGAACAAGTTCTTGGAGTTCAAATTGATCCCGAGAACACCAATGAAAGCATTAATCAAGGAAGACAACACTAAAGATTTTTCCTTATTGTTGGTCAATAAGGAGTAGTAAAGGAACAAAAGACAAGTCTGTAACTGGCTGATGGATACATGGAACACATTCAAATAAGGAAGAAAATCATATAACGACCTTATGATATTCTTATTTTTCGAAGAAGATCTGCTGTTGAGGGCATAGTAAGGACTCGAATGGTTCAAGAGCAAGTTTAAATTGATAGTAGGGTTATTCATCATGATAATAGCGTAAATCTGAATCACCACCATAAGGTACTCGTTCACCACACTATAATCATTATTCAGCAAATTAAACCCGTTAATTGTAGCATCATCATAGGTGAACATGAAAGGGTACATGGTATGGAAATTATCATAGCTTTCCATAAACTTCTTGTAATCGAAAATAGGAATGAAGATATTGTAGTTAAGAAAGAACAGGGTGATCTGGTTGTCAAGCTCCTTCTTGTTACTGAATATCTTTTTAAAACTGTTGATAAGCTTAATGAACAAATCGTAGATGTCGATAGGTAACTCATTATTGGTCAAGTTTGAAACCGCTCCTAAATAAGAGTCATGAGTTTTGTTCAGAGATGTCAACGGATTGTATATGACGTCCAAATCTCGATTATGAAACAGATTGTACAAGGCAGAAGACGGATGATACAAATATGAATTGGGGTCATCGAGTAAGTAGTTGTGACTGTTGGTGATTTTCAAGAACGGCAAGTTCAAATTAATCAATAAATGATTGAACTGAGACTCGAAGTTCAAGTTATCGTTCCCGATGATGATGCCCTTTTTATCCAAGTTGAAAATCTGGTCGATAGGATTATTAATTTGCACTCGAGCATTATTCTTGGATATGATGACTTGTTTGCGGGAGTTGCCCATATCATTATACTCGTTAGGATTTATCGACACGGGGGTTTGAGAATGACTTTGCTCATCGTCAGCATCACCCACTCTTAATTTCAACTTTCTGTTTTCTTCCTCGAGTAGTTTAACCTTGTTCTCCAAATTTTCAGTATAACCTTTGGGAAAAGCTCTTCTAGTCAACTTATCACTGGTCTTACAATCAAAGTTGATCTTGGAGCAATTCTGACAGGGTCTTAACCCATCACATTTGATTTTTTTGATTCGGCACCGGTCACACGCCTGACTGACTCTGGGGCCAGTCGAGGTGGTGATCAACTTGAAGTTTGACGAGTCCTTGTCAAGTTTGACCTTTTGCTTTTTGCTTTGTGTGTTGTCATTGCTATTGGTGTCACTGTCACTGTCGGATCTTTTGGTCATCTTAATATTGCTGTGGCACGATTGCTTGGACCTGGGTTTGTGGTTGGTACTCTTGTGGGCGGGGGAGTAACCGTGCAAAATAGGGGTGAGTTTTGGAAGGTTTTAAAGTAACAAACTACTTCACAAACAAGAGATAGTCAAAAATAAATAGTTCTCCAGAATTCCCGGGTAAATGGAATGATTCGCTGATTCCCCAGATTTTCATTGATGGGAAATAATTACACAAAATTGCGCGCCAATAAGAAGTGTGCAATTGTAAAATGTGTTGGAGAGCTTTGGGTTTAGAGAAGTTACAATCGAAGGTTCTGTAGCATATGTATGGAGTATCCTTTTCTCCCACTTTTTTAGGCACAAATATAACCCTTTTCTCGATTTGTTGCTGCAATACGAGGTTCCTTCAGTCCTTTTTTCTGTCTCAGTCTTGGCCGTACCAATTCACAAGACAAAAGTTGCGCATACAAAAATCGGGTATTCCAGGAAGACAACTTTAAGCATCCGGGGTATGCAAAATTAGATTTGCAGCAGCCTTTGGAGAAGTTCACAAACAAGAAAGTGAACTTACTGTACATATGAAGCAGGTAATTACACCTATTCATTGAAGGAGTCAGGAGGCAGGGATACAGACATAGTTGTAGAGTCAGCTTGAACAAGCCCTTCAGAGGAGCTTTACGAATCCCACAATACTGATACGATAAATAACATCTAATAACTGCGACAACCTTTTGGTGGCCGGAGGCTCCGGGGTCAGAGGTCTCTCCTCGCCAAAGAATGAATAAAGGGGTTGGGTAGATCAAATACACTTGCTAACCAATGGCTAAATTCAAATTCTAACTAAAAAGTGCTTCATTTTCGAATTTATTAGCCGCCTGTAACTGTTGTTACTGTTTCTCTATATTGGTAGAGCTTCTTCTAGCCAAGGACTTGTCATATATGTTTAAAATTCATCTGATTTAGACTTCCAATGAATGGGACTTTATCCCCTAAATTTTCAAAAGGAACATAGGTTTTTCGTACCTCACAAGTTGCCTGGTTAGCTCAATCGGTAGAGCATTTGACTCTTAATCAAAAGGTTGCGGGTTCGATCCCCGCATTGGGCTTGTTTTTTTTTCGCCTAATTGGATGCGAAAACTGTATTTATTCTTCGGAAACAATATATTAACTAAGATAAAACAGCTATAATACAAGAATGACTTCCAAACTTGGGTACAGAAAAAGTCATGGATTTTCGTACCTGTCGAATGTGTATATTCCTGGCTCACGTTTGCAATAAAGATAGGAATCAAGTCTTCTAAAACAAAGATTCACACCCTAACATGCTCATCATGGTGTTGTTCTTTTTTGGTGCCAACCTCAACTCTCTTAATACTGAACCTTCTTCTTTGGCGGCTCTGGGCTTGAGATTAAACTCTCTCATTTCCCCAAGATTTTTGGGGGATATTGTTGGAATACCCTTCGCTTTTAATGATGGAGTAGGAATTCTTGTCGCATCATCAAAATCTGTTGACGCGGACTCAACCAAAGTTTCAGTTGGAGAAACAGCATAGGAAAGGCCAGCTGGACAAAATTGTGCTTCATTAACGAGAAAATTGGACCCCCACTGGAATGCCTCGTGGGTTTTCCTGCTGGTGATGTCACCAGCATTAGGTTCTGAAGATGTCACGTTAAATGGAAATTTGGGAGGAAGAGTAGAATCTGAAGCAGATTTACTAATGTTTTCCGTACTACGACTTTTGGTTTGAAGCTTTGTAGGTTCCCTATGTTTGGGAACTTGTCCGTGTTTAGTAGCTTGTCCTTGCCTTGAAGTTCCTTTATGTTTAGAAGTTACTTCATGCTTAGATGTTTCTCCAGCTTTGGGAGTTGGACCTGCCTTATGAGAATTTCCACGTTTGAAAGTTTCTCTACGCTTAGCAGGTGGTCCAAGATTGGGTGGCGGTCCAAGTTTTGGTTGTGGCCCAATGTCAAATGCTTTTCCATATTTGATTGGGGTTCCAAATTTGTGAGTCATGTAATATAATCTTTGCTCTGCTGCATGTATAGCAAACAAAGCATGGGGGTTTTCACGATGACGTTCTATGGCTTGCATTGCTTCCAAAATGGTAAGTGGTTTCTTTGGTGTTTTACCAGGTTCGGTTGGAGGTCCAAGTTGTGGAGTTGGTCCAAGTTTGAGTGCGTGTTTGGATGATTTTCCGCAGCCAATGTCCTCGTTGTGTGCAGGATCCCGAGAGCTTGTCAATTCCTTTTGCGCGGAAAACGCCTTCTTTAATTCTTCAAGTCCTTCCTCCAATTTATACATTTTCTTCTGGGTTCTTTCAATCATCTCTTCCACAGGAGTGAGGTCAACGTTGATAGGAATTTGCTCCTCGTCATTTCCCTTGAAACCGTCCTTCATGGAACATTGACTGGAAACAAGAGTGGGCCCCATCGAAACTGGAGACCCCAAAAGAGTTTCTTCGTCAACAACGTTTGGTGATTCAGCTCCACTGTTAACGGATTGGCCATTTCCTTTAACATTCATAACATCATCTCTGACGTTGCCAACAGGAGTCTCTTCCATTTTGTTCAATTTCAATGAGAGGACTTTGTGCATGTTTTTGTCTGAAGTTGTCGTAGCCCCAGAAATAGCAGAAGCGGCACCAAAAGTAGTAGAAGCAGCACCAGACCTAACAGCATGGTCAACTGAAGGAGAATCAGTACAGGGTCTCCTACGAATCCTAGATAATTCATCTTGTATAATTCTCTGGGAAGCATAAGGATGTTTTCTGAACATACTACGCTCAAATTTGCAATGGTAGTGACCATCTTGGTAGGGGTATACGTTTCCAGAGGTAGAGTTACCTCCTACTTTGGTGACTTCAATCAAATTATCCGAGTTTTGTTCTTTGGTGGCTCCTGCATCGTCAACAAAAACTGCGGCTTTTGACGCGAGCTCCCTTTTCGCAGCCAAGTGCGACATCAATTCCCCGTACCAACCTTTGTAAGAATCTTCAATTTCCGAGTAAAGGGAAGTGACTTCATTTCCACAACTGTCGACTGGGTCACCAGTTGGAACATTCAGCGGAAAGTACGGCAATTTTGCCAACTTTTCACATGCTTGGTCAAATAACATGTCTGGGTCCGAGTCGTACTTTACGTTTTCGTACCAATATTGGTACTCCTCCATGGGAGTTGCAAAGCTTGTTTTGACAACAACTGGAGGCATATCACATTTCAATCTCCGCCAATAAGCATCGTAAAGGTCTTCGATTCTTTTATCCTCTGCATTCAGTATATCGCCAATTCTTTCCAGGGTTCTCTTCCTTATATTATCAAAATGAAAAAGCAGCAACTTAGGCATGGGCCCAAAACAATCTTCATACCTGTCACCGTAAGAATCATCATCCGAAAAGGTCAAGTTTTCATAATATGATAAATTGAACACCTCACGGGGAGCTTCACGGCGGAACCATCTTTGTGGAAAAAATGTGTTTGTGGTGGAGTCACATTTTTTGGTAGTCCGAGTTTTGAAAACCTTTGTGAATGCCCTATGCTTCATCTCAGAGAGATTCTGTGTGTTAACTCTAATTATCAAAGCGATGTTGGTCTTGATTGTCTTGCATTTAGCTTTCAAAGTAGTGGCTTCATGAATCCAAACTTTTTTGTTGTGATCCTCAGTTCTTGGGTTTGTGGCCAAGAATTCAGGAAGGGGTTCCAAAGCTTTCATCAGCTCAAGAACTAGTTTGGGCCTTGAATCAGATGGCAATTCAAAGGGGGCATTAGTGTATGGGTTGTTGTGGTGCACAGGTACATTGTACTTGCGGTGCACAAATAAGTTAAACTGGTTTCTAGCTTTCATCATGATCGTTAGATATCAGTAGATTATGTTGGTTGTTTGTTTGTTACTAGGTTTATATTCTTTAGTGATCTTTCTTAAAGGCTTTGTAAACTTTCAAGAATAAAAGGTAAAGAATGGGTGATAAGATAGAAGAGATTGCAGAATTCTTCCACAAGCACTTTATATACCCTCAAAATCAGAACACAAAACCCTTTTGCAACCTTTTGTATTTAAACTAGTTGGAGTGCATATTCACTAGGTAAGATTCAGACCTTTTGCTATAGATAGATTAGATATGCAGAAGTGACGTTTTAACGACAATGATGCTACCAGAAGGGGTTATATTTGAACAAATTCACACAAACACAAGTTATGCATAACTACTCAGTGCTTCTATTACTATCATGGGGTAGTGTCTGACCTCAAGATACTCATATAGATGTATAGAAATATTATATTGTGAAAAAAAGTGATCTACTAAACCTTGGCTGCAAAATTTGACGCATCCCCACTATTCTATAAAAATTAGTATTGAGCTTTCATACGGTTGACAGATTAAATGACCAACAGTTTCAAATCATAGACCACAAAAGGGCTCGATAAGACTTCACCAGGACTAGGATTCAGGCTATCAACTTTTGGTATTAACGGGTGTGAAAGCCTGATACTTTTTCGGAAGCACGAAAGGCCTGGTTAGCTCAATCGGTAGAGCATTTGACTCTTAATCAAAAGGTTGCGGGTTCGAGCCCCGCATTGGGCTATTTCTTCTTTTTTTTTGTTACCATTCAGCTCATGCCATCATGGGATTGCTTGTTCAGAGTTTAGAAGGAATTCGGAAGAGATCAGAGAGTGTTATGGCTATTTTAATGAAGCGGTAAACCCCATATTTATGTTCTCAGATATTAACTATTAATTCACTTGTTATTTTAAGTCAAAAGCATCTTGAAGCCACGATTTACATTTTCATATCACTGACAATGGGTCACAGTGGTAGAATGGCTAATCTAATGGGAGACTACGTTATAAATATCTTAGTCTCTAGGTCATCGCTCCCGAGATGTGGAAAAAAATTTTGCATCCTGCGGCTTCCTCGTGACCTGTTTCAGGTTTAGGAACACTTATGCTTTACCCGATTTGAAGTCACCATCAAGCCAGTTCATAATAAGATTCTTTGTCATGAAATGTATAACACTACGAAATATACTACACATAGCACACTTGTGCCAAAGAAGAAGACAATATAATTACGTTAGTCTGACCAGACTCTTAAACTCGCTTTAAGAATTTTGAGTGTTTAGCGTTTACGAAGTGCCTGGTTAGCTCAATCGGTAGAGCATTTGACTCTTAATCAAAAGGTTGCGGGTTCGATCCCCGCATTGGGCTTCTATTTTTTTTGATCAATGACTTTTGGGAGCCAACTATAGCATAACTAGAAAAACTGATACCAAAAGTCGAGATAAACTTATATTTTGAATTTTTGAAAGTCCTAATTCTAATATACACCCTAATGCTTACCACCAGTTCTTTGGTGTCTTAATTCTTTTTCTTGTCTTTCAACTTCTTCATCGTAAACGATGAATTCATCCAATCCCTTACCAGTAGGAACCATAGGCAAGACTGGAACCTTCTTCTCTACAACCACTTCCAACAAAACAGGACCATCATTGTATTCTAAGAATTCTTTGATGCCAGCCTTCAAGTCGGCTTGTTCAGTAATTCTGATACCCTTAACATTCATAGAGTCAGCCAACTTCATGAAGTCTGGGTTGGTTTGATGGGTGTGAGAATATCTGTGTTCGTAGAAAAGGGATTGCCATTGGGTGACCATACCTTGTTCTTCATTATTCAAAACAACCACTTTAATCGGAGCACCTGCCTGCACCGCAGAGGATAATTCAGTTAAAGTCATGTTGAAAGAGGCATCTCCATCAATGTCGATAACAATTGCATCTGGCTTAGCAACTTGTGCACCAATAGCAGCAGGCAAACCAAAACCCATAGTTCCCAAGCCACCCGAGGTGATCATGGTACGAGGTTTGGTCCAGGTAAAATACTGAGCAGCCCACATTTGATGTTGTCCCACACCGGTGGTGACAATGACTTCACGGCCGTAGGTGGCCGATTGCTCGGAGATTTCCTTTATCAAGGTTTGAGGCTTGATCTTAGAACCTGGTTCTTCTTTCAAGTAAGCGTAAGGGTATTTTTCTTTCCACTCAGCCACTTGGCCCATCCATTCTGAACGCGATTTGATCGAGTCGATAAGAGGAAGGATTTTCTTAAGGTTAGCAGTGACATCTCCTTCAATGGCTTCGGTGGCTTCTACAACCTTGTTAATGTTCTTGGGGGAGATTTCAAAATGAATGATACCTCCACGGCCTTCAGCAGCAGCCTTTCTGGCAGCTGGTGCGAATTTGGACACATTGAGAGTGACTCTGTCATCAAAACGAGCACCCAAAGCAATGATCAAGTCGGCACTTTGCATGGCAGTGTTGGCAGCAGCATTACCGTGCATACCCAACATGTCAAGAGACTTTGGATCGTTTTGATTGAAAGCTCCGAGACCTTGGAGAGTAGTGGTTACAGGAATAAGTGCTTTATCACTCAATTCTTGCACCAATTTTGGACCGTCTGGGTGGTTTAAAACACCACCTCCCACGTATAAAACCGGTTTCCTTGCTCTGTTGATAAGAGAAGCAGCCCTGCGAATGGCCTCCTTGGTGAACTCGTTGGCGTATTTTCTGGTGATCTGGGACAACGCATTTGAAGGAAGAGTCGTATTTATTGGAATGCTGTCCCGTAAAACCGAGGCGGTGACGTCCTTTGGAAGGTCCACAAGAACCGGTCCTGGACGTCCAGAAGTGGCGATTTCAAACGCCTCATTGATCCGACGTGGGAGTTCAGCCACGTTCTTTACCATCACGTTCCACTTGGTACACGAACGGGAGATTCCTACCACGTCTGCCTCTTGGAAAGCATCGGTTCCGATGGCGGTGGTGGCGACCTGGCCTGTGAATACCACCAACGGTACTCCATCCATCAATGCATCTGCCATAGGAGTAATGACATTCGTGGCACCGGGGCCAGATGTCACAAGCACCACACCGGGCTTCCCGCTGGCCTTGGCGTACCCTTCGGCCATGTGGCCGGCACCCTGCTCGTGTCTGGGTAAAACAAACTTGAATTTGTCTGAGTTGTATATGGCGTCAAACACTGGTAGAATGGCACCTCCCGCATAGCCAAAAACAGTGTCAACATTGTGTCTCAACATCATTTCATGGAAGATTTCACCACCGGTGAGCCCGATGAACGAGTCGTCCATGAGGAGTTCGGGCACCGGTTCGGGCTTTTTGTCTGTGGCCGGTTGTTGATTGAAAGAAGGCGCTGGAGTAGGTCTTGCAGCAGCGGCTGCAGCACTCATGGTTGCATTTGTGTGGGAGGTTTTGGTAATGGACCTGTTGAACAGGGTAGGAGCAGCAGCGACTCTAAGTCTAAGGCGACGGCAGGCCCTGAAATTACGAGATAACATGGTTGTGAAGAAAGTTGTAAAACTTGGGGAAGGTGCGATTTATATGATTTGAAAATTTTTCGATGAGTCAAGCGAAACCGGGATAGGACCAGCGGAGAGATATAAAATGTCGCCAGATGTCGCCAGATGTCGCCAGATGCCCTGCCCCAGCCCAGTGTCCCACTGCGCGACCTTGTATTCGTACTGTCCATTGCTATATGCTATACATGAACATCGTCATTACTACTCTTGCTTTAATTCGTTATTCGTCGAGTTGTCAACCGACTCCGACGACTCGGGCTTGGCTTCGTAAACATCGGCCTCCTTATCCGCCTGCTGCTGCAGCTCCTGACCTACTTCTTCTACCACCGACCGTTCACCGGAACCATTGGGGTCGGACCACGATAAAAAGTCTCTTCTAACTTCCACATAGTCATAGGCAAACTCGCCGATTTGGTCCTCATCGATTCCCACCTCCTCGCCGTGGTAGTCAACCCGCAAGTGCAAGCCAGGAATCTTGTTGATGGTAAAACATAGCACAAATGTCATTCCTCCAGAATATGCAGCGGTGGCTAAGATGTAGACAATTTGAACATACAACTGTTTCCAGTTATGGTCTATCCACCCTCCAGCATGGTCGGTCACGCCGTCGTAGCCAATGACAGTACTACTACCAAAGATCCCGTTGAAGAGAAGTCCCACTATTCCAGCGATTCCGTGCTCTGCCAAAACATCCAACGAGTCGTCCACCCGTAAAACATACTTGATTTGAGTGGACAAGTTACACACAACTCCCGAGACAACCCCAAGGATTACCGAGGCCCACAACGGAATCATCCCACTGGCGGGAGTGGCGGCCACCAATCCCGAAATGGTTCCTGAGCAAATACCCATCATGGACCATTTCTTCTCCAATCTAAAATCCAATAAACACCAAGAAATGGCCCCAAACGCAGCCGTCAAATGGGTATTCATCATGGAATACGGTACCTTGACGGACGCATTGGCACAACTAAACCCGTTGAAAAAGAGCCACCCCACATACAATAACGCTGTTCCCAAGAACACAGTGGAAATGTTGTGCGGCCGGTAGTTGATCATCAAATCCTGGTTTCTTCTACCCAAAACCGCCGAATACACAAACGCAGACACTCCCGAGAGAATCTCGACGGGGCCACCGCCAGCGTAGTCGAGCGCCCCGCCCCGCCAGCTCAGGGCCCAGCCCCCACCCCAGATCCAGTACACCACCGGACAATACACCACGGTTGCCCAGAAGAATAAGAATACACAGGTGGGTAGAAAACGGCCTCGTTCACCGATACAGGCCCCGGCAAGAATTGCCAACGTCACCAACATGAATTGCATTTGAAAAATGGAGAATGCAAGGGAAGCGTATGTAGCTTCAGGGTCGTTTTCTCCTACAATCGACTTGAACCCAAATAACTGCAAATTTCCAATAAAGTTGTTACTTGATGCCGAAAATGCCAACGAGTAACCCCAGAAATACCATTGAAACAACCCGATGAAGGAGCTGACAAGTACAATCCATATCATGGAAAGTGCACTCTTCCGCCGTGCCAACCCACTGTATAAAAACGCCAAACCTGGCACCATAATCCAGATCATCGACGACGCGATTGTAAATAAAAGCATTTCTGACGAGTCATACTGGTCGTTTTCCGTGAAGAGCTTCCTCCTACTAAGTTCCCACATCTGACTTGAAGATGATATGAGTAATGGAATTTTTCCAAAATATGCTCATCTGCATCACTTTTATGGGTTTGGTTTTACCAGAGGCTTATACCTGCATACACCCGCCCCCATTTGCTTGGTGTTTTTTATCGAGCGAATAATATTGGACGAGCCAAAAGTTGGAAAAAGCTTGGTTTTCGAAGGATCTTTTGGGCTGAAAACCGCATGAGTCCAACTGTATACAATATAAGAGTCATGAGTTATCGTATGGCATGTTTACGCCCTATTCTGGTCGAGTTGTGGGTGAATAAATACGAAGGGGTGATGGTAACCTCTGCGGTGGACGCACGCTCGAGCAGGCTTAGCCGCAGGGCTTTCCTGGCGATGGAAGCAATATGGCTATTTGTGCCTGTGAATGCTAACGGTGCGGCCGGTTCGAGTCACAGGCCGCACCTCATTGGCCTGATAGAGTGGTGCGCGCGATGCTGGTAGCGGCACTTGCGTCGGCCCTGGTTCGGTACTGGCCGGTACCGGTGACAGCATTTGCAGGGGTAAGGCTCAGTATGTATTTACAAGTGACTATTTACAAGCACCATCCTTCCTGGAAGGTTCTACCGGAAACATGGATCAGACTTCCTCAACGATTATTCCGAAGAAGACCCTGGTCGTGTGTCCTGCCAGAATCGGTATGTTTCAAATCCCACTTCGATGAGGATTAAGATGATAATTGTCCACTCAAGACGGGTACCCTTGCGTTCGTTCAAGAAACTCAAAAACGCCCGTTGTTCATCTGTGGCGTAGTCGAGTTTGCGGTTCAAAATCGAAATTCGCCAGTTGATATCCAAACTGGTGGAAATTTGCTGGTAGATTTTCTCAAGCGTAGGCTCACTCCAGTATAAGTCTGGCGTATCAATCAACTCGTTATAGAGATTCAACTTGCCTCGGAGCAAGAACAATTTACCGGTGAGCTGGAGCACGTCGTGCTCACTGGCGGTCACAGGAAGGCCTTTGGAGAGTCTATCTGAGTTGCGTCTGGTGATTTTAAGAAACTGTTCGAGATTGTCCTCCAAAATGGATACCCTGGTCGAACGAGACATTCCGATCGAGAAGGCCACCTTATCTAGGATCTTCTTTTCTTCGGTGACATTCTGAATAAGAATAATATCGTTAATCATGTACGAGTTTCCGTTGCTCTTGGGATTGGGAGGAAGCTGCTCAAGTTCGATGAAGTCAAATTCGTCACTCTCATAGGCGTATTGCTCATCAAGCGCAGATGATAGCCGGGGAGCCACTTCTAGGAGTTGTTGTTCGCCAAAGTTCCATCCTATAACGGTTCCATTCGAAAGAATAATCAATTCTTTCTTCTCCGCGGTGCCGGTAGACTCTTTAGACGAGATAAGGTCTGTCTGCTGCATGGAGGTGCTGGTAGCTTCGCTGAACTTGACGTATATCACTTCGTCTGGGACTATTTCCTGAAACTCGTACTTCAAATCCCGTAGAATGGGCTGGAGTTTCACGAAATTGATCGAGTCGCTCATAGTGACCGCAGTGACCGGCCGAAGATATTGTGAAAGTTCTGGAACGTTGGTGCCAGTGTATACATCGGCTGTCACGAGCTTAAGGATCTTCAGGATCGATTCGGGATTATTAGTAGACCTTCTGAATCCATCAAGGGCTGTCATTGGTTTCTTCTTTTTGGACACAGTGGTATACGTCCGAGCGCAAGGAGTCAATACTTTGCTCACAACACGCGGGAAGCGTATCTTTAGGAGGGCAACGGAAGCGGTGAACATAGATTTCCACATTAGTAGTTTACAATGGGCCAGTGTTACAGGTTAAAAAAAGTGCGAATCCAAAAATGCGATCTAGCGGTTGTTGCTGCAAAAACTCAAAACTCAAAACTCAAAACGATGAGAACCCTACAGACGAGAGGATGAGCGAAAACACGAATCATGACACAACTGGATGTAGTATCTATTGCATATATTGCTTTTGGGTATTATATATGAAGTATCTAGGTAGTACAAGACCTATGGGGTATAAGCAGAATGAGCAAGGTAGTTTCCAGCCCAGATAGCGCTTCCACCCATAGCATGGTCTTTGAAGTACGTTTTTAAAGTGGCTCTTTCGGAAGCTTTTGGCCAGGCCACCCAATTGTTGGTGTTGTAGACCATTATATCACAGTTGATAGTGCTATCTGACCATCTTTTAACTTTCTTTGACGAGGATGAAATGGCATTGATTTCGCTGTCAGCTAAGATACCAGCACTATTGGTAACGGAACCTGCATCACCGGCACCACTAAAGGCACATCCTAAGGCGGTACAGCTGGTGCTAGACAACTTGTATGTATGGCCGTAAGTTGCAATTCCCCCCACCAATTTCCACATCTTAACACCTGCCTTGTCAAGCATCAACATGGCATCGCTGATTGCAGTCAAGTCAGTATGGCATTGCACCCCAGTAGTAGTACTGTCATCCCATGTTCCATGAAGATCATAAGTCATAAAAACAAAGTAATCCACGTAACTTTGCATGTCTGCAACTGGGTAGTTCTTTAAGTAGTTGTAGGTGGCAGGAATTGCAACCGAAAGGGTCTTTCCCGAAGGCAACGACCCCTTTATGGTTTTAATCAACGAAAGGAATTTCTTTCCATTACCACTATAATCATCGGGGATATCTGCGATTCCAGTTTCAGCAGGGTATTCCCAGTCTAAATCCACCCCATCCAAATCGTAGTCGCTAATCAATTGCACCACCTGGCTGGCAAAATTCAGTCTGGAGGTGGAAGTAGACACGATGTTTCTGAAGATTTCGTAGGTGGAAGTGGAAGTACTGAAGTCCCAGCCACCAAAACTCACCACCTTCTTCTGGGACACCTTCAAGAAATCACTGACAGCCAATTTGCTGGTGTCGATGGTCAAGTCCAGGTTGATGTTCACAAACGCATAGTGCATCGTATCGTAATCGGAAGTGCTGTACTGGGTGGGATCACTAGCGAGGTCCCCGGTACTGTCCAACCAGTAGATAATGTTTCTAAAGGTTTTGGCTTGACTGGTGTGCAAGGACCCGTATCCACAGTTGGATTGGCACCCAAAGGTTCCTGGGGCTCCGGTGGTGCTGGTGGTGGTGGCACAGTAGTCGGAGGTGATACCACAGTACCCGTACTGACTACAGCAAGCGTTCAATGGGCACTCGGTGTTGTACAAATCCCCAGGGGCAGTCGCTCCGCATTGTGCATTCTCATCCGTAGTTGGTTTTGGTGCGGTACCAGCACTCAAGCAGATTTTTTGGCCCTTAGTCAACTTCAGACACCCGTACCACCCAAACGTATCTGAGTTGTAGGATTCGATTTCATCGGTGGTGAGAGGGTAGTATGTTGATGCCAAAGCAGCGCAAGTATCTCCCGATTTTACCGTATACGAATGACAGGAACCATCGCTGTTTTCGGCTGGTTTTTTGTTAGGATATCCACCTTCCGAAACACACACTTGTTGACCAAGTAATAGGTTGGAACACCCGTTCCAGTCTGGAGTTGGAGTTAATTCGTTCCAGGTGTTCAAGTTAGCAACGCTTTTGACGTTACTGAATTTTTCAATCAAGAAAGAGCACGACTCACCTTTGGCCATCGTGTGGAGATAACAAGTTCCATCAGCTTTGGGTTTAGCATTCACAACTGTAAGCCTCTTTTCCAATGAAACTGCTTCAGCCCCCAAGAGGAGAGAGCATACGACAGCAGATTGCCAAATCATTTCTATTGTAAAACTTCAGTGGCTTTGTCTTGAGTATTTATGGGGGAATAGATGCTTGGACGCATACTGCATGAAAGTTATAAAATAATATTTTATTTTAATGAGGTTTCAGTCACAAAATTAGGGAAAATATAGGAGATGGGAATCAGAAAACTATGGGATTTTGACGTACTGAACACCGCTGTGTTCATCGGGTGGAGTGCTACCTCTCAGGAAGTTAAGATGATTGTGGTGTTCTTCGGTTCTGGAGGCTTTAAGTCGCGAATCAAGTTGACGCACCAGTATCGACAAGATTCTCCATCGGGTAATGGCATTTCCGGTTAAAGCTAACGTAAAGGTAACATTTTAAAGCCGCCCACTCACACGACCAAGTGGAGAGGTCGTGTGCATGTGACGTTGGGCTTCACTCTATGGATAGTTTGAGTTTGACACATAAACCCTTTAGCGAACTGGCCGGGTTTATTTTTGCTAATGGAAATCTTTTTGGCATTATGATCGTGGAGAGGGAAAGTGGGTCTGCAGCCGAAAACCATTGGCAGTTGGTGAGTGTTTATAATCACGATACTGCTAAGATGAACAATAGAAAAGTTGTTGAGTAGTGTTCTTTATAATTTCAGAGATGAAATTGGCAAAATTTAGAGAATTATTAAAGATTTGAAATATTTTTAAGCGCAGACGACACTGCAATATAGAGAATAAACTTTTTTCATGCCACTCATTGGCTGAACCGCTATGATGACTGGCATCAGCGATACTGTCATAACTCCGGTGGGTGTATGGGTCAGAACTTCGACGGGTGTCTGGGTCAGAACTTGAACGGGTAGTGCCCATCGCCACCCATCCTCGCACCACCGCGCACCGTCACGCTTTGGCCCGCCTGCCGGGGGCGCACCAGCCTATATTTGCATTTCTGCTGTTTGGGTTCAACAACACCAAAAATAGAAACCTTCCATAAAATAATAGGCACGTTAGCCTCCCAAGCCACCCACCGTCGGGCTACCATGGTCCCGCGTGCGGCGAGAACAACTTGCCTGGGCTTAACTGTTGGCTTTGTGTATGGATCCAATTCCAACTCCTGTAACACCAAAAGATGCGCGTCCGCCCAAAACTGTTGCTGCTGGGAAAGGCACGCGGGCTATGGATCACGAAAGTAAAAGGGTGGAGGGAAACCAGACTGCCTCTGAAGACCACTGTCATCAACGAATGAGGCTTCCTGGCGCTGATACACATATCAGAGAACGATTAGGAATGGCCCCTACATCACGCCTGGATTTGTAATTTGACGTAAAGGGAAATCTCATTCGCTTTGTTTACAAATAAATCCAAAACAGTCCCGCACTAGTAAGGTAAAATTTTCATCATACAAAATAGATTCCAGAAATAAATTCTTTACAAAACACAAGTATCCGCTCCTGTTTCAAACATCTTCAGAAAATTGTTTTTTGTTTTACAGTTTGAATCTTAAACAGTTACTTCTATCATGTGTGGAATTTTTGGATACGTCAACTTCCTTGTCGACAAAACCAGAGGCGAGATTGTGGACACGCTTATCGATGGATTACAAAAATTAGAATACAGAGGATACGACTCAGCAGGTATTGCTATTGATGGCGACAAAAAGGGTGAAACCTTGATCGTCAAAACCGCCGGAAAGGTCAAGGCTCTTAAGGATAAGTTGGATAACTCCAACATCGAGAGATCAACTATCTTTGATTCTCATGTGGGAATTGCTCACACCAGATGGGCTACCCATGGTCAGCCTATGGAATCGAACTGTCACCCTCACAGATCGGACCCAGAAGCCGAGTTTGTGGTGGTACACAACGGGATCATCACCAACTACAGGGAGTTGAAGACGTTGCTTGTGTCCAAGGGTTACAAGTTTGAATCGGAAACTGACACCGAATGTATTGCCAAGTTGTTCAAACATATTTACGACACCAACTTGAAGGCCAACATCGAGGTGGACTTCAATGAGCTTGTCAAGCAAGTGTTGTACGAGTTGGAAGGATCTTACGGGTTGTTGGTGAAATCTTCTCACTATCCGGGCGAAGCAGTTGGTACCAGAAAGGGGTCTCCTTTGTTGGTGGGGGTGAAGACCGAGAAAAAGTTAAAGGTCGACTTTGTGGACGTGGAGTTCCCTGAACAGAATCAGGAAGTTCCTGTTGGAAGTGCAAAGAACGGTGAATTGAACGGGTTTATTCCATTGTCGGGTGCTGAAGCCAGCTTGAGAACATCTCAAAGTAGAGCTTTCTTGGCCGACGATGGGTTGCCCATGCCCGCCGAGTTTTTCTTTAGTTCTGACCCCGCCTCGGTGGTGCAGCATACGAAGAAGGTGTTATACTTGGAAGATGATGATATCGCTCATGTGTATGATGGAGAATTACATATTCACAGAGCCAAGAAGAATGCCGGTGACAGTACCACCAGACCAATCCAGACCTTAGAAATGGAATTGAACGAAATTATGAAGGGTCCTTACACCCACTTTATGCAGAAGGAAATCTTCGAGCAGCCAGATTCGACTTTCAACACCATGAGAGGTAGAATCGACTTTGAAAACCACCAGATTAACTTGGGAGGGTTGAAGGCATTCTTGCCTGCTATCAGAAGAAGTCGTAGAATCATCATGATAGCCTGTGGTACTTCTTACCATTCGTGTTTGGCAACCCGGTCAATTTTTGAAGAATTGAATGAAATCCCTGTCACGGTGGAATTGGCTTCCGACTTTTTGGATAGACGCTCACCAGTGTTCAGAGATGATACTTGTGTGTTTGTATCTCAATCTGGGGAGACTGCTGACTCTATCTTGGCTTTGCAATATTGTTTGGAAAGAGGAGCTTTGTCTGTGGGTATTGTCAATAGTGTGGGTTCTTCGATGTCTAGACAAACCCACTGTGGTGTGCATATCAATGCTGGTCCCGAAATTGGAGTGGCTTCTACCAAGGCTTACACTTCCCAGTACATTGCTTTGGTGATGTTCGCCTTATCGTTGTCTAATGATTCAATATCACAACAACAGCGTCATCGTGAAATTATCGACGGATTGCAGAAAATCCCTGAACAAATCAAAACGGTGTTGAAGTTGGAAAACAAGATCAAGACGTTATGTACCGAGCACTTGAACGACCAAAGGTCCTTATTGTTATTGGGTAGAGGTTATCAATTTGCAACTGCGTTGGAAGGTGCTTTGAAGATCAAGGAGATCAGTTACATGCACTCGGAAGGGGTATTGGCCGGTGAATTGAAACACGGGGTGTTAGCCTTGGTGGACGACAAATTGCCCATTATCGCTTTTGCAACCAGAGATTCGTTATTCCCCAAGGTGTTGAATGCCATTAACCAAGTGGTCTCAAGAGACGGTAGACCAATTGTGATTTGTGACGAAGGCGATACTGTGTTGAGTAGCAGCCAGACCACCGCCACCTTACATGTGCCCACCACTGTGGACTGTTTACAAGGATTGTTGAATGTGATCCCATTGCAGTTGATGAGTTATTGGTTGGCTGTCAACAGAGGTATCGACGTGGACTTCCCCCGTAACTTGGCCAAGTCTGTTACCGTCGAGTAAGTATCTTTCTCCTATATCCACGTATTTGTTAGCAGAGTTCGGTTCGTTATAAATATATAATATTGATGATATCACACACACGCTATACACAAGATGGAAACAGCATAGAAAATGGATTATTTCCGTTTGAAGTAGGCCGACGAGCTGCAATAGGCCACCGTATAGTCGAGAATGGACTCCCCCATGTCCAAGTATTTGCCGCCATAGTATTGGAGGTCTTTGTTCTGGGTACTATCGAAATTAATTGTTAAGCCGGAGTTTCTTCTCACTCCCGCTAAGAAAGCAGATACCAAAACCAAGTCTACTGTGTAGTGAAAAATTCTTCCTACCTAGAGATTGTTAGTACTTAAGATGAACGGGCCCTTGTTGTGTGACATACTACCATGATTGTATTTTGATATGATTGCTTTTGAAACTGCGCGGTTTTTTTTTTTGATTTCAGGGGACCAGGTTGTTTTATAAGCTGACGAGACCTGAGCTTCCCAAATAGACGACACGCCAACACCCGTGCTATTGCAGAACAATATATGACGTTGTGACACCCGCAAGACAAGATGTGTATACCGGTTGTGATACTGAGTGACCTGTGTCTTGATGTTGGCACTATGTAGAAATAGTTGTGCTATACAGACAGATACTGCCTAACAGTTGCCAGAATGAGTGCCATGGGATGAATTGGCTCCCATAGGGATAGAATACGCACATGATTTCTGGAGTGTTATTCTACAAGAGTCCGGATGGTCATGATTGACTTTGTTTGAAGACTCTTGAACGAAAAGCTGTCGATGAAGAGACCCACCCACCAAAAATTTTATGGGTTTTACGGCGGCTAATCTTCTCTTTGGTGCTGTACTGTGTTACAGACTGTGCCGTTGTTCTAGTGATGGTGGCGATGACTATTGCTTATGGGTATCTGCGTCCGGGTAATCACAGTTAAGGTTGGCATTCGAAGTCGCGAACTTCTACAGTAAAAACTTTCTATCTACTTATCCTAGTACACAGATGTCTGATAGATACAGACCACCTCCTACAGGTCCCAAAGGGAAGAGGAATTACAACGAGGGTCTGCATCCAGCGGATCGACGCCCCCGCCCCGCGGGTGATAAATTCACCCCAACCGGGCCTAAGCGATTTCAAGAAAGAGATAACTATCGGCCTTCAAGTGATTCCTACAAATCTAACCAGAATCCCAACCATAGCCAAAGATCGTTTCCTACTGGACCTTCCGGCGCCAAACCATCAGCATCGGGGACTCGAAGTGCGCCACCAGCAGGTCCTTCTGGGTATAAATCTGGAACTCCTGGTGCTGGTAGCAAACCTACAACTACCAGTACTAATGGCAATTACTATAACAACACAAATAAAAGACACAGCGGTAACTTCAGCACCGCAAAGTATGATCCACTCAATAAAAAGCCAAAATTCAACCCAGGAGCACTTTCAAGAGTCCCTGCTGTTAGACAAGAACCCCTCAAAATCCCTACTAAGTTGGACAAGAATCAGATATATCTGATAAGGACCGCTAGGTCGTCTGAAATCTTTCAAAGAACCCAGCAGGTGGGTGAAGGAACATATGGGAAGGTTTATAAGGCCAAAAACCAAGTGACCCTGGAGTTTGTGGCCTTGAAACGGTTGAGATTAGAGACCGAGAAAGAAGGGTTCCCCATTACAGCTATCCGAGAGATCAAATTGCTTCAAAGCTTCGATCATAAGAACGTAATAGGACTACTCGAGATGATGGTGGAGCAAAACCAGATCTTCATGATCTTTGATTACATGGAGCATGATTTGACAGGGTTGTTGACACATCCAGAATTGAAGTTGGAAGACTGCCATCGAAAGTTCTTGTTCAAACAGCTTATGGAGGGAACTGATTATTTACATCAAAAACGGATCATGCACAGAGATATCAAAGGATCAAATATCTTGATAGATAACATAGGACGGTTAAAAATCGCTGATTTTGGCCTTGCTAGACCTATGAAGATTGTTAAGGATGGCGAAAGCCCAGATTATACCAACAGAGTCATCACCATCTGGTATAGACCCCCTGAATTATTGTTGGGCTCTACTGATTATGGTAGACAAGTTGATATATGGGGTGTTGGGTGTCTTTTGATCGAATTATACACGAAACACGCCATTTTCCAAGGATATAACGACGAAGTCAGCCAACTACACAAGATCTTCAATATAATGGGAACTCCTACTTTAGAGGACTGGCCGGATATCCAAAATTTACCGTGGTTCGAGATGTTAAAGCCTAAAATCAACAAGGTAAGCAACTTTGAGGTGTTGTTCAAACACTCCATGACCGAAGACAGTTTTGATTTAGCCCTCAAATTGCTCCAGTTAAACCCCAATAAGAGACTTACAGCACACCAGGCATTGAATCATCACTATTTCACCAAAGATCCCAAACCAGAACCGTTGTTTTTCTTGAAAGAACTCAAGGGCGAATGGCATGAATTCGAGACCAAGAAACTTAGAAGAAAAGAACGGAAACGACTCCAAGACGAGCGAGAACGCCAGAAGGCTCTGGGAGAGGTCCCTGGAACGGCTTCGTCACGCCCCAATGCCAGTCCCAACACGGGCATGCGATCCATTCCCATTCCTCCATCTGCTCCACATACCGGTCCCCAAACCGCCCCAAACTCAGGCGGAAACGACGTTGAAATGACAGATCCAGCCACATAAACCCATTCTTACTGTGTCCTCCCCAGTGGTGGTCAACAGCTGCTATGTGTACATTATTTACCTTGTAGAGTTAATATATTGCATTCATTGACAAAAGGTGCGTATTTTGCAGCCATTTCGCCCATCTCCTTGCCCACGTTTTGGTGCGATGAGAAAATTCATTATTGATTGAACGTCACAATATACACCATGGCGATTCAAACAAAAATTGATTTGAACAAACCCGTGAAGTCGGCTCCAGACCCCAAGTTGGAGGTGGTTGCCTTGAGGCCTGAGTTCAGTGAGGCCGCTTTACTCTTGTACGGTGACTATTTCAGACAGTGTCAGACGACCCTCACCAAATCCATCTTGTGGCACAAGCAGGTTGTTAGTATCGGATTGGGGGTGGTATCTGCGTACTTGTACTATATTTTAGCAGACTACATTGAGGTTTCAGAGCTGGTGGGCGAGTTTTTCAGTATCGCTATCCATTCGGCAGATTTGAAGGTCAACATACTTTTCACGTCCGCTGTAATACTTGGGTTCATTGCTTTTGTGGGGCTCATTTCCGTGATGATCTCCGATGAGTTCAGAATAATTTCTGAAAATCTCGTCAAAAAGAGCTATGTGGAGGACGTGTTTGGGTTTGATTTGGTCAAGTATTCAAAGTTGGAGGGAGACTCTAAAGTGTTGAAGGAAAAGAAGATTTTGGCCAACGGGAGCAATTCCCAGGTGGTATTGTTCCAGGAACAGCCCATTGCCATCATCACGTTGAAGCCGATTTATGACAAGTCCAACGACTCACACTTGGTGATAAAGGTGTCTGGTTTGAGTGTCAGAAGAGTGTTTAAGCCATTGAACTTCGAGCAGATTCTCATTGAGTGGGCACTTTCCAGGTCTAATGATCTTTTGACCGAGTATTTAAAGGCGAAGAAGGTCAAGAAGACTTCAGGGTGTAAGGTCTCGTTGTTGGTGGATTGCTACACTTTTGACACGGAGTTTGCCAAGTTCTTGGAGTCCAATCGCTTTAACAAGATCGATTCTACTTACAACTATAATCCCATTGGTGAGATCACTGCTCCATTAAAGGGGTTGTTGAACAAGACGTTCCGTTCCGGAAGAGACACCTACGGTGTTCACATCATCAAGGATTAATCTATTAAAAAAGAATTGTATATACTTTTTCAGGTTTGTTGCAACTTTTGAGTGTACAAAACCAGTTACGATAGCCACAAAATAACTTATATCAGCCATGGAGCACTTGTAATACTTCTTCTAGTCCAATAAGCCGGTGGTCTTGGACTTCTTGTTCTGCCTGGACACTCTCACGGCAATAAATAAGAACCAGATGACAATAACCCCAAGCACCGCGTAGATAAGGTACTTCATTGCGTTGAGAAGCTTAAAGAACATGTACTTGAACCAATACATTTCCGGGTCGCCATATGTTTCAAGCTTTCTCTGTCTTTCCCGTTCTTTGATCCGCTGTTCTGCCTTGTACAATCTCTGTAACGACTTTCTGGTCTGTCTCTTGGGCTTTGATCTGGGAGACTGCGGGTGTGATACTCCGTCTTTCGACACCTGGTCTCTCTGGTCTTTATCCTGCTGCGCAATCAATGAGTGTAGCTCGTCAAAGTTGCTGATGAACGAGCCATCAGGTTTGTATAAGGCGTAAATTTTGTTTTCAATGATGTCGACACTCTGGGATAACTCCCCGGTTTCGGCACTGAGCCCCAAGTACTTGATGATGGGCAAATGGACATCTGTCAACGTCACACAGTTGACCCAGTGGTCCTGCTTCCCGTCGTAGTTGAAGTCCAACGAGAAATATCCGTCTTGGAGGTAGACGATTCTGGCCTTGGTAAACCCGCTCGTAGGGTTGGTGATCAGCAGTGCACTACACCCTGCCAACCGAGTATCGTATCCGTCGTTGTACTTCAGATAATGGGTCTTACCGTCTCCAAGCATCAAGTTCACGTAGGGAAATTGGCCTCTTTTACCGTTTTTGTAGGTATCAACCATGATTCCAAGACCGGTGAAGTAGTTTTTGGAACCAAACACATCACCAATGTCACTCTTGGAGTCCAAAAACCAGATGGCAAACCCGTCGGCCAAGAGACTAGAGCTCTTGCTGTGGATATGAAATGTCAATTCCATTTCAAATGACTGGGCCTGAATGGGCTCTTTGCCAAACATATTACCTACCTGATGCTTATTATCCGACGTCAACCGAATATACTCGGTATTTTTCACCAAGGTGTTGCCGGCAACGTCCCAGTTGTTGATGCGGTACGTGCTAGGCTCCAAGTACGGCGTGTAAAGACCTTGAGCAGTGAGTTCGATTTTCTTGATCTTGACGATACCTCCTTCTTTGTTCTGGAGCATGGAGTTGATTTCCTCGGGGGAGAACCCGTCACTAGAGCCGAACAACCATTTGGCACCGTAGACAAGAAGCACGAGCACCACAATGGCCACAGCCACTTTTCTGGGGTTGTAGCTTTGTGCCATTGAAGAAGATGAGCGACTGACGTGGATCTAAAATTCACAGCTGCGAAAATGGGGACACAAATGGTAACCAATAAGAAAACACTGGGAAGTCAGAGAAAGCCGAAGATAGTCACAAAAGAGTCAACACAAACAGATATAGAAACACTACAAACAAGGCAGTTACCTAGTAACACTTGTGAAAATAACTCATAATCATTACTATATACATCTCTATTTCCCGAAAACAACAGTTCTGATGGCAGTCCAAAACGTCTCTTTCTTCTCACCCTTGATCTCACTCATGAGCCTCTCATAATACTCGGGATTTCCCTTGGGGCGCAATAACTTGTCATCTAATTTGTAATAGTTTTTGTACTTATCGTTGGCCAAGTCTCTCAAGGCGATGTACTGCAACTTCAAGTCCTTTTCCGGGATGTCGGTCACCGTGGTCCCGGTGGTGAATCGATCGAGTTGACTTTCTCTGAAAGATGTATAATGTTGGATTCTATCCTTTGGTAACGTCTTCAACAACGCCACGATCTTGTCTTTGATTTCCACTCTGCTCATTGTCCCTGGTACAAATTTTCACTTTTAAATTAATTTCTTCGCACTTTGACTGGCTCAAATGACAAAAGCTCCAACACCAAGAGTTATATTTGTACGCCACGGGCAGACTGAATGGTCAAAGAGTGGGCAGTACACGTCGATCACCGACCTTGAATTGACGGATTTCGGCGTTCGGCAGATGAAAAGCACCGGCAAATACCTCATTGGTGCTAGTGGCTATCAGCTCATCAATCCCAGCGACTTGAAATATGTCATCACATCTCCAAGAAGGAGAGCCCAGCACACGGTACAGCTCTTGCTTGAAGGGTTGGACAACTTTACACGTAGCCAGATCCCCATCGAAGTGGAAAATGACCTCAGGGAATGGGAATATGGAGACTATGAAGGGTTACTCACCAAACAAATCAAGGAATTGAGAGCATCACGGGGGTTAGGTGACGACTGGGACTTCTGGAGAGATGGGTGTGAGAACGGTGAGATTCATACCCAAGTCAAGGAACGGTTGGACCTGGTGATAGCCAGAATAAGAGCTGTTCAGGGCAAAGCCATCGACAACAACGAAGCTTGTGATATTGTGGTGGTTGGCCATGGCCATATTTTGCGGTGCTTTGCGGCCCGGTGGGTGGGGAGAGAAATCAATGTGAATCCCCAGTTTATGTTGGATGCTGGTGGGGTCGGGGTGTTAAGCTACCAGCACCATAACATCGAGGAGCCAGCGTTATTTTTGGCGGGTGCCTTTGTGGTACCAGTGGAAGAGCAGGGTGAAGATTTGTAACTCCGTCCACAAATGCAATAGCCATTCACAGAGGCTCAATAAACTAAATATAGCTCGATGCGGCACTGTCGCAGTTTTGCAATTTGTCCAAATTAATGTATACACGGCTGCTTTTTGTACCACGACTTTTTCCTGTAAATTTCCTCACCCGAAACCGATCGGTAATGACTAGAGCTCCTATACCCATATGGCTCGACTGTGACCCCGGCACAGATGACGCATTCGCCATTTTGCTACTTGCTTTCCACCCGCAATTCAACCTCATCGGCATCTCCACAGTCCACGGAAATGCTCCTTTAAATGCTACTACGCACAATACTGTTGGTCTTCTCGACGTGTTGAAGTTGAACCACATACCAGTGTATGCCGGAGAAGTACGTCCTTTGGTCAAAGAGCCATTTTTTGGCCTCTATGCCCATGGAAAAACCGGGTTGGGTGGTGCTGAACTACCTGAAAACCCCAGCGTAGTAGTTAAAAACGACAAGTCGTACATGGAGGCCATCAAGGAAGCGGTGGAAACGCATGCCAACGAGATCTGTGTTATTGCCACTGGGACCTTCACAAACATGTCCAACCTTTTTGCCAAGTACCCGGACTTAAAGCACAAAATCAAGTATCTTCCTATCATGGGGGCCGGCTTCGGAGTGGGAAACGTCACTCCTTATGCCGAGTTCAACGTGTATGTGGATCCCAAGGCCGCCAACAACTTGTTCCACGACGAGGATTTAATGGATAAACTTATTGTCAATGGGTTGAACATTACGCACACTGCCATAGCTGATGAGACCATTCGTCAGAAGTTGTTTGGAAAACCCCACAAGAATCTTGTGAGACCCATGTTTGAGAGCATCATGATGTTCTACTTCAAGCAGCTCTACTCCGAAAATGGATGGGCTGGTCCTCCATTACACGATCCTTTGGCCGTGTTCACATTATTGCCGGTATTGTATGGAGCTCAAGCCTACAAGTTCGAGTGGTTCCGTAGAAGAGTCACTGCCGTTGAAGGGGGTGAGAACGACGGTGAGACTGTGTTTGTGGATGGGTCCAAGTTTGAGGACGATGGCAGCGAAGAGCATGGTTCTATCATCGCTAAGTCTGTCGACATCGATATGTTTTACGAGTATGTGGGGGTTGCACTTGATAATGCCGAGGAGCATGTTCAGAAAAGAAGCTAGAGATACGGGAAGATGGGCATTTCCTCAAATGTCTATATTAAAGTACCAGTTTTGTCTAGAATAAATGTCTATCGGGCCTGCCGATTTTGTAGCACCTCCACCATATCTCTTCCGATATCCCGAATCACATTATTAGCCCATAGGACGTCTAGATGGGAATAGTGCTTGACTTCGAAAATGTGAAGGTTCTCGTTCTTCTGGTACTTGGGTTCAAAGGTCTCCATATGACACGCCAACCGCTGGCCATCCACAAGGTTATCGACCTCGCCTATGAAAAGGGCCATTGGTATCACCGACTCGGAAAACCACTGTTGTTTGAACGGGAAAAATGTCTTGTCATCAGAAACATTGTACTTTGGTTCTTCAGTCGCCCGAAAGTTCATTCCATCTTGGAACGTCTCCTTCGACACAAGCTCATTTCTGAACGATTCCTCACGCCAAAAGCTAAGCCACCAGGAAATCAACTTGGCCGACACAAAACTTACGTTGAAAATGAAGTGAAAGTGCCATATTTTCCGATTGGAATTCCACAACTTCCCATTCCATTGAAACAAGTAGTTGAACATCAACACACACACGTTTCCAAACAATGGGAAGTTATGGAACCAATTTCGAGACTGCGTCAACACGTTCAAAAAGCAGCACACTCCAAAAAAGAGCTTAAACCCAAGCTTAGACCGGTTTCCCATAAACTTCAAGAACTTTCTCTTGTGAAACAAGGTGCCCGGGTATATTGCCGGTGCAAGCCCCACGAAATAGCCCACTTTTTCATGAATTTCAGCGAGTTCTGTGTTTCGGAGCATCAAAAACGATTGAGTACATCCTTGCAGATGTCCCATAAGAATAAGTTTCTTGTAATTTGGCGTATGAACAAGTACATTTTCAATGAGGCACGTGATGTCATAGTGGGCCAAGTCCTGGATGTCCCAGTCCCAGTACTCCTCGTTGTGCATCAAGTTTCCCGTGTAAAAAGCATGAAGCGGCTCGAACCCGCTGCGATTATTCCCAAGCCAAACATCGAATCCTTGCCTAAGAAGAAATACAGGAAGCGACCGGTTTCCTGGAGTAAGAAACGATCCCGAAGACGATAAGAGGCCGTGCTGACAAAGAATTGGCTCCATTTGTGCCCTTTGATCGTCTGTTTGTTTGGGATCTATAAGTCTGTGGAGCGGTAATATATAGCCATCTTTGGTTTGCACCTGATACTCCTTCAATTCGAGGCCAATTGCAAGTACGTAGGACCGGAGGTTGGCTGTAGGCTTCATGTGCTTGATATCAGGGTAGCAGTCGACTCCGTCGTCGTCCGGGTCGTTTTCCAGCATACCGGCCAATTTGTTATGGGTGAGCTTGTTTCGTATGGCGTAAAGAATGGCAGACACAAAGAGCACAAGCACGAAAAAGAACGAGAGAAACGCAGACGAGAAGATGTACCAGCTGCGTACAAACAGCGAGTGACGGGCACGCTTGGCGCTTGGAACGAGTTTTTCGTTCATAGTATTAGATGTTTATTTATTTGATGAGGGCCTACGTGCGAAAAAACGGGTGCAAAAATGAGAGGCAAGAAAGCAGCACATGACAGGCCAGGTAATTCTACACACGTAATTAAACCTCTGTTTAGTCCCCTGAAAACACTTATATATCCTATAAAACTATTGTGACGGTGAAACTAGCTTATCACTAGTCATTCAGTCTGCTGTCAAGGATCCTCAAAATAAACAAGAACAAGTTGAGGATGTCCAAGTACAACATCATGGTGGCAGGAATCTCATCATCCAAATGACAGGTTTTCATGATATTCTGAGTATCAACGATGATATACACACAAAACACTAAAGCCCCAATCCCTGAGTAGATCAAGTTCGCCATTTTTGACTGGGGGAAGAAAATCATGATGAACCCCCAGCCAATGAGGAACCACAAACCCATCGACAAAGCACCTTGCCAGCTGGTGAAGTCGTACTTGGTTTGGAATGCAAACAATGTCAATCCCACAAAGATTACAAACGTCAACATCACCGCCTGGAGCACCACGTCCGATTTCACCATTGAGCACGTGAGGCCAATCCCGTAACTTTCACACAAAGTGAATCCACTCAATAAAATCAAGTTGGTGGGATAAGATCTGGCCATAACGTGAGTACCAATGCCAAAGCCGAGGGCCCCGACCACCGATACAATGAACAACCACATGTTATTCAAGCACCATGATTGGATAGCACTATTGGACTTAATGATGAGGCCCACCACGAGGGTCATCACTAGTTGCACAGAAAGAAGAGCATATACTTTTCTAATAAACATCTGACGAATGGGCAACTCACAGGACGCAACATTGACTGAGTACTTGAAGTCGTCGGGGATGTTGTCACCGTCCACACGGGGTTCTGGGTTACCGTAAGGAGGAGGTTGGTTTTCAACAGGTTGGTAACTCATGTTTATGATGTGATAAGAAGAAATAAGTGATGGTCGCATTTGTGCAAGTGGTGCGACAGCAGGATGACGGGGTCGAAGCACGACTTTTTTTCCTGGAGGTTCCTTAAATGTTCCAGTACTAAATGAGACTGGATTCGGTGGCTCTCTCCGTCCAGGGCGTACAAGCAGCGGTACCATCACCCGGTAAAGGGGTTTCAAAATAAATCAGCACAAGCTGTAGATGTTGAAGAGTGATATCTGCCAAACTTCATAACCCAAAGGAACGGCTTTCATGGTACCCTGAACACCAATGACGATGCACCCACACAGCACCAAAGCTGGTTTTGAACGGGTTGGTAACTCATGTTTATGATATAAGTGCAAGCGGTGCGGCGACAGGAATACGGGGTGGGCGCGCCCAAAACTGGACCGGGTTTGCGACGCTCTGGCGCCGCGGCTCGACTCTTGTCGCGACTGTTCGTATTTACCCGTTCACACAAGACTCAGTTCGAGTACGAAACGCGGGTGGGAAATTCGGTGATTCTCTCCGTCCAGGGCGTGCGGGTGGCGGTATCAGTACCACCAGCCGCACGCCACAATGTGCTCTTGAGAGCTCCAGGCGTGAAACGCTGGGTGCACGGCATCAGAAACTAACGGTAAAGTAATTTATCGTATGGGAGCCGTGTCGGACGGTTGATCTTCCATTAGTGGGGAGGTACTTGAGTGCAATATACGAACTTCAACTCGTTTGAAGAACTCGATACCGATCACAGTTGTGAGCAGAGTTTATATTTTTGTTTGACTTTTTGGTTGTCGCGAAAACTATATCACACCATAATGATTCTCAACAGCATTCGAAAGATCTTTATGTCGTTCCGTACCGAAGAGGAAGAGCGACTTTACTCCCGAGCAGCCTTCTTCAATCTCCTTGGGTTCCTTGGGTCATGTGTGGCGTTCTCGGTGCTTGCTCAACGATTGCTGAGAAATCCACGAGAAATAGCCCATATTGCCAGGGCCAACGCATTAATCAGAGCCATTCAGGCCTAGGCTGGCCTTAGAGGAAGCCTATACCGCGAGAAATAGGTCAGATATAGGCCATAGCGCCTATCAGGTTCATCAAACAATGGTGTATAATATCTACAGGAACTAATACAACAGAAAGAAAAGAGAACACCATCAGCTCAGTTTTTCAACAACACCTCCTTGGCCATTTCATAGGCCGTCCACGAGATGGCTGTCGATGGCACGTTAAACACAATCCGAGGCTTCAAGCCTCGAAGAAAAATCTTCATTTTCCCTTCCCGGTACAACGCTTTCAAAGCAGAGGTGAAGCCCGTACTGTTTTTTATACTGGCAATATTGGATATACCTCGGGTCTGCAACGCGGTCTTGATCACGTCCAAAGGGTTGGTGAGGGCCGCCGCAACTCCACCGGCCACCGCTCCTGATACACAGTGCAAATATGGATTATAGTTACCATCTGGGTTTAGTATGGAACTGGAGTATTCATAAAAGCCAAAGTTCAACGCCGCAAACGGGATGCTTGTGAACAAGGTGGTGGGGTACGAGATAAAGAAGGCGGAAAACCCCTCATGCCGGTACAACGCTTTGGCGGTGTGGAAGAGCTTAACGGTATTGGCAGACTTGGAGTCGGCGATATGAGATGCTTGCATTCTTTGTTTGAGCACGTCAAAGGGCGTCATGAGGGCATCGGACGCGATGGTGGCGGCAATACCTGCTCCCGACGCAATCAACGGGTGGTTTTCGTCGGTGACGATTCGGCTGCGGTTTCGAGATGTGGTGAAATTGTTCACCAAGAAGGTTTTAGACGCTTCAAACACCGAAAAGTACACCGCATGCGCTGGACCCGCTCCTAACACCACCGATGACACACCTCTCCAGAGGGCATATGCCCCTTCAGTAGAAGAGATTTTAGAAATGGATTGTACCAAGCTGGAGTTGAATTTGGGGGTTCTGGAGATAATTTGCATTCTGGTCTTGAGCGAGTCGATGGGGAACATCACCGTGTGTTCCATGATTCCGGCGAATGCCCCCGCCGTGAGATGGGCCGCCAATGAGGCATCTGGCGGTAAGGCTTCATAGTCGATTTCTACTGTGTCATGGCCCGGATGCACATGGGGCTGGCCCGGGCTTGGATCAGCACGCACTGCCGCTGTCACGGGAGCGGTCGACGAGGCTGCGGTCGCGGTCGTTGTTTTGGTGTCCATATTAAATGTGTCTTGTGTAGGAGGTGATTGCAAGGATGAGGGCTATAGATTTAAACCACGGTTGGCAAACAATTACACTCAGAAACAGAAACAGAATATCCAGCACCGGGAAGTGAATCACGCGATGAAGGGACAGGTGGGTGCAAAGGGGAGTGGGATATTGATGGACAAATGAAAACACTGAGTCTTCGTCTTTTTCTGTGAATTTTTCAAGAGAAAATTCGGTTTTGGAATTGGATGAAAAATTTAACAAATGGGTGCGGGACCTGAAGAAGCCCTTTAAAAGTCTAACTATGTCAATTTAATACACAATTCCCTTAGTTTGGGCCAGTGGGAGTGGCAATTAAAGTGGTGATGGAGAGGAGTATAGGGGGATATAGCCAGATGAGTTGGGGATGAAGGACGGGCGAGAGGAGGTACTTATATATGTTTGAGTTTTGGCTGCCATAAAGGTACAGGGTCTATGTGCAGGCCAGTCATCCACAAGAGGACAGCCAGTAGGAGATGGAAGCAATCGGTGGGTGGCTGGGACAAGAGGGTAGCGCGGGAGGTGACAGGGTAGATGACAACACCACGGAGGCTGCGAGGCACGAAGAGTTGACGGGTAACCGAAGATATTAGCAAGAGCCGAGACCGGACCGAATCTGTGGGGAGCAGACGATGGCGCGCTGGGCAAGGCGGCGGTTGCGCGGCCACGAGATGCCTTGCGCGCGCGGAGGATTGGCTGGACCTGGCAGCTTATATATTTGGCAGGTGATTTTACAAGATACGTATATGCGTTTGGGATGTCACAAAAATTTCACAAGTGCAGTCATATAGGTATCTGTGATATCACATCTGTGGATTCCTCTGTCAAATCTATTTCCATATGATTGTTTGCAACCACTTATATTATCTATGGATACTTCTATCTGACGTATTTCAGCCCCAGAATAATATCACTCTGTTCTACACCAACGGCTGGTGACCGAAATCTATCTTGGCCATTTCCGGCACCACAGTCTTCACCTTTCCACTCCGGAGAACCGAATCAATGTTTTCCACCGTAAACGACTCCAACCCCAACACTGCTTCCACCGTATGAGTGCCCATATGGGGCAAGCTCACGACGTTGGGCAAATTCAAGAGATCCTGGCTCACTTTGGGCTCGAATTCAAATACATCACTTCCAAAGAACCCGATCTCGTTATTTTGCAACTTGTCGAGAATCGCAGCCTCATCGATCACAGCTCCGCGAGCGGTGTTAACAATAATCACATCTTTCTTCATCTTTCCCAATACCTTGGCGTCAAGTAAATGATGAGTCTTGGGGTTCAATGGCACACTAACACAAATAATGTCACTGTTACTAATCAAATCATCAAACGATGTATATTCTGCACCCTGTTCGAGGTCTGGGCTCAACTTGCTTCTGTTGTAGTAGATGATTTTTTTGAAGCCAAAGGGTACCAATCGGTCACGGATGGCACGGCCAATGCCTCCCATTCCCAAAATCCCCACCACTTTGGCACTGGGATTGTGCCCAAGCTTGGACCCGGCACTTTTGACACCTGGTACCCATTTGCCTTTAACCATCAAATCATGTCCCTCTTGGAAGTTCCTTAACGTGGCCAACACGAGGTATACCGCCGTGTCGGCAGTGGGTGCTTCCACGGGGGTGGTGACGTTGGACAATTGGATGTTTCTTTTGATCAAAGGTTCCACATCGACTTGGTCGTAGCCGGCCCCACTGTTGCAAACAGCCTTCAACGTGGGTGGGAAATGCAGCACCAATTCTTCATCAAAACGGCCGGTTTGGGCCATGTTAAAGGTTCTGCCAATACAAGTGATATCGTTGTATTTGCCCTTGAGATCCTGGATGAATTCTTGTCTGTCCTTGGAGGTACAGGCCTGAACATCGGCGATATGGGAGAGCTCATCCCAGCCTGCACCAGAGGCAAAAGGGGCCCCGATCCACAAGACTTTTGGTTTAGTGGACATAGTTCTGGTGAGAAATAAGTGTAGGAATTGTCGGAGTTTATATACGGTGAGCAAAACCGGGATCTCTTTTCCTAAGGGGGATGTGGCGCCCCCACCGGTTACTGGTTCACTAGGTGGGGGAGAAGGAGTGGGACTGGCGAGGCACTGGCGGTGTCGCGCACTGGAAGTAGCGGGAAATAGTGGGAAATAGCGACGTTTCGGGTAAATGAAGGCTCGGTCCGCGCCAGACTGCCAGAGTCACAGGCTACACTAAAGTCTAAGTCCGAGACAGATAAAAGTCAGCAGGGTCAGTGGAGTCAGTAGAGTCAGTGGAGTCAGTGGAGTCAGTAGAGTCAGTGGAGTCAGTGGAGTCAGTAGAGTCAGTGGAGTCAGTGGAGTCAGTAGAGTCAGTAGAGTCAGTAGAGTCAGAGTCAATCTCGATAGAGTCGATCTATTCGGCGTATCCAGTCTAGCTAGTCAACAGTTCAAAACGTTAAACAATAAGCGAGGCTCCCCGGTACTTGAAGTGGTTGGCACCAACCGACTCCGAAGACAACTCTCTTTCTGGGAACCCGTCAAAACTCTTAGCATATGTAGCAACCGAGTGTCCAATCAATTGGGTGCTGACAACCCAAGCTTCGAAGCTGGCATTTTCAATATTGTCACACAATTGATGGTAGCAAGGGTCAAACCACTCACCCACAGTTCCGCCAAACTTCTCCTGTCCTTCTGGGGTCTTGACACCTTCAGCTCCAGTAGCAATTCCACCGGCTGGAATGCCCGCATCGATGAAACCAACGTAATCACTTCTACCATCAAAGGGCACAAATGTATAGTTCAAGCCCTTGGACTTGTAGAAATCAATGTACAAGTCCTTCAAGTGACCGGATCCGTTGGGGTGGTCCACATCATTGGCATCATAGATCTGGTACTCGAAGTTGGGAGACGCCATCATATCGTAGTCCATAAACAACCTGAGTTTGGCGTTTTCTTCTGGACTCAAGCTCTCGGCATAGTAAGTAGAACCCAAAAGTCCTTCTTCTTCAGCAGCCCACCAGGCGAATCTGACGGCATTCTTGATCTTGAAATTGGTCAAGGCCTTAGCCACTTCCAAGAGCGAAATGGTTCCAGACCCGTCGTCGTTGATCCCAGGCCCTTCGGTCACCGAGTCCGAGTGGGCCCCCAATGACACAACGTTGTCGTGGTCTCCAAACACCGTTTCAGCAACCACGTTCAAAGTCTTGATGTACTTGACGTACGAGTCAACATAGGCGGTGACTTCAAACTTGAATGCTGGGTCCTCCGTCAACTTTTCAATGTATTTCTCAGCATCAGCAGTGGTAATCGACAAAGTAGGCACGTAAACAATGCCCTTTTCAGGGGCACCCAAGGTTCCAGATAAGGGTTCCTTATCGTAGATGACAGCAGCAACGGCACCAGCAGCAGCAGCGTTGGCAGACTTGTCTCCAAATGCACAAACACCTCTTTCAACCAAAGCGATGTTGCCGGCCGTCAAGTTGGCCGGGAAGTCTTCCACACTGCACCCGTAGTTCTTCACCAACACAAACTGGCCGTGGACGGGCTTGGAGTCGGGTGTGGGAGGAGTGAAACGCAAAGGCTGTAAGGACTTGGGTTCTTCTCCATCAACCAACAACGAAAAAGCGCTAATTTTGCTGTCCAAAGCCTTGAACTTCTGCACACTGACATTGTAGTAGCCACCTAACTTGTACAACTGGGTAGTTATATAATCAATGGTGGCCCAGTGACCAGGAGAATCGATAACTCTGGTAGGATGGCCGTACTTTTCGGTCGACCTCTCAGCAAGCTCGTACAACTTTTTGGCCTTCTTAAGGAGAGCTTCCTCGGAGATTAACGCTTGCAACAGGTCGGAGTCGATCTCGGGCTTGAAGTGGTACTTGAATTTGTCCCAAAAACCCATTTTTTTGGATTGGGTCCAAGGATGGTGGCGGTGGGGGTGGACCTGGTGTTCGGGTAATTCGGCGAGTTCGAAGTCAGAGAAAAAGGGCAATTGTTCAGCCTGCCCTGGGGCGAGGGGGGCGGCGAGGGCCGTGGCCACTAAGAGCAAGATGCTTAACTTCATAGCGAGTGAATTGAAAGAAATTGGGTTTGTGGGTGGGTTTTTTGCGCGAGTGAGTTTGAGATACGGCGCGGACACAAATCCCCAAAAAAAACATAAACTAGAGGTAAATGGAATAGGGTATTTGAGATGTATAATATGTGTCGAGTGTGTATTATATGAATTGAGCGTGATATATACCATACACCAGTTCTAGCCTCTACTTCCATGTTAGAAGTTTGCCCGTTGGTTACCCCCAAACTGGGCAAACTTAAATCCTCCGTTACCTCCAAAAAAATCACCACTGGAAAACTTGAACTGGAACTGCTGACCGCCATGGCCGCCCTGGGCCCTGAACGGTGATCCGCCATGGAATGGTGAGGATCCGCCGCCTGGCAGTTGGTCGTTGGGGTCGTCTCCACGGTCGTACCGCTCTTTGAGCTCTTTACTCGAGAGAACCTCGTACGCCTGGTTAACCTCTTGCATTTTCTGCTCCATCTGCTCTTCCGTGAGTCCGCTTCTTTTGAATTTGTCAGGGTGATACTTCAACGTTTGTGCTCTATAAGCCCTTTTGATAGTCTTTTCGTCTGCATCCCGTGGAATGTCAAGAACTTTGTAGTAGTCGTTCTTGGGGGCACTTGGAGGAGCTCTTTGCTGCTGCTGTTGTTGTTGTTGTTGTTGCCGCTGTTGGTGGTATCTTTGTTGTTGTTGTTGTTGCTGTTGTCTCTGCTTCTGTTGTTGCTCTCGTATATACGCATCAACAGGTGCCCACCGGCTCTGGAAAAGCTTGGTTTTGCGGGTGTTTGCGGGCAAGCTCTTCATGAGTGCTTCGACCTTGTCAAACTGCCTTTTCTCGAGAAGCTTATCGATTTCTGGGATTCGTTTGGGTAGAAACGCATTGTCCTTGACTCTCAAACACATCATCCCCGCCAACTTAGCATTATTTCCGTGAATAAACGCCTCGCAGAGAATTCGGTCCAAGTCCTGGACGAACTGTAGCAAAAGTCCAGATTCAGCCTCAAATTCGTGCACAAAATGCATCAAGTAGTCGTGGTTTGTCTTGATACTGGACGGTAATCCAGCCAACTGTCTCTTTGTTGGCTTCTCGTCAAACAAAAACTCAACCACATACTTGAAGTCGATGGTGGCGGCGGTGTCAGTGAAGTCAATGGTGGGTTCGGAGTTTTCGCTCAAATAAAGGTGGCTCAACTCTATTGAATACGCCTCCAAGAACCCCAAAACCTTTCGGAACTTGGAGTAAAACTTCAGGAGCCGGATACATGTTTTGTGCTCGTTGTCCAAACGCAAACACTGCTTGACGTTGGTGAAAGCCTTGTCGAAACTCACCTGCGTGAAGAGCAAATAGTTTGACAACTCTCCGAAATAGTCCATGTTTTTGGCAGCGTCCAACCGGAGAACCTTGGAGTACGCACCCATGAGCTTTTGCGGATCCTTCAGCGTGCGCTTCAACGTCTCAACGTGGTACTGGTGAATGGTGGTGTTCATAGGTGATACAGGCAATAACTGGTTTTCAAGAAGCTCGTTGCACGTCTCAAAGTCGCCCGCCGTGTACGCCGACACCATATCCACATATGCCTGGTGGAAGGCGGCGGCCTTGGTACCAAGATCTTTGTCACCAATGGTCTCAAATATCGGGTCGTTGTAATGCCCGGTCTCCAACAACAAATCAGCTAGTTTTTGCTGGGCTGGCCGCAACGTCGGGTCCAACTCAAGGGTCCGCCGCAAGTCCACGATAGCATCCTTGTCACGGCTGAGGTTGATCTCTATCAACGACTTTCGAAAGTATAACTGGGATAATCCGCTGTACGACACCTCACTCTTCTCTATGGAAGAAATCAAGTTTGCAAACTCGTTGAGCGTGCTCAAGTTCGGACCTTCGGTCAGGAGCAACAGCTGGACTCGCAGGATCTCCAGAGCAAACTCCAGTGCCACACATCCCACCAAAAGTATGAAGTATATCCAATAGTTCATCAACTGGTTGCAATACATGTGTTTGCTTCGTGTCAAATCGCGACCTCGTTTTCTGGAAAAATCGGGGCTAGAGCGAGCAGGATGATCTGGTGTTTGTGTTTGTGTTTGTGTTTGTGTTTGTATTTGTTACTGGCTACACTACTACTCTACTTGAACAACTTGGCAAGTGACACAGCACCCTCGTCGTTTTTACTCATGACCTTGGCGACCGCCAACTCAAAGTCCTCCTGGGTCACGTGGATTCTTCTTTCTCTCAATGCATACATTCCAGCCTCTGTACAGACTCCTTTGACATCAGCTCCCGAGCACCCGTTCATCTTCTCTGCGATCTTGCGCAAGTTGATGCCTCTAGTCAAGTTCATGGACCGCGAGTGGATTTTTAAGATATCGGCTCTGGCAGCCACGGTTGGGGCTGGGAATTCGATTTTCCTATCGATTCTACCGGGTCTTAACAACGCTGGGTCCAAGATATCCAATCGGTTGGTGGCCATGATGATCTTAATGTCCTTAGAGCTCTCAAATCCGTCCAACTGGTTCAATAGCTCCAACATAGTTCTTTGTACCTCTGAATCCCCCCCACTTGAACCTTCAACTCGGGAAGATCCAATGGAGTCGATTTCGTCCATGAATATGATCGAAGGAGCGTGTTCCCGCGCCATGATAAACAACTCTCTCACCATTCGAGACCCTTCTCCAATGTACTTCTGGACCAACTCACTTCCAGACACACGAATAAACTTACATTCGGTGTGGTGGGCCACGGACCGGGCCAACAACGTCTTACCGGTTCCAGGAGGTCCGTAGAGAATGACCCCCTTGGGCTGAGCAATCCCCAAGCTCTCAAACAATTCGGGGTGCTTCACAGGTAACTCGATCACTTCCTTGATTTCCTTGATTTGTTTATCCAAGCCTCCCACCATGTCGTAGGTCGAGTCAGGAACCTTCTCCACCATCATCAACGACACCAACGGGTCGACTTTGTTGGGTAAAATCTTGTGCAAGTCGTACGAGTCGGCCTTTAAGCATACTCGCAAACTGGGCGTCAACTTCTTGATATCAATATCCTTACTGACATTCACAATGTACTTTCCTTCCGGGTGGATTTTCACCAACACCTTATTCAAGCCCATCACCTTGATGACCTCTCCGACGTATGAGCCGGGCTCTTGAAGTAAACGCAATTCGTCCTTCAACTGGCGCACTTTGTTGTTCAACTTGTTTCGTTGGGCCTCCAACCGACGTAAATTTTCGGTGGTGTTCTGCACCAGGATCTCGGTGTCCTGGATCTGTTGCTCGAAGTAAGGCTTGATTCCACCCTCGTGCACGTACGAATTATCTATTGACACAGTCATGGTTGATTGTGGGTGTGAGTTGAAAATGAATTTGCCTTCGATTTGTGCGAGGTGTGCGAAAAGGCCTCTGTCGCAAACCACAGCTGTTCCCATACAACTGAGTCCAACCATCCACAAACCCGCGCTGTCCGCCCAATGGCCCGATGAAACCACAGCTGCTTATGTTGTCCGTATTGGGGGCGTTAGCCTCGGGGGTTACTGCCTTCCAGAAGCTTTGCAAGTGTGAGTGCTTGTCACAGGACTCAGCTCCTCCTCCACCTCAAATCTTCAGTCTCCCGTCGTGCGATTTGTGCACAAAACAGGCGTGCTTGAAAGCGACCGCTGACTTCTGTACCGACGTCAACCTTCGCTTGAGTTGCTATCAAGTCGAGTCGTTGAAAGATATGTTTATCATATACTCATTTGTATTGGTGGTGGCCGGCCTACTAGGCGCGAGTGTGTACCGTCAGTACTGGCGATGACCCCCATAAAATATACATCTCTTGTGGTACCAGAGCCCCGTAGACGGCCAAACCCCGTTGGTGCCGTGTCAGTTTATATATGCTGCCGGAGAATTGGGCCCCGCACACGCCCCCGTTCTGGTGGTCGCAGTTCTCACTGAAAAATCAAGTGGGAAAAAATTTTCAACTGGTGTTTTTCTGACGAAACTACATACTAGCTGGTTTATACATTGGAATACTTAACTGTATCTAATCAATAAACACTACGCACTAGGAGCCCCAGCATTTTGACCGATAGTGGATATTGATATTTCGTTAGCTCGATCCAATTTCAATCCCGCTGCATCAGGCCCGTTCGTTTTAACGTATCCCCTGATAATTGAATCGCCGTTCCTAACTCCACCGTACCCCGTCCCACGCGTGATCTTTGTGCCCGTGTGTGTTTGTGGTTTCTTGCAATAGCATTCTTCACGACCCCCGTCTGTGAATCAAAAGTTATCCACATCTGTCGTCATGTCCGATCAAAATCCTGCCCCCGAGCCTACAACCGGTGATTCGAGTCCCACCGCCTCTTCTGCCCCTCTAAGCACCACCAACTTGCAGCAGCATAACTCCAACTATTCTCCCAGCCCCCGGTACAACAACCAAAACAAGCACTATAATGGCAATAACAACAATTCCAATAGACAAAACAACTCGAATCGTCAGCCTTATAATAAGCGGAATTATGGTAACAAAATGAACCAACATCCGAACCAGTACAACTACAACCCGGCTGCAGCCCAGGCTGCCTACGCTGGCATGTACTATAACTACTACAACTATGGTTATCCCATGATGCCGGCAATGGGAATGTACGGCGCTACACAACCAGGTAACCCTCCTGCTGCCTCGAGTCCTACTCTGGCATACCCGGTGATGGCCACGCCTGGCTCGGTCGCATCCTCGACCCAGTCGACCCCAGGTGGTCCACAGGGCAGCTTAAGCCCGGTTCCTCAGTTTACACCTATTCCTGCTGGAAGAGTTAAACTCACCGATAAGGATGGGAAACAGATCAATTTGGAAGAAAAAAAGAGACAGTTGCAGAGCTCATCTTCGGCCACACCCATATCCTCCCCCAAAAAGACGTTTGCTAGTCCTGTGAAGCAGTTTGTGCCTCTCAGATCCCCTGTGGTATCTGCTCCTATCATTCTGGCTCCTCCTGTTGTCCCAGTACCGGTAAAGCCTGTCGAACCGGCTGCTGCTCCTCCGCCAGCTGTGGAGGACTTTAAAGAAAGAGTCAGAAGATTGGCTGCTGCTTCCAAACAGAAGAAGGAGCAAGAAGCCAGAGAAAAGAAGGAAAAGGAAGCCAGAGAAAAGCAGCAGAAGGAAGAGGGTGACGTGAAGCCAGTGCCGGTTGAGAAGGCAGCTGAAGTCGTTGTGCCTGCCCCTGTTGCTGTTGAAGCTCCAGTGGAGAAGACTCCCGCACCAGCCACCACTCCAGTTGTGGCTGAAAAGGCCCCGGAGTCAGTAACGGCTGCCGAGCCTGAACCAGTTCAAGCCCCTGTGCCTGTAAAAGAAGTGGAGACTGAAAAGGCTGCTGAAGCTACTGTCGAACCTGTCGAAGTCAAACCTGTCGAAGTCAAACCTGTCGAAGTCAAACCTGTCGCACCAACCGGGCCAGCTCTCGAATCTGTCGAACCAACTGAACCAGCTACTTCTTCTGCCAAGGCTGTCGAGATCCAGGAACCTGAAGCTGCTGATCACGATGCTGAGCATGAAGAGGCCGAAGACGACGAAGATGACGAAGAAGGCGAAGATGAAGAAGATATTGAAGAACATCAAGGTTTGGACTTGTCTCAGTTCTTCGAAAGGATCGAAAAGGCCGAAATCATCGAAGACCCATTCTCTGCCAAATACCCCGAACCTCTCGTGGGTGTCGACTCCAGATGGAAGACCGACTACAAGAAATACAGATATGACCCCCAATTTTTAATGCAATTCCGTGATGTTGTACAGTTCGAAGTGGATGAAGAGTGGAAGAACAAGTTGGCCGGCTTGGGTATCGTAGCCCAAAATAACCAGAATAGAAAGTTCGGCGGCGCCCCAAGGGGAATGAGTAAAGGTGGAATGCAAGGAAGATTTGGTCAACTTTCTGGAAGAGGAGGGCAATACGATGGCAGACAAGGATCTAGAAATGGATCCAAGAGAAGAGGCGGAAGCACCAGAGACAAGTCCAAGAGAAATAACCAGTCCAAGAGGAGAGATGATGAAGGTAAATCAACCATACCTCCGGAAGATGTTAAACCATTGGAGAAGTCTGCCAACCGGTGGGTTCCAAAACCTAAAACCCTGGAAGGCGATCAAGTTAATTTAGCTCCTGATGGAGTGACTGTTATTTTGAATGAAGAAGAGGTGGAAAGAAAAGTGAAGAGATCGTTGAACAAGTTAACCTTGGAAATGTTCGAGCCTATCACCGACGATATCTTGAAGATTACTGAACAAAGTAGATGGGAAGATGATGCAAAGACTGTCAAGCAGGTTATCTCTTTGACGTTTGCAAAGGCTACTGATGAACCTTATTGGTCTTCCATGTACGCCCAATTCTGTGCCAAGATGTGTAAAATGATACCCGATGATGTGAGTGTGAAGGAAACCACTAGAGATGGCAAAGAAATTGAGGTTTCTGGTGGTTCTTTAGCAAGAAGATTATTATTGACCACTTGTCAACAAGAATATGAAAAGGGTTGGTCTGATAAAGTTCCTTTCCAGTCTGATGGTGCTCCATTAGCCATGATGTCTGACGAATATTACGAGGCTGCCAAAGCCAAGAGAAGAGGTCTTGGATTGGTCAAGTTCATTGGTCAATTGTACTTGTTGAATATGTTGACTGACAAGGTGGTGGTGTATTGTTTGACTAACTTGAGTAAGAATGTTGAAGACCCATCGGAAGATAGTTTGGAAAGTTTGGCTCAATTAGTTACAGCTATTGGACCCAAATTTGAACAAAGTGAAAGAAACAGAAACCTCATGCAAGTTGTGTTTGAGAATATTCAAAAGATCTTGGACACCTTGAAATTATCATCAAGAATCAAGTTTATGTTAATGGACTTGAAAGATTTAAGAAACGCAGGTTGGGTATCAAGTAACACTGATCAAGGGCCAAAGACAATCAAAGAAATTCATGATGATGCTGAAATTAAGAGGTTAGAAGATGAAAAGGCTGCCAACGAAAGGAGAAGAAAAAATAAAGGTGGTGATTCAAGATCAAATTCTAGCAGAGCTGGCTCAAACTGGGGATCCCAACCTAAAAGAGTGGAGTCCACTTCCAAATTGACCCCTGTGAAGGATTCCAAAGGATTTACTGCTGTCTCTAGATCTCAATCGTCGAGACTTGGTGAATCCAGTAATTTGTCTCCAAGAGAAGGTTCCAAGAGAAGCGAATCCCTCCAATCAGCAACCAATATATTTGCTGCCTTGGGAGGTGAGGAAGACCATGAGCATGAACCTGAACACGAGCATGAAGAGGTTGCAACTAATAATTGAGGCCTTAATTGGTTTCCATTAGAATCTTTCATTACACATGATTAACGAATTGTTCCTTTTCCCAATCTTTTATTGTAATTCTAAGTTTTTTAATACAAAGTTATTTATAGATCAATCTCTTGTTAATTCACATTTTTGTCACGAATACTTTGCATGTCTGTAGTGCTAATTCGGTGATGGCTCTGAAACAACGCACTGTTCCTAAACTTCTTCTTATACCTCAAAAGCCTGTCGGGTTCGATTTCTTCTCCAGAATAGATGGAATTGCCAGCTACAATGTCAGGGCTCTGTTCAAAGCATGTATCCTGTTCAGAGACGAATCTCGTATTTTCAAGTTGCAGTAATAGTGGTTTCTGGACGCGTTCAGAAATTATTACGAGTCTCCGGTCTTTTATGGTGACAATGCTTTTGTTCCAAAACAACTTATGGAGAACTAGACCAGTTAGTGGTTCTTCTCCAATTGCAAGAGGTTCATTGGATTCGTCAAAGTATTCACACACATCTAACAAACACACAATTATAAGAATAACAACTTCAATGGCGTGAAGGCCCAACTTCATTATGAAATTAATATAATCCACAAATACGTCCCTTGCTTTGAACATGTAAACTACAACACACAAAAGGACTTTGAGAATTAATTTGAGTACATCTTGTGTGGTTGAGGATGTGGAATGATGATGGTGGTTAGAAGGGCTGAAAGGGGGTTCTGGCATTGGGTAGACTGACATGTCACCGGTATGCATGGTACACAATTCGCAGCCATTTCGCATATGTTTGTTCATTAATCGTCACTAGATATTGAAGTTTCTGAAGTGGCCAAAAAGTTGGCATTCGACGCCTCTGGAAAGGCCTCGAGAAGCTCAGAAGATACAGAAGACAACGGACTGTCGCTCAAGTACACCTCGTCATCCTCAACAACTATTGGAGAGTGTTGACCGTGTGGACTATCACCCTCTCCGTCTAACTCAACTATTATTGGAGAGTTATGGCTAGTTTGGAGATCAAGTACATTTTCACCAAAAGCTGGAGTTCCAAGATTCAGTTCTAGGTCGTTGAATTCGAGGGTTTCGATAGTAAGGGTTGAAATCTCGTCATTTCTATAAGTCGAAGTGGCACGGGGAGGTTGCAACAAGGAAGCTATTAACTGTTGATCGTAGTCCACTTCAAGCAGAGGAGCCCTCGGTCGGTCTGCCCTTCTGTGCTTCCAAAACCGCTTGGCAATTCTGAGCTTCAGAACCACAGATACCTTTTGTTTTCTAGATTTGGCTAGTTTCTCAACCAAGTTGCTCAATGCCTTCTGCACATTTATGTTCACTGATTTGAAGGATTTCACCAAACCCATGATCTTGGGCAACAAGGAATTATCATCCACAAAAACAATGCTAAATAACAACAAATTTCGAGCGATTTTTATTGGAGGCTCATGGGATGCTAGAAGCTGTAACAAGGTAGAAATCGCAGATACAACTTGAAACCTATCAGATCTAGATTTTTGATTAATAGTCGTGCTAATAGCATAATCAACCTCCGCATCACTCAAATATCCCGAGGTATTTTCATACTCGTTGTCTGAAAACTCCATTTGTCTGGCGTATTCGTACTGGAGTACATTGTCTGATCTCATGATATAGTGATTGTCTTCATTTCGATAGAAGTTATCATTCGAATTATCCACTAGGGCACTAGACCTCTCATTGAGTTTATCGGAATCGCTGGGATGTTGTATAAGGGAATAAGCTTTCTTTGAGGCAGAGGCCTGCCTCTCAGCAAAAACTCTGCTTGGGAAATTCCTAATTGATTCAAAGAGAGAAGTGTATTCCAGCTTCAAACACAATGGTGACAATTGGGTTGTTTGAAGGACCTCGCAAAGTCTAACAATATATTCAAATTCGACCTGGACCGGGGCATAAGTGCCTGAATAACAGTATTCACTGCTGTGGAAATTCAAGCTTATGACCTCAATAAAGTTAATTAGTCTTCTGGAATCACCTCTGACGATTTCAATGAGCCATTCTTTAATGTTACGGTTGTATCCAAGGAATTGTAGACCGTAGACAGTTTTCCGCTTAATATTGTCGTAGAGAATGGCCTGATCCAAGATCATCATCAAATGGCCATCGTGCAACTTCTTCAACTCAAACACCTGACACCGAGATAGTATAGCTCTTCGAATTCTCAGTTTTGGATCCACAGACGTGGCACCTATAAACACAAACTGGCCGGCTTCGACCAACGGTAACAAGAAATCCTGCTGGTTGATTCGGAATCGGTGGATCTCATCAATGAACACCACTAACAGAAGGTAATCCTTGTTTTGCAGCTGACGTTTGTTGTTTTCGATCTCGATGATTCTCAGAAGGTTTTTAAGGTGTATGAGGGTCCCGTCGGTGGCAGAAAACTCCACAAATACGTATCCAGTCTCTGCTGCTAATATAGATGCTAAGGTGGTTTTTCCGACTCCAGGTGGGCCATGAAGAATCATTGAAGGAAGGTACTTCAAGCGGATGAAATCGTGAATTCGGCCATGTGGACCAACGAGATGATCCTGGCCAATGTAATTCGTCAATGTTTTTGGTCGAATGATCTCGGAAAGTGGAAGTTGAAGGTTTTGTTGTAGCTCACCATCTTCTCCATCTGATAACGACTCTGTGTCTGAACCGCCATGTTGGGACTGGGCGATTTCTGAAAGCTCAGAGGTGGTCTGAGACAGAACCCCATTGACATGAGGGGATTGGAGTTGTTCACCAGAGTCTTTTTCTGCTGATGTTGCGTCCGTCATAACATGCCGATGATGCTACTACGCGAATCGGAAACTCGAATTTAGTGCGATCGATTTTCTGCAGCATCTGGGGAAATGGCCACGATAGAAGCACACAAATGTAACCACATTCTTCTTTTAAAAATCAATTCCCATTGGACGGGTCTCTGAGTTGCCAGTGCTGACTGGGTGAGTTAGGCTTACGTAGATTGAACTATCGGTTCCCCTCGAACCAGCTAATGAAAAGAGTATAGGTTTTGCAATCATGGGTTTTAGAATAGTCGTAATATATGTTATCTTAGAGATTACGACCCACCTTATTACATCGATAGAACCAAACTCAATGCTGTACATTGATAATTATGTAGGACCGACTGTGAAAAATTATTAAGTCGAAGAAAGGATAATGAAAGTCAAGCTTAGAGGCAGCTGACATGAGAAAGTTTTGAGTCCTAGTTATCTTGAGTGTCTGTAAGAACATAAACGTCTGTACGACAAAGACAGGATTGCCCTTAAACATACACGAGAGAAAGGTTTGTGGTTACTTCATGTATCTGTTGTTGGGGCTTGAGTTGGTTCCCAAGGCTTGCGCATGAACTTACTTTCTTCGCTTGGGGCCAACATCGGGATTGAGCGGCGAGTTGGCAGCACTCCCACCACCAGCAATGCTAATTCGCCTCTTTTTGAGTTTGCCGTCGTCAGTAGGCGAGGGTGTGTTTCCGGACGTTACGCCTGGAGCCTGAGCTGAGTTTGGCGGTATTCCCGACTGAGGGTTTGCCTGGCCTTGCGCCTGAGCCTGAGCCTGAGCATGAGCATGAGCATGAGCCTGGGCTTGCGCCTGAGCTTGAGCCTGAGCTTGAGCTTGAGCTTGGGCATGGACTTGAACTTGCGCTTGGGCTTGGGCTTGCGCCTGAACTTGGAAAGCATGGTGTTGCTGTTGTAGCTGTTGCTGTTGCATTTGTCTTTGTTTCATCAACAGGGCCTGGTAGTTATTGTTGGCTGTCATGAACAACTCTAAGGCCTTGATGGGTGACTTGACATTATTGACCATCGCAAAGCCCATAAGAGACTTCAAATGGGTCATCACGTCTCCAATTTGCATTAGTCGCATGGAACCGGTATCGAAACCAGACGACAGAGCGTTTCTATAGGACATACAGTTATTTTGGATGGAGGCCAACAACTGCTGCTTAATATCGTTGATCTCGCTCTTGGTAGAAAGGGACTCCCATGCCTTGTCAATGCTCACGACGTTCAAGCTACTATGGTAGCTCAAGAAGCGGCAGTTGATCCACTCAATGCGAAAGTCTCGGTTCATCAAAATCTTGCAGCCTCCAGTGACGTTGGCCACACTACCGTCGTTGAAGTAGTAGGTTACAAGCAACCGCGAGAGAATCGAGATGGATCCGTTGTTCATCACCTGGAACTTTGTACCAGGTAACGACACAGTGAACCGACTAAACAGTTCAGATTTTAGTACAGACGCAAAGAACCGTGGGGCTGTCACTGAGTTCAATTCGAACGGCTTCCCATAAAAGCCTTCGTACGGAGGTTTGTTGTTGACGTCGGGGGTCATTACTAAACGTAACACAGACGACGGCGTGAAGTACGATTGCACCACTCGGTTCCAAAAGTCCACCGACGACAAGGTCGACCGCTGCTCGTTGCTGATCTGGTCAACTATATCCAAAACTCGCACCACACTGGCGTTACCAAGATTTCGCTTGAAGATCTTGATGTTAAGCTCGTTGGGGAATTGCTGTTCTTGGGGAGTAAAACCGTTGTTCACCACCACGGGTTTTCCAGGTGGCCCGCTCCACGATGGCATGCGCTGGTTGGGGGGCGGCTGGTTGCCCATCTGCGGCGTATGGTTGGAGGAATTGCCGCCCGAATGGCTGCTGGTCGACGTGGGTAACGGTGCCAGGTTAGGTGGTTGCATGGGGTTAAAGGCATTTATTTGGTTGGGGGTCTTCATGGGATTGGCTCCATTCATGGGCTGTAGCGTGGCTGCACGCAGCATCACAGGGCGCATAGACTGGCCTTGGGGTGGCTGCTGGCCCATGAATTGGGGGTTCATGGGTTGCTGAGGAAATTGCATGTTGGGACTCTGGTTCATATACTGGGGCTGGCCCGGGATAGCATTTTGAACAGGCATTCCTGGGGCCAATGTCGGCAGCCCGTTGGGGAGTTGCTGGAGGTGCTGGGGCGGCATGGACCCGTTGGTATGGCGGATTTGGCCCTGGGGGTGGGACGGATGAAGACCTGGCGGCTGAGGCTGCGGTGGAGGTTGCGGTTGTGATTGTGGCTGGGGTTGGTGCTGGCCCTGGGGCGGCGGTGGCTGATCCATCATGGGGAAGTTTGGATTCAGGAGCATGGCCGGCATGGATCCCCCGTTGAGATTCATGCCGTTTATATTCATGTTGCCGTTCATTTATGGAAAGTACTGTTATTCTAGTGTCCGGGCATACAGTTTGGCAAGAAGGGTGGTAATTGGATAAGCGGGCTCACGTGAGGATGCAGGTGTATTTGTGTTTGATGAGGTGACCAGGATAGTTGTGGAAATGCAAAGGATTAATTGGTTTGAAGAGCGGCGCTAAACAAATATTTTTTCAGTTTTAAGCACTTGATTCTTTTGCGCGCACTGGCTTCGGATAACGCAAACGGGATTATGCGCAAGTACGGGCCAGACAGTTGGGGTGTGGTAGGTGATGGTGATAATATGTTCTGGTGGTCTCGAGGAAACTATTGGTTTTTTCGGGGAGGTGATAGTGGCACTTTTGGTGTATTGGCTGTAGTTGGCTGGGGCAATCCGAAAGGCTCAGTCAGTGACAGAACGCAATGGCCGACATAACCAAGGACGGATGTTGGTGAGGGGCATGAGCTTTGGAGTTGCATTCATAGAAGAATATTCGCCATCTTATTAGCATAATAGAGGTATTAACAAATTGGTATTCACTTGTTGGCTGCAACTTGCAGATTTTGCAGATTTCGTTTACTATATGAAATAATATACACTGAACAGAACATTCGAATAGAACCAACTCCTGCTCTTTCCGGCAAGCATTGTTTCCTAAGCGATGCTCAAGGTCAGCCCACCAGCAACATTGGTGTACCGCATAAGAGCAGGGTGTTTCACCACAGGCCGTCTGGGCTTCAACAACTTCACCTCGTCTTTGGACTCTGCGTCTTGCACTTCCCGCACCTTATTGGCTCTACGCTTCAACAACTTGTTCAAAGTGTCCTGCTTTTCCTCTTCCAATTGCTTGTTTTTGTAGTCCAATCGTCTTCGCGCAGTCTCAGCCTTTCGAAGAGCTGCCTGTTCTTCAGTTTCCTTCACTTCTTTTTTGGGCACCTTCAGTTTCTTTGCCGTGTCACTTCCCGATAGCTCTTCCGTCATCTCTAGTCTGCGTTGCCGTTCTGTCATTCGGGACCGATGATTGGCAGGATTGTACTCGGCTTCCTCGTCAGTGAGAATCAAGTCAGGATCAAGGTCCTCGGAACCCAACGGTTCAGCACTATCCTGGGGACGTGGCGTGGTTGATACCGATGTGTCGACGGCGTCGTCGCCGAGGTCTTCGGCACCCACTTCGTAGTAATTGAAGTTTCGTTTACGAGACTCTCTTTGTGGTTGGCCTCTAGATTGGGTAGCAGGTTTGTTGGCACGACGTAAAGGGAGACCCCGGGACGATGACGGCGCTGGCGTCTCACTATATTCGTCCTCCTCGTCTTTGAGCTCGAGGTCCTCGTCCATTTCGTCATCAGGATCTTCTAGTTTGTAGTTGTCTTCCTGGTCGCTGACACTGGGGATATCTTCCTCATCTTCTAGCTCTTCATCGTCGTCGAGCTCGACTTCCGATTCTTCCATATCCTCTTCTTCCTCGTCTTCGAGGTCGATGTCAGAGGGGAGCGCGGAAGGCTGGTTTTCGCTTTCGTCGTCTGAGATTACTGGTGCCATTGGATGGAGAGTGAGAGGTGCGGTGCGCGAGACAATTAGGTACAGTATTGGTAGACGCACAGGTGGAGTCTACACTGGGTGTTGGGGTCAGACTTTCGTTCGTTGTATCATTTATACTATTTACAGGTTGGTATTTATATGTTCGAGGACAACAAGATCAGCTCAGTCAATTATGTCGGCCATATCGCGATGAAATGTACGAGCTGGCCGTCGCTGCTGTGTGTGCCTGGGGCCTTTTTGTCCTGTATTTCTACCACTATTAGCACCAGGAGCACGGCCCCGGCCAGAATACTCCTGCTGTTGCTTGCGTACCTGCTCTCGTTCTTCCTGCCGTCGCTGGGCCTTTTCAAGTCGTCTTTTTTCTTCTCGTTCAAGAAGCTTTTCCTCATCACTCTCATTGGGAACCCAATTACTCTTCAAAATCCTCCGAATAGCCTCTGGCGACACCCGAAACATACTGGCGAGTTCTACTGTCTTGATATTTGGCAACAGTATCGTCATATTCCGTATATCCTGGATCTGTTGGCGGTTTAGTTTTTTGGATGGATTCCAACTACCGTACCGCAACTTGACTGATTTGTCACGTTTGGTCCACTCGGGCAAGTTTTTCTGGAAAATCTTTTCCTCCTTGGCTAGCTTCTGTTTTAAGGTCGGGGCAGTTAGTAGCGTATCTTTGGCAGACCGCGATACGCCTCTGGTGAACATTCGTAACATTCTGCTAACTGTGGTGATGAGATGAGATTATGTTACGCGCGCACTTTTGATGCACTAGCTAAGAATACAAGGGATAAACCAGCAACCGACAATGAATTTTATCCGGAAATTTATGGGAAAAAGCTCCACCGAAGAGCTTAGCTCGGTCCCCAAGGGGAAACTATACCTCACGCGGGCCCCCAATTCTCCCAAGGGTTCACTCGAGTGTCTTTATAATGATGCGTTTATGTGTATCCGACTGACCACCAGACCCTTTTACTACCAATTGGCAGTGAGCAAGGTGTACCAAGAAGGTGAGATCCTTACGCCCAACGACAATGAATTTGATGACAGTGATGATGACAACTTCTTGGATGGAAGCGGTTCAAATGACATTTCATCCAAGTCAAAAGATGAATGGAACTTCATTATTCTTCAGGATTTGAGCTTCAAGTTCATTGAGAAAAAGAACGGGTCGATGGCCATTAGCTGGATTGACATTAATGGCGACGTGGGTGACAGTTTCGAGTTTGTGATAGATGACGATGTCAATTTGAACGACGTCGAGCTGTTCAAAATCAGCTTGTACAAGTGTATCTATGAGCTGAAGTACCATAAACCATCGACTGAAATCGACGAGACCGAGTTGAAGGAGTTCGAATCATTTGAAGAAGAGTTAACTCTTGAAGACGTGAAGAATGACTTGTTGAAGTACAAGAACAAGAATGTCACCACATATGATGATGAAGATGACGATGACGATGACGATGACGATGACGACGACGAGGAATGGGCAGAGACGTCCCAGGGTATCGTGGGCAAGAAAAGCAAGTCCCTCGGAGCCGCGTCCCAGCAAACGGAAAGACCCTACGGGGATGACGAAGAGAGTACCGTTGTGTTCATTGAGCCTGCCACCAAGGAGGAGCCCAAGGAGAAGGTATTCTCCAAGAAGGTAGATTTGTACTTGTACGGTGAGGATGGGTTTGGTTTTACCCTGGAGGTGACGCTCGAAATACTTCTGTATGTGGCCTGGAACTATACAGTGAAGCTTTATAACGGTTCGAACGTTCGGTTTGAAACGTTTCTTTCGAGTGCGATGTCCCCCATTTTCGAAGAGAGCAAGAATGCGTTTGTGTTTAACTATAACAGAGCTTCCGAATCAGGCTTGCAGCTGTCAACGTGGCTTGTGGGTTTTGACAAATTGGCGACGATGAAAGAGTTCCAGAATCAGTTTTTGAAATGCTACTTTGAGTATACCAACAAGAAGAAGTACCCAGACACGGAGGAACTTGACCTGCTGTACTTGGCCGACTCCTTGAGCGGCATGACTCTTGATGATGATGATGAGTTCTTTTCAACTCACAGTTCCAGTGATGACAAGGAGAGTGATGAAGATGATGAAGACGAGGAAGTGGTTGTGAGGCCAGCGAGATCAGCCAAGAAGATCACAGTTCCGGCCAACGTTGAAGGTGGAATCAACTCAGACTTGACGGTGGGATTTGCTAACGATAGGTCGTACGTGGTGAATGGTAATAACTTGGGAGTGTTTAAGAACGGAAATGATGACCTTGAGTTCCAGTCCACGATCGGTGGACTCAAGAACAGGGCCGGCCAACAGATTCTACCCGAGGCACTCATGTTGCAACGGCGAGACGAACTGTTGGTATTCAAGGATAAGAACAGCCAAGGCTTATATCGGATGGATTTAAACAGAGGTCAGATTGTGGAAGAATGGGACGTCAGCAACAATGACCAAGCACTTCGACATTTCACGACTAACAAGAAGTACGATCAGCTCACCAACGAACAGACATTTATGGGTATTTCCAAGAATGAGGTGTTTCAGATGGACCCTAGACTTGCGAACATTATTGTTCCCACCGAAACCCGGTTGAAACAAAGCAACTTCAACCACATCAACACCACCAAAGGTGGGTACTTTGCCGTTAGTGATGCGGACGGAAAGATCAGATTATACGACCGTATTGGTCTTAAGAGAGCCAAGAGTTTATTACCTTCATTGGGTGACACGATTGTAGCTATGGACACCTCCAATGATGGGAGATGGTTGTTGGCTACTTGCAGTGATTATCTTTTGCTCGTTGACTTGAAGGTGCAAGCGGGCAGTAAAAATGCAGGAGCATTAGGATTCGAGAAGCCATTCAGTGCTGCTAGTAAACCAATTCCAAGAAGAATCATGTTGAAACCCGAACACCTGATGGCCATTCTTAATTCTGGAGGACAAAAGAGCTTGAACTTCACCAGAGCATACTTTAACACCAAGGTTACTGATCATGCTGAAACAGATATTATCACCAGTACTGGCAACTATGTGGTTCAATTCAACCTTAAGAAGATTTTGCAGGGCAAAGTCGACTCTTACGTGGTGAAGAAACTTGATGAGGCTGTTGTGTCGTCAAACTTCCAGTTCGGATCCAATAATGCCATTTTTGCATCTGAGCACAATGTAGCTAAGATGGGCAAGAGGAAGTTTGAGAGGTTTGAGAGATTTGAGAAGGCTCTGGAGAGAAAGAGATGAGGATGAGAAGATACGAAGCAGTAATTACCATATATGGAGTGTTCACCCAATAATATATATTTAATGAAGATAACCATCATTAATTCGGCATTTCAATGTCTGAACCGAAATAAGTCCTTGACCTCATTGATCCAAATGATGCGGAACGCATTTATTTTATGGCCCATGGTCGGGCGGTAGTCCGTCACTGTCCGGTGTATTGTGATCTTGTTCACACGGTTATACACCAGTTGCACAAATCGGTTGAATCCCGGTGACCGTATGAGTGCTTCATAAAGAAACCGTTCTATTGGAGTCATGTATCATCGCCAGAAATGCCTAACTGCGAAGTCGCGCACAAAATTATCAATTTCTTCCAACACATTCAGCGCAACAGAAATGATTACAGATGGTCAATTGAACACAATCGTTCTCTCGTTTGGCATCGTCTCGATGGTAGGAATCTTGATATATCACTTCATCTCCACTAACACTAAGGAAAACGTCAAGGAAGCTTAGGATGATCAAATGGATTGCGAACACGTCAGCGGGTTAATAGTATAATACAAGCAATGCTCATACAAACAATACGTAGGGCCTGAGAAGTGGGAGCCGAGCAAAATTGGACACTTATTGCTGGAAGAATCCAGGATGAGTTCTTTCAAGTTAACTTCTAGGTTCTTGATGTCCCCCGTAAACTTATAGATAGGGTTACTGGCGTACGGGAAGAAGAACGAAAATACTAGTTGGTGCGTGCGCCGCCGCCCAAATCTGATACAAATCTGTTGTTTCCGCGACTGCAAAATCTACTAGGTAATCCACAGAGAGAATTTTCTACAATATATACATCGCAAAATGGATGGAAACTTTTCAAAAGCCCACTTAAGCGGATTGATCTACGGAATCATGACCACTGCAGTTTGTACTTTAACTAGCTATTATTCACTCGCTCGTGACAGCGCCTTTCTTCAAGTATTAAATGTTATTTGTCGTTCTGGAAAGGTCAGTACACAAAACCACCAAGTTTTGCAACATCGATGTTGGATGACTTCTACAAAAATGCTGCTGCTAATATATCTACCCTAATTATGAATGCGGCTTCACGAATGCCGGTGTCTCTTCAAACTGACAAGATGGTGGATTTGGTTGAGCCTTTTAAGCTTGGTACACTCCAAACTATTTTCAAGTCCCAGGAGATGGTCATCTTCTCAGTTATTATATTGATGCTTACGGCTACTCTTTTGATGTACAAGATATAGTGTTTAGTTGATATTATTTTTGGGAACAGTGCTGTAATCGAAACAGAGGCGGTCAAAGTCATAAAGGACATACGGGTAGTATTCTGGATTTTGTACATCGTCTGTAACTTGGTGTGCATGGCTATCTCTTTGAAGGTGGCAAATTATATCCAAATATTCAAAATCCCGATAGATTTCACGGTTGCTCGTTGGGTTAAAGACTGCCCCATCCGCAATACAGAAAAATGGGAACCTCCTTACGTGGCCACTCTCTTCGATCGCCGGTCGCTCAATGGCACTTGTGACATTAACGCCGATGCAGACTTTCTTGGATACATGGCTGATGGATACAAGGGAATTCTAAGCCCCGACTTATTCTTTTTAATCAAAAAAACGTATACCCTGACATAGATACAATAATAGACCTCGGAATGAAAAGTCAATTAAGTATTCTCACCAATGCCATCATCTTGTATTTTGGGTTTATTTGTGGGATATACTTGTACAGTTTGGCGGTCGTAGCCTTTATACAAGAGGTAGCTACCACCAGAAATATTGAAATCAGAGACTCGCTTCTGACCCCTAAACCCACCAGTCCAGACCCAAGTCCAGATGCAATTCCAGAGTTCAAACCTCAGGGAGGTACCAGTACTGACATTGGAATTGCAGATTCAACAACTGGAGTGGCTCATGCTGGATCAGGTGAAGGAAAAGAAGTGACAGATGCCTCGGCCATAAGTGGTGAATCTCCTCGTGTCAGCCCACCTGGGGGTATCGAAGAATAACCGCTTTATGGTATATGTCACTTTATATAGGTCCAAACATAACCAAGGTTACAGTAGGCTGAGTAAATATTCAATAACATTACTCGGTTATAGTTGATAGTTAGATATAACAGGTTATATACTAATATTTGAGTTTGAAGTGTACGAAACAGATGCAGCGGACCAAAATTTGACATATATTTTCATCAGAAATTTAATCAACAGAACCTTATCAGACGCCGCATTTGGAAACCGCCACATCAAATCGGATCCTGTTTTTCGCAACCACTAATATCACAACTGCTAGTATGACCAAGATGAACCTCGACACCAAAATTCGTGAGGCAATGGTAACCTGGTAATATTTTGGTACCTTCAAGAATCCCAGTATAGCCTTGACTTAATATATTTCTTGTAAAGCGTGAAATTGAAACCTTAATGCCGTAGCACTGGAGATACGTTAAGATATCATTCGCTAGTTTTCAAATAAAAGATATATCACTCCTTTAGCTATTCTTCATATGCTCTAGTAAGGTAGACCAAGTAAAATCTAGGTAGAATCAGTCCTATTACAGCATCGGGTTCACATATTCAGAAGACGACTTCGGTGAGTTTCGATATCAATTCACACAGGCTTGCTAGGGGAGACAGCAACTCGCTATTGATAGAATAACACTTACTCACCTCGAAGAATTTTTTTTAAGGCCAGGTGCTTGTCACGACGTAGTCTCAGCTGCATGCACCGATAGCTGCCACGCCTGATTACCACTTGCAACTGCTTTTTAGTAAACGGGTATACGTCCCTAAAAAACTCGTAAAGAATCGATAAAGCCCGGTCTCTCTGGGACTCGTCTGTGTGTTTCACCCATGTGTCGTATCCCAATCGAAAGTCACAGTGCTTGGTGAACACGTCGAGGATCTGATGCTGGACGGTTTTGGTTAAATTGATATCATACTCCAGGAGGTTGAGAATACGTGAAAGCTGGAATAAGCTGATTCTAGACAAATAGGTAACTTCAGGTTTTTCTTCAGCTCCCCCATGGACAGCTAGCTTGTTCTTGTACTCTAGTCTGGTAGGTTTCCTTTTGTATTTGGTATCAGAAACAAGATCCTCAAATTTTGTGATAGAAGACCGTACAATCGCAATGAGCTTTAACCTGTCGTAAGAGAACGAAACAACCAACTTGCAGCTCTCTGGACATTCGTGGGACTCGGATTCAGACTGGCTCAGGTCAAACAACAGAGGAAAAGAGTCAAAAAATGATATTTTGGTGTTGGTTTCTTGTGATTCAAGGAGAGGCGCATGGGATGGGTCATACGGATCGTTCATAGGAGAGCTCAGCAACGATAAATGTTCAGACCTAGGTGATGCATCTATTTGGATTGACCTGTTGGAAGTGATGGATACCAGACGTGACACCTGGAGTCCCAGACACTCAAGAGGTACAAGTGTTTCGATCGGGTCAAAACTATGAATAGGATGAATCTTGGACAAGTGGGTGGACGAATAAATAAGTTTGGGGTCTATATAGCTCATTGATGGAAGAAGTCACCAGATCATAATTGGAGGAATGTCTCCGTATTTATAGACCAGGGTGAAGCCTGTGGGGCACCTGTGTCTGGAAGGAACACTGTGCCGATGTACGTCTACAAACAAGAACAGACACAAGACCTAGGAAAGCTGCGGACAAATCCCATGGAAGATCCTATGTACGGCTTTTGCGTAACCATTGCAGACGCAGATTCCAGATGCATACCATTTACGAAGGAGGCCGACCGGTGTGATGTGAGCGACTGCAATACGCGCCTCGAATTGTCATCAAAGCATAATTGGAAGCCAAAAGAAAGGCTATTGGTAAGAATCGTCCAATTGCTAGGCAGTCGTATTTATTTTTAGTTGTGTTAGCTAGGTCGATGTAGACACATACCGTTTAAGTAATATCAAAAATAAGGGTGTGTTGCTGTGGCTTAAGCACCGGTCTTCAAGATATTCGGGCTTAGGGGGTTGCCAAATTCAAATACGAGCGGATGATATTAGCCCCTCACCTATCCCTAATGGCTTGAGAACTTTGACTGACAGTTCTGGTATATGGACTGTCAGTAAAACGGTAGATGAGCGCATATGCGAATGGTCAGCGCACATCCCACCTCAGGTATAACTTTTACCAACGTGACAATTGACAATTTCCACGCCACCAAATTTAACAGCAAGAATAAAACTGTGGAGCCAAGCCTCAGTTCATGGTCCAGGCTAGTGGTATTCCAGGAAGGCCAAGCAAGACGTGACCCAAACACCCACTGACCTCTGTTGCCCTTCTTCCATCTCCTCAACCCCTCGCCATCCACTTGTCTTCGCAACGACTTCGACTTCGACTTCCAGTGGTGACGCCATCTGCCTCAAGTGGACCTCAGCTCCAGATCCAGGGCGTGCCCCACAGTGTACGAGTCACGTGAGTTTAAGTAATCGCGCCCTCGCACTAATATAAACACCCTCAACCACCTCTGCTCATAAACCCTATAATTACTACACCCATGGCCGACGACCAAGACAAGACCAACAAGGCAATCTTGGATCAACTTGTGTACATCGACAACTTCATCGGTGAGGATCACGAGCTTAACTTCGACCTCTCAGCGTTTGCGGACGACTCATTTATCTTTGCAGACGAGGAGAAGCCTCCGAACGATAAGATCAACGAAATGCTCCGCAACAAAGAAGGCCTCCATGCTCTTTCTCACGGCAGTGCCAGTGGTGAAGCGGCGGGTCACGGAGACCTTGGTGGCCTTGAGTTGAACAATCTCCCGCGGTTCCCAGTGCCTCCTGGTGCCAAAAGCTCCTTGGAGCAGGCGGGTTTAAACCAAAGCCAAATCGATTTATTATCGGCCTTAATCGCCCAGTACCAGCTGGTGCAGCAGGCGCCACTGTTGGACTCGGTGGACCCAGTGGACCCACAAATGGTGGGGATGTCGGCTCAACCACCACGCCCACGGCATAATCACAGACACAGCCAGTCGCACACGCTGCGGCTACCACTTCTTCGCACCACTTCGCACGGGCCTGGTAGTGCCAGTGGGTCGAGCTCCGCAGGCGGTGGACTTGGGCTCAGCGGTGACACGGCTGCTCCTGAGACGTTTGTACCATTTTTCCTGACATCGCCATCGCTAGCTACCGGCAGCTTTGGTGACAGTGCTGGTACCGGCACACACGACGACGGCTCAGGCTCGGAGTCCCCCGCGTCGCTGTCTACGTCCAAGTCTATCGATAACGATATAGACAAGCGTCGCCGCAACACGGCGGCGTCCGCGCGGTTCCGCATCAAGAAAAAACTAAAGGAGAAGCAGATGGAGGATAAGATCTCCAATCTTCAAGACGTGATACGAGGGTTTGAAGGCAAGATCCAGACGCTAGAGTTGGAGAATCGGTTGCTCAAAAACTTGATTATTGAGAAGGGAAGTGAGAAGAGCGACAATGAGTTGCGGATGCTCCGGGAAAAGATATATAGGGAGGAGCAAAAGTAGGTAGTAATGCATAACGAACACAGATAATTGTAGCGGCACGGCGGCTTACTGTGCGGCACGATGGCACCACCATTGCCCCTCGTCATTGTGGCATAAGCGATAGTACATGTTCGCAGAGGTGTAGGGGCAGTGGGTGTATGGGTCAGATTTTCTGTGGGTGTATGGGTCAGACCTCCAATCGCCATCACCTTTGCCGATTCCTCGCTCTTTGGACTGCTGGTGCAGATCTCGCTCTAATTAAACGTCAAATCTATATTGTCTATAATACATCATACTCATAAATCGTTCATTCGTTAGAATTGCGCCGGAACTTAAACTTCTTCATCTTGAACAAGCTCTGCGACTGACTGGCAGCTTTTTTCTTAACTTCCACATCTGACAGTGGCAGTGGTAACTTCACAATATTGCTCTTGATACCTATGTGGGTGCCATTATTGATGGGCAGCTTGGGGTACTCGGGCGTGAGAGAGGGCCGCCGAGAGCCGGACCGTGGGGTGGTGCCCATCGCTGCCAGCGTCGAGTTGCTACGACTGACGTGGACGGTTCCGGACGCGAGATGGGACGATGACAGTCCGCGCCGGCTGCTGTGGCTCACTTCCACCACGCTGTTACGCCGGCTGCCGGATGACGCTGCCAGCGACAGGTTCCGCCGCCCGCCATTTGGTACTGGGATCGGTAAGCTTTGGCCCTGATGGTTGGCAAAACTGCTCATGTTTTGTTTCTTGGTGAGGTTGATAAATTGGTTGTAGCTGTCCAATAGAAGTTCGTAAATGATCTTGTAACTCTTCTTGACAACGTCACCGTTAGGGATTTTCACGAGTAAATTGTGTTTATACTGGTACGGAAGGTTGATTTCTTTGGGAGAATCGTCCAAGAGGTAAAGCTTGATAATGTCATTCCATTTGGGAAGTTTGTCTTTCTCTTTGAGTCGATTATATTTGTTGACGTCCATGATGAATTCGTAATTTTCTAAGCAATGAATTGATGAAAGGTACCGTATGAAGTTTTGCTTTGTGTAGGGAGTCTTGGCAGGTTCTGCCGGTTTGGACTCTAAAAGAGTCTGCAAAGACGGAACTAGCATGAACGTTTTTCTGCCTAAAATATTTAAGGAGGGAAAAGGATTATTTATAGGGAACAAAATTGCCTAAAATAAAAAATATATCCCCACCACAAATCAAAAAACTTAAAAAAAACCGTTAGGAGGAAAAATGCAGTCTCACGATTACCTCCCCGTCAAACCCGGATGTCGCATAATATCGACTCCGTCAACACCAATGGAGAGGTCGTGCCTAGTATAATTACCTTTTCCTACAGTATACGGCGTTTTTGGTTGCAAATGGCAAAGCGAGAAAATGGGAGTTTAACCCTATTAGGCATTACATGACTCTGGAACTACATCATTTAGAAAGTACATATACGTTCATTACCACGACCTCTACACGTGAGCAACGTCAACGGTTGGTGGAAAACCCTGTGCGAGTTTCATCGTGTCTCACTCACGTACGACGTTTAACTCTGGTAGTTTGCGACATCCTGCTTTTGCGGGTGAACTTACCTTGTCGGAACCAGCAATCCTGACAAACGTTTAACAGTTAGGTACCAGCGCTTTGTGTAAAAACGGTTTTATTTTACAGGTTGGCCTTTTGGAAGTGGAGACAGCGGCATGTGTGGCAGGCTACGGGGACAGATTATGCACGGTGGTGCCCCCGCTCTTCATGCCTGTGCTAATCGGGAGCACAGGGTACTCTTTTACGCATATGTTGAAGGCCGCCGATCGCTATTTAAGCGTGGTTTGTTTGTCTTATCTAAGAAGCTACAGATTACCGGCTCCTCACAACCAAATATTTTTTGTAATATTTTTTCCTTCACTGCGACTAAATTACAGGTTGTCTTCCAACATGCATTTCGTTGAGATCATGAAGGCTAACAATAATATTCGCAATGGTTGGATAACAATACACACAATTCGGCTTTCTCTGAATACTCTCGTTTTTCTCCACCATTGAAAGCATGGTCGTTACTGGTGACGTGGTGGCCTCTTCAACCATTTAATGGACGTTGTGGTTCACATGATTTTCTCCCCAATTTCTTATCTTCGGATCGGCACCAGATACCCTGCTTTAACTTTTGCAGATTACCGAATCGGCACCGTCTGTGCTAGACCTTGCATGTATCTGAAAAAGAATGATCACACTTTTCCCACACTTGATTTTTTTTCTTCACAATGATGAGCAAAGGATCCGAACCAGTACACAGTTTTGGTGCCTTTTTGCGGAGACCCATCTAGATGGTTGAGGGGATGTAGTGGCTCTTGGGACATCCACAAACTTGGCAAGGGGTAAGAAGGTGGAGAGTGGTTTGCTGGTTAGTGTATTATGATGGTTAGGGCAGGTGGATACATAGGAGCCCCGGCATTTAGTTACCACCGATATTTTGCGCCTTTCCTGCTGACGCGTGGGTATGATGTAATGAGGAATAACATTAAGGGCACGGGCTTCGGGTGATCCTCACGGTGGCATTGCGGTGCCACTGCGGTGGCGCCACTCGTCCTACGCTCGTCCAATATTGTCCCATTTATGGCCCCCACACGACCGAACTATCTAATCTATATTTTCTCGCTTGTGCAGAAGGAGTGCAAAGCTGGCCAAGCACGCCTACGCGGTATACGTCAACAAAGTGAGTTCCGAACTGCGTGCACCAATTCAAGTTGCAATATTTTCTTGCAGCAATAAAGAGGCTACTGAAAGAATCTCCGACTTCTCGTTGAACGAGTGAGACACGTTGTAGCCGAACCAATGTTGTAGTGGAAGGAAGCAAGAATTTTCAATCCTGTTTTTGCCGATGCACTTTTCCATGGACGTCGAATGGTAGCGAATACCGAAACCACAGTTCAAAAAAACAGAACTGTAGACATGATTAAATAAAACAAATCCGCTATCAGTACTATTTTTGCTAGTAGTATGATTCAACAAGCAATTATGTATGACCAAAGAAAATACCAATAGCAATAACTTCATTTACAACTTGGATAAATAATAATATAAGTGATCTAATTGTAGCAATAGTAATCATATCCAATCATCTACTGTAAGAGAACGAAGTATAGTCTGGTTGGAAGAATGCCTACTTTAACCCTGATCATATATAAAATATCCAGATGAATTGAAATAAAGCACAACGAAATCAGCACTGGTGGGAGGGCTACCACTAAAACGATTGTAATTCGATTTATTCGTGATTTACGTCCTCAACTAAGCCAGATGTTGAAGAACTGGTGCTCTTATGGGTCCAAGCACGCGGCTTCTTCCAAACCATGTCTATTGACCAGAAAAGGTAGACCCCACCAATGATCCCACTATAGACAATTGCAGTAATGAATACAGGGTGGTATGGACTCTCAACTGTTTGTTCTTCTCCTGTATCCATGTCGGGGTGGATGTTCTATATTTATGAAAAGCTAAATATTTTGTGGTAAAGGGCAAAGGGTTTTGGAAACACAGATTTCAAGAAGTCTGGATCGAGGATAACTTGACATCGGCTATTTAACAACAGGAGATCAATGCGTTTGGCCAAGTAGGGAGGTTCCACATGTCCAATATTGCGAATGGTGCACTCTTCGGCCCAATTGTACACTGTTTCAGCCATTGAGGTTTTGAGGATTGACAAATGATTTGCCAAAACAAAGTTGCTAACTATGCCGAACGAAATGGAGGCAATTAAAAATATCCCATACGTGACCAAACTCTGGATGTTTCGACTCTACCTGTTTCTATGGAAACATCACTTTCAAAAAGAACATGAATCAAGTGCATGACAGCCTTCGCCCATGCGCAAAGACAAACCGTGAAGAACATCAAAACTGGGGTAATGATTAACCGCAGGGATATATATAATGGCCAAGGATACATTTAAAGAACTCCTTGATCTTCTTACTTAGAGGCCCAGGGGGCTAATCTGATGATGCATCCCTGATTTGGTTGGATACACAAGTGGCATTTGTTTTGAAGGTGGTGTTGAAGAATGGTGTTTCAAGACTTGATGTGCTTGTGTTCTGAGGAAAGGAGGGCAACAAAAGGGTTTCAGAGACTGCATTGATCACATACCATGCGAACACAGACACAACCCCAAGAATGATGAAGTAAATCCACTTGCCCACACGGTCAACTGTAGAATGTTGCATTTCAGGAGGATGTACTTTACGTAGAATTTTGCATCTATGGATTTTGCAGTCGCAGCAATAGCAGAATTTGTTTAGGAATTGGGTAGCGCACGCTCCAATGCCTCATAGGCAGACATCAGTATACTAAAAGCACATTTTCGTCAACAGCTCCGGCACGGCAGCAGCTTGTTGTAGTTGGCGGCGAACCTAAGATCACTGAGACAGCTGGATATCCCAATATTCGTAACCTCATGCCTTGCCAGCAAACCATAAACTCTCTGCCCGCAAGAGTATTACCAACACACCCTATCAATGGACCTATCAGCGAACCTACCACTGCAATCCACTTCGACCTACCTTCATTCGCCCACTGCCGGGTGCCTGTACCATGCCCCACCACCTGTCAAATGCTGCTACGATCCCCACGAAGAAAATGGCAGCGCGCACAAATCACACTCCGCATCCTCGGCCACCCCAACATCTAACCATCCCACTATGACCACTCTCACGGCAGAACGATTGGTGAGATTAGCGTACAAGTATCCCTCGCTCGAGAACTCATGGTTCTTGATTGCGTGTGCATGTCTCAGCGTCTTGAATCAACCCCAGGAAATCCCCAAGGTTTACCACTTTGCCTTGAGACAGCAGCTCTTGGAGTTTAAAAATGATGAAAATCTCTTGAACGACAAGTACCTCCTTCAGCTCGCCCAGGATTCGATTTCGTCCAGTGACAAGTTCGAAGAGCTCAGCTCCATCGGCATTGGCCTCCCTGACGTGTTAATACCTTTTACCTACTACCTGAAGCTCCCACTTGGATTCAAATTCAATCAGTCCACCAGTATTTTTGAGTTTCAGAACTTGCTCACATTGAAGTTCAGAGAAGTGTTGCTCAAGGTGTGTGGACTCATTGGAATTCCCAAGACCATCAATTCCTTGACGTACTTAAAGAATGTCACACCCACCAACTTCCGCAGCCATAACGTGCCGCAGCGACCCAACTTGATCAACCACACCAACTTCCCATCGTCCCAGATCATCGAGGAGGATTCTTGTGGTACCCGCTTGGATGAACAGAATGGCATCGTTGACACCATCGACGGACCTATCAGTCCCAACAGTATCAACACTCCAGTGGTGATTGACAATCTTAAGCAAGGCAGTGACTTGTGGAACAAGGTGTACTCCAACAATTTGAACCGCAAGATCCGGAACCAGATATACCAGGCGTACCCAGACTTGTGGTACTTTATCTATCAGGGGTACTACTCCAACATTTTGAGTTACAGTCAGATTTTGTCCGATAAAGAAACCTCCTTGTGCATCATCACCAGTCTTATTCCCCAAGACGTCAACCCTCAATTGAAGGGCCATTTACGGGGTGCCCTCAATTTGGGGGTTCCCAAGGACCAATTGACGGATGTGCGCAGCCTTGTGTTTGATATCTGTGATTGGGTGGGGGGAAACTACTGGAAAGGTGGGAAGGATTCGGTCGCAAAGTTATGATTATAGGCGTATATATTCAGTAAATATCAATTTGACTCTGTTCACAACAGAATCCGGCTTTCTCTCTGGATGAGGAACACCTGGAACCCACAGAACAAAAAAAAGGCCAAGTAAACGAGAACAGCTCCAAATACGGTTTTGGCGACCTCGGGGCCATTTTCCGGGTCGTTGGTCGAGCCCACCATCGACTCGTGGCTGATTTGGAACAAGTATGCTATCACAGAGAGGATCACCACCCCGAACACCGACAAGATCGTGCAGAAGTACGCTTTTCCACTGGACACCACTGCTTTCATATTGGGTTTAGTTGGAGGTAGATGGGATTTTTGAAATGCGATTGTTGACAAGGGCGCGCGGCCACGACCGAGATATCGATTGCATGCTATAAATGAAATATATGGGTGAAAACACCACCAGTAGGTAATGGGGTCGGTACGGTCAGCCTGGTGGTGGTAAAAGGTGCTCATGATGATACAAGCGTGGGTTGTGGGGGTATTGGTGGCTCAGCCATCGAGAATTCACGGAAAGTCCCCCCACATCCACCTGAGTCCATTCAAACAAACCCCAACACCATGGCAATCCAGCTACGACGATGACACGCCTCGTCGCAGTGTCAGCCGGAGCCCCAGGGCCGCGTCCGTGGTGCTGCTTCCCTCATCGTCGTCAGAAATGACTCCCTCAAGATTCATTTGCGCTGGGTCTGTCACCATCGTGGTGTTACCATCGTCAAGATCCCCCGAGCCATGGCCCGCCTGCTGGCGTATCTGCCGTTTGCGGAAATTGGCTACTAGCCGGTAGCTTTCCCTGAGAAACCGTAATCTCTCATTGACATTCTTCACGTGGAGTAACCACTCGGCGTCATTACCGGTATAGGCAGCTATTCTGTCGATGGACTCGTCACATTCGTCTATTCGTTTGGTGTTCACGGCGGTTGTCATCTGGTGATATCGTTCTTTGTTGTACTTTAAAGTTATGTGCATACCTGGAGAGGTTTTTTTCGCAGCGAAGCGATTTTCTGCTCCAGGTCTCAACTCCAAATACATACAATGACAACGTCACAAATCGAAAGCACTCCTGAAAACCGCCCGTTGGTTGCGGCAGTCGAGCAGCTCCAGCAGCTTACAGATAGCTTGATCGAAGCAGGGGTCTTGGTCCATGACAACCAAGGTACACCTCAATCCCACCAGGTTCTTGTCCACAAGTTCAACCAGGTGATTGACCAATTAGACAATTTGAACACTATCCAGGGCATGGCTCTGTACCCAATTCCAGTGGATATCATCAGCTACATCGAAGACGGGCGTAACCCGGACATCTACACGAGGGAGTTTGTTGAGGTGAATGCCAAGTCCAATGCCCGACTCAAGGGTAAGATGGAAAACTTTGGCAAGCTACGGGATATTTTGAGCCAGAAGGTGGTGAGCGAGTTTCCTGAGTTGAAGGACACGGTCGAGGACATACAGAGAAGAACGAGCGGGAAATAGAAGAATACTGGAATATGGAAATTAAAGTTGTGCACTTGAGTGTGTTTGGAAAAATAGCCAGCGACCACGGTTCGGCTGGAGCTGAAGGGTGGCCTTTCTTGTGGTTCAGGAGATGCCGCAGGTAGCTAGTGTGGGATAAAGATTTGTATTGATAGTCAGGAAGTACATGGGTCATGGGTTTGAGGAGATACAAGTCTGATGGTTGATTGCAGTTTTACTGTGTTGGTGGTAAATCCTTGGTAGTACTTGACTGTTACTCCTAGTGGTACTAATTTCAGGTACTATGTTTATCTCACTCCTGGCCAACCCAAGGTATCATTAAAAAATACTTGAGAACAATTCCAGCCAGCACGTACACTTGCCGCCCATTACCTGGTATTAGTGAGATACATTTACAACATCTCCTAACCCAGATACGACTGGTTTAGTAATATTTTGAGGGTTCGCAAAAAATTGTTTAAAATGTCATCACGTCAGGCGAAAGGAAAATCGCCTTCCGAGCCGTTACGACCATCGCCAACCAATATAGCAGCAGATCCTTATTGTTTGCTGGCTTCACATCCATCGGGATCCTTCGAAAATAATATTTAGTGGATTATCGGTCTATTTGAGGTGGTGGTGCAGCATAATGCTGGCTAAGCTGCGAAAAATGGAATAGACGCAAATTGCAGCAATAGGATGAATTTATAAAAGGCCATCAAGAGCCTTCACCCATCAATACGAATAAGATTCATACATTCGTATTGTTCGTCAAGCAAGTGAGACTTGAATATGTTGATCAACTATTTGTCACTCCTTTTGTTCGTGGCGTGGGTACATGCTGAGGTTCTGTCATATGAGTCTACCAGTACTATTACCATCACATCTACTCCTACAGTGACGGCGTCAACCACTGTTCCGGGATATGAAGAGTTCATATATGCTACTGCTTACGTTTATACGGATGGGGATGGCGATTTGACGACTAGTACGGTATTTGGCAGTACTGTAGTGGCGTTGGTTGAGGAGACTAGTTCTAGTGGTTCCAGTGTTACCAGTGCTGGTTCAGTTGCCTCTAGTTCAATTGTTTCTAATCCTGCTTCTAGTTCAATTGTTTCTAGTGCTGCTTCTAGTTCAATTGTTTCTAGTGTTGCTTCTAGTTCCGTCGCTTCCAATTATGTTCCTTCTAGTTCTGTTGCTTCTAGTTCAATTGTGTCTAGTCTTGTTGCTTCCAGTGACGCTGCTTCTAGTGACATTGCAAGTAGTGGCTCTACTTCAACTATTTCTAGTACTGCTGCTTCTACTGACACTTCTAGTGCTGCTTCTACTTCTGGTGCTTCTAGTGCTGGTGCTTCCAGTTCAATTGACTCTAGTTCAATTGACTCTAGTTCAACTGTTTCAAGTACTGGTGTTACTACTGCTGTGACTGCTGCTGCCGTTACTGATGCTGCTGTTACTAATGTTGCTGCCAGTTCAACTACTAGTGATCTCATTTCTGCTAGCTCAACTTCTGATCCCGTTTCTGCTAGCTCAGCTTCTGATCCCGTTTCTGCTAGCTCAGCTTCTGATCCCGTTTCTGCTTCTATTTCCAATACCCCCAACACCGCTTCAACCGTCCCATCCACCGACGGCCCCCCTGCTGACCCTGCGTCTGTCGTGGCCCTGGCGGTCGCGTCGTCCACTTCCCCAAACACCGTCACCACCGCTCCAGGCTCCTCGAATGACTACAATACCTCCTACTCCACCACCACCTCCGTCATCGACGGCACCTCCTATGTGGTCGAATATGTAATTATATACACCGGACTATGCTCCTCCTAATATACTAATTCCCCTTGCTCGCACATTAATGTTTTTCGCATCTCTATCGCATCAACACCATGAACAAACTAAGATTCACCAGACCCACCGTGTTTGTACGGACGGTCAAAACCCCCACAATCGACTGGAAACCCATCGTCACGTCCAAGACGAATGTCACCGAGGCCGAGATCCAGTCCAAACACCCGGTGTTCCGCCGTGTGCTCCTTGGTCTCATGATCGCCATGCCGGTGATCTCGTTTGGTTTAGGATGTTGGCAGGTCAAACGACTCGATTGGAAAACCAACTTGATCTCCCAGTGTGAGAAGCAGTTGGCCAAACCCCCCATGGCGTCGTTGCCGCCAGACCTCGACCCCGACGCCGTCAAAGATTTTGAATATCGCCGATTCTACGTCAAGGGAAAGTTTGACTATTCCCAGGAGATGTTTTTGGGTCCCCGGATTCGTAACGGTATGGCCGGCTACCTCGTGGTAACCCCGTTCCAGCGCCTGGACGGAGGTAAGCCCATTTTGGTGGAGCGTGGATGGATCTCCAAGGAGAAGGTCATTCCCTCTACAAGAGAAAACAACTATCTCTCGCACCTCGCGTTACCTCGGGGGGAGATTGAGATCATGGCATTCTTCCGTAACATGCCAGAGAAGTCGTCGATGCAGTTTGACCACCAGGCCGGTACCCGGCAGTTTTTCATGCCTGATGTAGCAGCCATGTCGCTCCAGGCTGGTACCTTGCCAGTTTACGCCCAGATGGTGTACGATATGGCCGACCACCCGGAGTGGGGCCTGGGCCGGTTGTCGCGGTGGTGGACTTGGTTGCAGCCACGCCAGCAGCCACAGGACGACTTTGAAATGCAGTTCCAGGAGTTTGAATTTGTGAAAAACGGTGTGCCCATTGGCCGAGTGCCCAAAGTTACCTTCACCAACAACCATTTGCAGTATTTGGCGACGTGGTTTGGCGTGTCGATTGCGTCGTCTGGCTTGCTTGCGTACCAGATGTACAAATCGAAGAAGTTTGCCGGGGCCGACAAGGTTTTAGAAGCAAAGAAGAAGGACATGCGGCAGAACTGGTAAATAGCCCAGAATATCTTGTAAATATCTATGTACAAAGCTCAATGAATGTATTGCTCTTGACTACAAAACACTGGTGAGACCAAACAATACCGCCACCAATGCCAAATCTCCTACAAGCATGCTGAGCACTTCCCAGTATTTGACAAGCTGTACAATCACCGGCTGGAACCGTTGTACCGCCGGTACCACTGCGGCTGCCATCAGCACCACCTTCAACACGAGGTTGTCGCTGCTGATGTTTTCGCTGGCCTTTCGCCTGGAGCTTATCACAAGGTAACTGGACAATACCACCGCTTCCAATGACACAAACGTCACAAAAAACCCATTGTTATAGTACCCAGACATCCCTGCCGCCCGGGAAAACGCGTGGGATGACCCACGGAACGTTGTCAGGGCGAAAAAGTGGTACACAAAGTTCACCACCACGCTTAAGTACCGCACCACCAAAAACCGGTACTTCAATTTCTTGAGATTGTACATATTATACTTTAGCAATTGGGCCTCGTACGCCTGGTCTTGAAGCCCCGTGGTATCCCCTTCGTCCTTCTGCAGCTGCTGCATCATACTCATCATCATGCTCGTAAGCGGGTCGTCGCCACTGCCATTGCCCAGTTGTCCTCCAAACATCTTCTTGAACATCTCGTCAATGTCACTAGCAGTGGGGTCTTGGGGTGCCAATGGGCTGGGGGCTGGCGACACCCTTGTACTCAACAACTGCTCGATGTCGGAGGTGTCAGGGTCGTCGTCGCCGTGGAATTTGCTTATTGGTGTTGGAATGGGGGCATTTGTGGGTTTGGGAGATTCGTCCTTATCCAACACAGAAGTGACTGTGGACGACTTGACGGAGTTTCCTTGATTCAAAATGGCATTGAGCCGGCCGGTGGCATTGCCGCCTGCCATTTTTGCTGCACGTCGCTCTTTCAAAAGACGTCTTTTCTCTTCTGGTGTTAACGTTGACATGTTGAGAAGCGAAACACTTTAGAAAATGCGTGCGACTGATTTGTACGCTGGAAGTGAAATGGTGGATCTAAAAGTACACTAAATATATAATTATGCTGCCGACTCAACGTGACAGGTGAGTTTTGATTACCTTCAGACGTTGACCGTGTCTGTTAAGTATCGTAGTACCAGCGTGGCCGAGATATGACAATAAGTAGTCTTCTCTCGTGTCTCTACCACCCACTCCTAAAGTTGGAGGTTCGCACTGGCTTCGTCTTCACCCAACATGAACTCCTTCGAGGACGATTTTAACGGGAAGACCATGAACTTCCAGGAGCAGCAACGGCGACAGGTGATCATGAACACAATAGAGAACCATGACTATTTGTTGGTGGTGGCCAGCCAGCAGAATAAGACAGTGGAGCAGGTGAAGTATGAGTTGATGATGAAGCTTATGAGAAAGCTGTAATATAGTACAAATCAATGAGATTGATGCGGAAGAAGTCAGAACTGCAGTGCGTGTTGTGCTGTGGATGTCCCGTGACCTTGTGTGCTGCATTGGTGTGACCCGTGAACTTTAGTGCTGCATTGCGGTTGTCCCATAAAGTTTTGTGTTGCATGATTTCCTTTGACATTTCAAATCTAAAGTCCCTAACGGAATGGAGGACGATTCAGAATGGGAGCAGGTTTTCTAGCCCGTCTCACGCTGCTCGCACTCGTACTCAGACCTGCGAAAAGCCCGTCCAAGTACCGGGGGGGCTGATTCAAATTAGGTCCACGAGTATTTCTGGTTGCAATTGGAATGGCTGACCGCACCGGTGGTGGCTTGGACACAGAACCACTATTCCTTGAGGGAACAACGAGTCGGGAAAATGGCTGTGGGATCTTGGACTTTGACAGGTCCTGAATTAACCGTCTGTTTATTGCAGGTTTAGATCTCAATATACTAGCATTGACTTTAGCCTTATTATGTAGCTTCAATTTCAACACCTCGTTCTGTTGGCGTGCCCGTCTGAGCTGGCTCTTGAGATCGGTGATACTGTCGTCCAATCTTTTGGACTCTTCCAACTTTTCTTCCAAGTCCTTAGAGGGTGTTGAAGGAAAGTCGATGCACCACATGGTGATGGACAACCCGTACAAGAAACTCGAGAAAGACTCATTAAACCCCTGAGATATAGCCTCGTGAAGTCGCTGGAGATGTTTCATATACATCTCCAAGTCTTGGACAGAATCGTGTAATCTCTCAAAGCTGTCGGTTATAACACTCAGATCAAGAGGAAGATGCTCAGGGTCAATCGGATAGTGAATTCGAGGCGATTGGGGAAGTAATGCAAATACACCTGATGAACGGTGCAGGTGCCTGTGCCGAGCAGGTGTTGCAGGCTTGGAGGAGGAAGACATGTGTATTGTTTACTTTCTACTTGTGTTTAGATTGTTTTGTTTTGTGTGCTGCGATCTCGAGCGCGCGAGCTCGATGACGAGCGTGGATCACGTGATAGTGTCCTTCACTCGGTACCGATGATTTGTTCCCATGTCTTGCCTTCTTTGGATAACTCGGCTAAAAGTTCGTCCCGAATCTTCCCAGGGAGGCCTGGACCTTTGTAGGCAAATGCGGTATAAAATTGGACAAATGTAGCACCGGCTTTTCCGAACTCCAATGCATCTTTTCCAGATGAGATACCACCACATCCAATTAATACGAGGTTCGAGTCCTTAGTGTGCTTTCTCAAAGTTCTCAATGCCTGGAGAGCGAACGGCTTGACGGGGGCTCCTGATAAACCGCCAGTTTGGCTGATTAAATCAGGTGAAGACCGCAAATTAGCAGGTCTTTGGATGGTGGTGTTCGACACAATCACCCCATCGATACCACTCTGCTTGGCAGAGCTGGCAATGGACTCGATCTCTGGTTCGGTCAAGTCGGGGGCGATTTTGACCAAAACTGGAGGTTTCCCGTACGGGTTTTTTACCAAGTCTCTTTCCTTCACTACCGTTGTCAACAAATTGGTCAACTTCAGTTCACTCTGCAAGTCTCTCAACCCAGGAGTGTTGGGAGAAGAAACGTTCACCACAAGAACATCCGCATAAGGTCCTAACCTTTGCACACCTTTCACATAATCTTCTACTTCATCACCAAACTTGTTTTTACCCAAGTTAATTCCCAATAATTTGCCATCCCTCAAGGCAAAATTAGTAGAGTTATCGTCCAGGCAAGCAGCCAACCGGAGTTTCAAGTTAGCCAACACGTTGAAATGGCCTGAAGAATTGAACCCATATCTGTTTATAACAGCATCATCTTTGGGCAACCTAAAGAACCGTGGAGTGGGGTTCCCTGGTTGAGGTTCTGGTGTGATGGATCCGATTTCAACGTACGAAAAGCCTGAATCAAATAACGATTCTATCGCTTCTCCGTCCTTATCCAAACCAGCTGCCAACCCGATAGGCGAGTTCAACTTCTTGCCAAAAACTGAAACCTTCAATTCGTCGGGTGTATAAGTAGCGTCGTCCAACAATTTGGGTGTCAAGCCATACTTCATCAATGTAATTCCAAGTTTATGACCTTGTTCAGCATCAGTTGCAAGCCTAATTATAGGACAGTATATATATTCGTGTATGCCAGCTCTAGCATCACGGGAAGTGGCAAGCGCATAAGCACAGGCACCCAACCCCACCCACATAACTCCCCGAGGTAATACACTTGCTGCCAATGGTCTCTTTGCACTTTTAAAAAACGACATCCAATTCGCACTGGTGGGTCTGGTGATAGATTTCGAACTTGAATCTGGAGACGCTCAGTTCCGCGAAAAAAAATCTCTAATCGCATCTCATCACACTCATCTCACACTATGGCTGTAAATAATATGGGCTCGTACGAGCGCAGTGACACATCCAAGTACGAACGGGGTGACCCCAAGCACAACCGTAAGAAGCTTTATAGTCGGGACAAGAAGTTGAATGCGGGAATCAAGAAGATCGATAAGCAGTACCAAGAAGCATTGCGGTCTGCTGCTGGAACTGAATTATTACTCCAGGAAGAAGCCGGGTTCCTCGAGGCTGACGGTCCAATGGAGAAGACTTTCAAGTTCAAGCAGGACGATATCAAGGACGTCGTCGACCAAGGAACTTTGAACAAGACGTTTAAGTTAAGTTTAGCCCAATACGGGCCTTACCAAATGGATTTCACCAGAAACGGTAAAGAATTGTTGATTGGAGGCCGTAAAGGCCATGTAGCGCTGATCGAGTGGCGGACAGGACAGTTGGCATGTGAGCTCCATTTGAACGAGACTGTTCATGCCGTGAAGTACTTGCACAATGATCAGTACTTTGCAGTAGCCCAAAAGAAGTACACCTTCATCTACGATAAAACTGGGTTGGAATTGCACCGGTTGAAGCAGCACATCGAGGCCACGCAGTTGGAGTTCTTGCCATACCACTTTTTGTTGGCGACGGCAGGAAACACTGGGTTTTTGAAGTATCATGACGTCTCTACCGGCCAGTTGGTGAGCGAAATAAGAACTAAATTGGGACCCACTCAGGCCATGAAACAAAACTCGTGGAACGGAGTGATGCATTTGGGCCATGCCAACGGGACCGTCACGTTGTGGTCTCCATCGATGCCCACGCCGTTGGTCAAAATGCTTTGTGCCAGAGGGCCCATCCGCGACCTCGCAATCGACAGAGAAGGCAAGTATATGGTGGTGGGTGGAATGGACAAGACTCTTAAGGTGTGGGATCTTCGGAAGTTCAAAGAAATCGACGAGTATTTCACTCCCACCCCCGTTCAATCGTTGGACGTATCTGATACTGGGTTGGTATCAACTGGATGGAATACGCACGTAACGGTGTGGAAAGATATGTTCAAGTCCAAGCAGAATTCGCCATACATGAACCATTTACTTCCTGGCGACAAGGTTGAGAAGTTGAAGTTTGTGCCGTTTGAAGACTTTTTATGTGCTGGCTCCGGCAAGGCCGTGCAGAATATCATTGTTCCTGGTGCTGGTGAGGCCAATTATGATGCGTTGGAATTGAATCCATTTGAAACCGCTAAGCAGAGACAGCAGCAGGAAGTCATCTCCTTGATGAACAAGTTGCACCCTGACACCATCACACTTGACCCTAATGTGTTGGGAACTGTGGATAAACGTGCCAACAGCATAAGATTAAAACCGGGAGAAATCAGCGAGGTTGCAACTTCTCCCGATGCAAAACTCCAAATCCGTCCAGACGTAAAGGGAAAGAATTCTGCCTTGAGAAGACACTTGAGAAAGAAGACCCAAAATGTCATTGACCAGAGAAAGTTGAGAATCGAAAGAAACTTGCAGTTGGAGAAAGAGTCCCGTAAGAGACAACATAACGACAGAATTGGAGTTGAGAACGACAGTGATGTGTTGAACCCGGTATTGTCGAGGTTTGAGCAGAAACGCTGAATAATTCATAGATATTATAAACATGTACATTAGATCTATACACCAAGTAAGGCCATTTCACGTAGACGGAGGAGCTGCCAATGAGTAGTTGGAGTAGTCGACGGTGATCAAGTCTCCCAAACTGCTGCTGGTATTGTTGAGGTTGTTGAACAAGGCTGACTTCTCGTTGATGAACTCCAACACCTTGTCAAACTTGTTGACAGAGATGTGGTTATAGGTGCTGAGTTTTTCCTTCAAGTCCAAGTCGTTGATCACCTTGATCAAGTTGAACAAGCTCTCCTGAACCTCTGATTCATCCTCACTCTCGTCGATCAAGTTGTTCAACACTATCAACCAAGTATTGGACATTTGTTCATAGCATTTCAACTTGATATATTTATACTCATTGTTCCGAAAGGAGGGCAATTTCATGATTATGTTGGTGGCATAGTCAATAAACTGTAAGGACTGAATGAGATTGGTTTCCACCGGTGGTAGATAATTGAGAATATAGTCACTGAGACAGTTCAAAAACTCGTTGAGGTATGGCTTGACTCTCAAATAACTGTAGTCATTTTCCAAGTCCCCCTTGTATGGAAGGTTGTGATGTATATCTTCCACCCGAGTGTTTAAAATGGTCATAGCATCCTCCACCTCGACTTTCGGTTGAAGGTCATAAATCGTGTGGCAGATCTCTGGGTGAATCCGTACCAAGTCCGTCAACAACAAGTTTATGGACAGTCTGTTTAAAGTTTCAATCAATCGGTTTATAGGAAGCCTTTCTCCCTTAATAATAGGGAATTTGGTTCTCTTGGTAATAGTATTGGTATTAACTTTGGGTTTTTCATCATCATATCTTCTCTTTTTGACACCTGTCTTGTGCAAATGCTTACTGTTAACAGCCGGCTTGTTAACGTTCAGCTTGACACCCCACTGGAATCCCACTGACTTGGACATGGGTGTATGCAATATTAACTGAAAATTGGGCGAATGCTACTTGTCCACAAACGCAAATGACCAGCAGAAAACAAAAACGATTGAAAACTTACACTAGTTGTTGGGCTCGGAAATTTCCAGAAAATATTTACCTTGTATATGCTAAAAGAACCGCTTAATTCGCCCTGGCAAACTATGTGGTTCAATCTATATGAGAAATCCCTTGTTAGTCAGAAACTGTCTTGCCATCGAGAGTTAAAATGCGAGAGGACCTCAAGAAAAAAATGGAGTGCGCTTACCGGTTTGGTCCATGTCATCCAATGATTGCAAAAAATGTTCATTATATATGCCATTATCTATATACAACTAGGGTTATTTCTTGTTGTTGTTGTTGCTCTTTCCCTTCAGCTTGGCAGAGCCCTCGAACCCAGCCCTCTTTTTCTTGGCGTTTCCGGCGTTCTTACCACCGGTTTTGTTCGCTATTCCCGTGAACTTCTTCAAGCGTACCTGCTGTTTACTCTTCTTTCCTCTATTTTCTCTTCTTAACCGCAAGTTCTCATCCCTCTTCTTGATCTTGGCAGCAATCGTGTCTTTCACAAATCGCTTTCTCTCCTGCCATTCGATTTCACTCTTCAACTTCTGCTTTTCTTTGCGCTTCAATGCTTTCTTCAACAACTTCTCATCATCTTTGACTTTCACACCTTCGGCTTGGCTCATCACCCGCTGCCACTTTTCTTTCTCAAGCTCTTTGGCTTGTTGTTCGGGAGTCAAGGAAGCGAGTTTCAGTTTCTTACGCTCTAATTTTTGTAGATGTGCTTTAATGTCGTTATTGGAAGGGCCTTTTCCCTTCTTCTTGTCAGCTGTCGCTCGGATCTTATTCAAGTCCGACGTCACACGCGTGCCGTCGTTAAAGGTGATATTCCCAAACACAACTTGATTGTCTTCAGGTTCATATTCCGACTCGTTTTCTGATTCAGACGACTCTTCAACCTCTTCATGCTTTCTCTTTAACAGCTTCTTGAGCTCGGCCTTCTTCTTCCGCTCTTCCAAGATTTGTTCCCGGGACTTCAATTGTCCCCCAGTTTTGGTGCCAGGAGCCTTACGTCTTTCTCTCAAGTTGACGATTTTACTGGCCAACTTCTCTCTCAACTTCTTTAAATTCTCCTGCTTTTGTTTCTTTTCCTCTTCTGTGAGCTGCTTCTTCTTCTTCTGATCGGCCTGGTTCTTGGCGGTAGTGGCAATGGCCTCTTGGGCCAACTCATCGACTTCATTTCCCTGATCATCAAACACAATATGTATACTGTCTTCGACATCTGGAACCGAGTTGAAGTCTGCCATTTCGCTCTGCCCGTCACTGTCACTAGCGGTGCCAGCTATTTCGACGTCCATATCGGGAATTTCCACGTCGCTGTCATCTTGTTCTTGTTGTTGCACAGGTGGTACAAATGGCTTTGGAAGCCTCACCGGCTGGGCACTCTTGGCCTTGACATCCATGACTTCTTTGGCGGTCATATTCTCCTCGAAGTCGGTGGAACTGGGGTCCAACTTGCTTCTTTTATTCTGTTTGAGCTCCTGTTTGGATTTCTTCTTTTGCTGCCATTGATCTTGCGTGGACTCATCATAGTAGTATTTGGCGGGAATTAGTGACAACAACCCATCGAAGGCAGTGGAATGTGTTTTCAACCGCTCCTAGAGTTGGTTAGTTTGGGTTCGGACGTGAGAGCCGGCGTGGGCGTGGGTTTATACATACTTCTAACGAGTTATTCATGGTTAAAGATTTAATTTTTTCAATCGCATCGCATCTTCACAGCGATGGAACAGAACAATGGAATAGACAAATAGGTTTATACTTTCGTTTTGTGGGGTGAAAAAAGGAGGGCATCATCTAGATCCCTGTCATACGAGGTCTAAACGCCTTGTGTCCATCCAACACCTCCCACACACCCATTGCCATCACCGACGTCTCCTACGCGTAATTTCCCTCCCGCGCCCAGTGCTTTCGTGCCCAGATTTACCTAGCCGAACCCGCACTCTTTGTCGTTCGCTCGACTCCTTTAAATTCCAAATAACCCTCCTTTATCTCACCTTTATATCGTGATGGATCCGGTTTGCAAGTACCTTGTCCTTTCGTTACCCCAGTCAACAGACTCCAAGGAATGGTTGGAACGGTCCTTGCTCGATGGCAAATGTCAGGCAATCGACTTCAAGGTGCCAGACTTTCAAATTGGTACCTTGGACTCGTTGGTTCAAGAGAGTGAAGAATTGGCAAAATTCGACACCCAGTTAGGCACCTCGGTGGCAAAGATCGTGGATATCTTGGCCGGCGTGTTGGAGTCCCAAGCGTCCATCCGAACCGTCAACTCCAAGAGCGTGTTGAGCTATATCGAGGCTTTCTCATGGAACACCTCCAAGTACCGATTGGACAAGTCGATAAAAGAATTGGTCCAATTGATTTCTTCCGAGGCCCTCACTTTGGACAACGATGTTAGAACATCGTACCAGACGTACCAGAACGCCAAGTCCAATTTTTTGGCGGCGGACAGAAAGAAAAATGGGGATTTGTCGATTAAGTCTTTGCACGATATTGTCAAGCCCGAAGACTTTGTTATTGGATCGGAAAACTTGACCACTATTTTGGTGGCCGTGCCCAAGAACTTGGATGATGACTTCAAGAAATCATACGAGACGTTGACTCAGTTTGTGATACCTAGAAGTGCCAAGTTGATCACCTTCGACCTGGAATACAAATTGTATTCCGTCAGCTTGTTCAAGAAATACGAGCAAGAATTCATAAATGGTGCCAGAGAGAAAAAGTGGCAGCCTCGAACTGACTTCACCTACGACGAGGAAGTGTTGAACAACATGAGAAAGGAGTTTGACTTGACTAGAGCCAATGAACAGAAGTCCAAGAATGATTTGATCAGGTTGGCCAAAACGGCATATTCCGACATCATTTCTGCGTGGTTCCACATAAAAGCCATTAGGTGCTACGTGGAGTCTGTGTTGAGATACGGATTGCCACCGCAATTCGACTTGTCATTTATCAAGTTCACTCCTAACAACTTTGGTTCTATTGATAAGGCTAAAAAAGAGTTGGTGGCCAAATTTGGTTATTTGGGAGGTGATGCCATCTCTAACAAATCTAGTTTGCACGAATACGCTTCATTGGTTGATCCAGATTACGAGCCGTTTGTGGTTTATCAGGTGGAAATTGTGTAAGTTACCCAGCCTTGCTTTAATTCATATTTGTTTCACACGACAATAGATTCATATAGTAATTTACGTTCATTAGACATTTTGGAAAAAAGGGTGGAAATAAAAAAACAGCTCGCACTCAGGTTCGAACTAAGGACCAACAGATTTGCAATCTGCTGCGCTACCACTGCGCCATACGAGCTAATAGGAAGAATTTTGGCCAAAGATGCGTCATATCCTCCAATGACTAGTAGTCTCCGTGGAGTAGAGCGGTTAATAAAAAGTAGAATATTGAAAGTAGTCAACTCAGTTACTTGAATGTTAATACACATTGCACTAGATATGCATACGGCCCATCAAAAAACAATAATACACGTGCTATCACATTCCAGCTTCATATCATTATATTCATCGCCGTCGCCGTAGGTTTGGGTCTTCCCTAGCAGACCATAACCCCAAAAGACAAACAAAACTGTAAGCCACAAGTAACTTGGTTTTGATCTTTGAAAACCACCCGTTTCTTTCATTTTCATTTATCAAACAGCCGTAGCATGTTTTTCTCTTTAATTATATAACATTGTGTATTTTGATAATAAGACAAATGTGTGCAGTTGAGATGGCCCTGATTCAGCGAAGTATAGCCATTATCCTGGCCAGTGGCGATGAAATTGTGTATTTTATACCAAAAACACTAGCTTTCGTGTGTCACTTTATTTCGAATTTGCGATGACCCATACACCCACCAGGGGCAATGTCAAACAATTCCTTGGGGAAATCTTTCTTATTTAGGACAAGCAGATCTCAGACTACTTCACTTGTAATCCGATCTAGAATAAACCTAGTTGAATTCTGTCCTTGGAAACTATCAAGTTCATTGCTTAGAGGCATACAATCTGAAAAATGCGTTCCAAATGATGGTCAGGTTGCTAAGTTTCACAAGATTTGACCATGATGGTAGGGGATTGAAAAGAGAAGGAAATGTTTCCTCGATCTTGAAGAATAGGACATCCACAAACGGTTTAATAATGGTGTTTGATTTTAGGAAAGAACAGGCCGCACAGCGGACCTTCTTTTCTACTTTCAAAAGTTCTGTCCGGTATACGTTCAAAAGAACTTGTCTTTGTGGATATGCCCCTGCATATTTTTCTATTTTTGGTCATTCGGCTGCAAATTCATGCAACTGATTATAGGAAAGTCGTAACTATATAAAGAGCTGATTCCCCCCTGTTTTTGAGAATCCAGGATT